TTCTCAGCTCACAAAAAAATAATTTGTGACTATGTGAGGTGACGGATGTTGACATGCTATGGTCATCATTTTGCAGTATATACATATATTAAATCATTATGCTGTACACCTCAAACTAATACAAGGTTGTGTGTCAATTATACCTGAAAAACTGAGTAAAATGGCTAAAATAGCAAATTTTATGTTGTATATATTTCACCACAATGAAAAGAATCTCACCAGATCCAGTTTTACGTTTTTCCTTTCTATTAGATGTATCGGGGTGACACTGGTGAACAAAATTGTTCAGGTTTCAGGTTTCCGATTCTCCCTCCCTTCATCCATACACTGCGCTGTGCGTTCACCTCCCCAAGTCGAAGCTCCTTCCATCACCGTTTCCCCCAGAACTCCCCTCCACCTCCCTCCCCGCAGCGATCACCACACTGTTGTCCATGTCCGTGAGTTTTTTCTTGCTTGTTTTGTTTTGCTCAATCCCTTCACCCCCACAAAAATCCCAACACCTGTCAGCCTGCTCGCTACCTATGAGCCTGTCTCTGTTTTGCTTGTTAGTTCATTAGATCCATGTATGAGTGAGATCATATGGTATTTGCCTTTCTCGGACTGGCTTATTTCACTGGGCATGATGTTCTCCAGGTCCATCCACACTGTCTCAAAGGTTAAGATTTCTTTCTTTTTTACAGCCGGGTAGTATTCCACAAACAGTTGTATAGACAAGTTCACGGAACAGATAACGTGTGTGTGAGAGAGAGAGATGGACAGATGGAGACAGGGGGACAGAAACAAGGAGAGGAGAAGAAAGAGATTAGTCTGCTTTTTTGAGATTAGAAATATCCTTTATACTAAAATAAAACAAGAGCAATACAAGAAAGGAAAAAAGTACAGTCTCTTTTATGAACATAAAGGCAAAAAAATCTAGATATTAAAAACTGAATCTAACAATTATTTTTTATTTTTAAACAGATTTTATTGATTATGCTGTTACAGTTGTCCCATTTTTCTCCCCTATTTTTTAAACATTTTGACCAAGTTTAGTGTATCTCAGAAACACAAGAAAAGTTTGACATCAAAAAGCCTGTTAATGTCATTCACATTAAAATATTTTTAATCATATTTGATGATCTCAAAAGATGCAGGAAAAAAATGCTTCTGATATATAATTCAACACTTGTTCTAGATTAAAAACACTTTAACCAGGTAGGAACACTTAACTTATAAGAACAAGCATTTTTACACTTTGATTTAAAACAAATCGGCTAGATTCATTTATTGTTCTTGCATATGATTTTTTGCAAGAAATTATGTTTTTGAATTTTGCTTTTTAATAATTTCAGGATATTATGAGGAGATGTAGAATTCTCAGGAACAGGGTTTCAGTTTGGTTAAATGTTAAAAGATGAGGGAGGGTATAATCAGAAGGGGAATCAGCACCAGAGGGGTGAGCAGATTCTGCTTGTGTGGCAGCTGATCGCTTCAAGTGAATGATCTCGTACCGTAAACATCTGCCATAGACTGAACGTGTCCCCCGAAACTCCCAGGTGGCTGCCCTGCCCCTCAGTGTCACTGTATGTGAAGACAGGAATCTTAGGAGGTAATTTCTGTTAAATGAGGTACTAAGCGTGGAGTGCTAATCCCAGTCGGGGACGTCCGATAGGAGGGGAGAGTTATGTCTCTCTCCACCTGAGCGCATCCAGGAAAGGCCCCGTGAGGACAGAGCAAGATAGTCGCCAGGCACAAGCCCTCGCCCAGCACCGCAGCAACTGGCAGCTTGGCCTCGGGCTTCCCGGCCCCCAGCCCCGTGAGAAAATCAGACTCCATTGTTTAAGCCACCCAGTCTGTGGTATTTTATTAAAGTTATCTGAGACGACATTCGCCATCTTTTTTCCATTTAATAAAGTGTACAGCATTTGCTGCCTGATAATCATTAACTTAATAAACCTCATAACAACCCTCTGCAGTAGTTGCTATCATTCATGTCATTGTACAGATGAGGAAATTGAAATCTAGCGAAGTCAAGGAAGTTGACCAAGAACCCCCAACTTCAGTACCCTGCATTCAACTTCTCCCTCTCTGCTCCCCTCCTGAAGCTCCATGGATCTCCTCGATTTCTCCCCCATGACCCTCATCCACTCTTTCCCATTGTCCATCTCTCTCTGCCATATTTTCACTTTCTAAAATCTCTTTATGCCATGGCTAGTGTGGCTCAGTGGACTGAGTGGTGGCCTGTGAACCATAAGGTCTCTGGTTCGATTCCCAGTCAGGGCACATGCCTGGGTTGCAGGTCAGGTCTCCCATTGCGGGCATGCAGGAGGCAACCACGCATTGATGTTTCTCTCCCTCTCTTTCTCCCTCCCTTCCCTTCTCTCTAAAAATAAAAAAATAAATAAACTCTTTAAGAAAAAATAAGGCAAAACAAAAAATAAAATCTCTTCTTTACATCATTAATTCTCTTTCCAGCCCTCTCATCAGATATTTAACCCATGCTTTGCTTCAAAAAAAAAAAAGAATAACCGTATTATTCATGTCTAAAAGTTCTAGCTGGTTCTTTCTCACATTTTCCTGACCTTTCTGATGGTATCTCACTCTTCTTTTATATTTTCAAAGCCTCCTTTTAAGCTCTATTACGGCCATTACTTTTTTATTTTCTTCCTCTGATCACTGTGCTATCAGAACTTCTTGGGCATCTAGCAGGGCCCTCTGGTTGCCTGCAGACTCCTGGCTGGTTCCCCTGGGCTGCCTGACTTTGGACGGTGAGCTCACCGTCTGCAGGTCTCTCTGCCGCCGTCCTGAACGGATGGCTCAAAGGTGTGTCCCTCCAGAACAGTCCCGTGTCTGCCCTTGCCCAGCACCCACAGGGTGATACTGTGACCTGCGCCTGCTTTTAAAATGTGTCCCCTAGGGAGTTTCTACAAGATATAAATAGCAGAAGCAGACAGTTAAACAGCAGAGCACAAGCCATGCTGCTGTGAATTCCGGGGAGAATATTTTTCTCACCATGCTCGGAGCACAGACTGAGACAGGCCAGTGCTTCTGTTGTCTCCTCGTGCTTTCAGTCTGAAGACCTATTCTTGCTCTTTGGAGAGCTTTCCTTGTATCACTTCTTTGACAAGTTTTGCCTTTTCTTTTCTTTTCTTTTCTTTTTTCTTTTCTTTTCCTTTCCTTTCTTTTCCTTTCCTTTCTTTCTTTCCTTCTTTCTTTCCTTCTTCCTTCCTTCCTTCCTTTCTTCTTTCTTTCTTTCTTTCTTTCTTTCTTGGTTGTCTCTTTCTATGTCTACGAGTGTGAGATTTCTCAACCTGAGGTCCTCTCGTTTTCTCTGGAACACTTTATTGTAAGGGCGACAGGCTGGTTTCTTTCATCGGGGGATCCACAAATGCCAGTGTCTGGGACCTGTTCTCTGTGGCGTTCCGTTTCTCCAGATATATTTTTGGCTGCCTCGGCTCTGCGAGAAGGAGAGCACCCTTCCCGCCTCCCGCTCAGTATTCCGTGTCAGCCCTGAAACGCAAGCACCCTCGGCCCTGCCCGGGGGGGACTTGAGACCAGAGTGTCTATGACTCAACTTCCCTCGAAGCCCCCAGTCTCCTCCGAGTGGCAGAAGGAGAGGGGGTGAAGAGGACTGGCACTAAGCAGGCTGCCAGCAGTAAAGGAGGATCCTAAAAAGCTAGCCCCTCTCTGTGTAGGCAGGCCTTCAAATCTTCTTGCATGTCAGCCCTGTGGCTCTCCCCGCTTCTCCTGGTACCTGACTGTATTAGTTTCCCGAGGCTGCTGTGACAAAGCACCGCACACTCAGTGGCTTACAACCACAGAAATGTATCGACTCACAATCCCAGAGACGAGCAGTAAGAAATCAAGGCGTTGGCAGCTTGGCTGCCCCTGAGGGCAGGGAGGGAGGGTCGGTCCCGTGCCTGGCGCCAGCTTCCCGTGGCCGCAGGCGCCCCTGGGCCTGTGGCTGCCGTCCTTCCCGTGCGTGCACAAGGTCTTCCCTCCGTGTGCGTCTCTGTGCGCAGATTCCCCTTTGGGTTATAAGGACGCCGTCACACTGGATCGGGGCCCGGCCCAATGGCCTCATGGTCAAGACCTCGTCTCCAAAGCAGGCCGCACTCGGAGGTGCCGAGGGTTAGGACTCCGGTATGCCCGTGGCGGAAGGACACGTTCAGCCCAGCACACTACTGACGCAATTTGGGGGCCTCGCAGGAGTCCTGCAGAGTGAACAGCTCGTCTCCTCATTCTCATGCTCTCCTGTCCCCCCTCACACAGAGACACACGTGTGCACATGGACACACACACAGAGAGATAAACACATGTGCAGAATCCCACACAGATGCATGGAAATGGAGAGACATGTATAGACACAGTTACACAGAGATCCACACAAAGACACTCAGATACACAAACGTAGATACACTCACACACACACCCCAGTACATAGAGGCACACACAGAGACACACGCCTACACCTGGGCACACACACTGAGACACACACACAGATACGCAGAAACACGGAGAGACACACAGACACGCAGACACACAGACCGGCATCCTGGGCGCGTGGCTCGCGTTGGTCTGTTCATCCCACACTCTTCCCTCAGCTCTGCCTCCGCCCTCATTCTCTCTGCTCTTTGGGGCCATAACATTTGTATCTTCAGCAACTTTAGGGGATTCAGAGGATAAATGGAGATTAACTGGGCACATTGACGCTCCCACATGCGACTGAGAAACAGCCCAGAGGCACATCCACGGGGGCCCGGAGCACCGCCAGGGCGCCTTTGCCACAGAGGAGACATGCTCCCCGCCCCCGAAATGATGTCCTTTACGGAGCTAAGCCGCCTGCCTCCGAGCCCGGCCTGTCTGTACCAGAAACGCCCAGTGACCCCCTGACCTGCGGCTCTCAAAGCTTGACCTACTTTCTGCCCAGCTCCTCCCCCGCAGGCTGATTTCTCTTTATCCTTGTCCTGCAGGTCGCGCTCCTCAGCTCAGCACATTCGTGTTCCACGAGGAGGAGTAACCTGTCACTTTAAAAGAAAAAAAAAAAAGCCGCCAAGTGACCTTCCTTAGGAACGAGTTGCTAAGTGGGTGTTTTTGCGAAGGCTTGGCTGCAGCTTCCCTGGAGCCCGAGCCCTGGGACCGCCCCAGCGTTCGGCCTTGCCCTTTGAGCTCAGAGAAGACGCCACAGGGAGACCCGTCTCTCTCCGCATCCCCTTCGCCCCAGAAAGCAGAATCTGCCACGTGCCTTTGTAACGTTTCTTAAGGTAATTCCCTCCCCGCCCCCCCCTCCTCCTCCACCTCCTCCTCCTCGTCTGGGAGCAGGGCTGCTGGGGGCCTGCTCTCAGTACCCACCTTGGGGCTCAGCCCCGCCCCTCGGGCGCTGAGCAGACTGAGGGACTTGTCAGGCACGTTAGGGGTTCTCATCCTTTTTATCCACGTTCTAGTTTCTGGAATTGAAACACACAGCAGCATCCTTCAGGCCGCTTTGATTAGAGCAGCCGCCTGGAGCCTGGTTTGCAGCAACGCTAAGTCAGCCCCTGGGAGAATTCCTCCCAGACGGTCATTCCGCTTCCTGGGACACTGCCCAGCCCGGCCAGCCCACTGCATTCCAGTCTCCCAGAAGCGTGGGCTGAGTGGTGCCTTCCTGGGCCCCTTAGCCCACACTGGTTCAAAGGGTTCAGGAGTAGCTATTGCAAGCCTCCCTTTTCTTCGCACTAGACAGCCAAGGCCCACGACAAAGGGCTGAGGATCCCTGTGAGAAGCTCATAAAGTCTAATGGGAAATACATGTACAAGACGTTATTAATTTTTCATAGAACTTCTGCAAATCAACTCAGCGCCAGCACATGGTGTCTCTGCCTCTCTCTCCGAGGGCTCATTTACAGAGCCATCCATTGAAACATTTATTGAATATTAACAATGCACCAGGCCACGTGCTGGAAATTCAGAGTGCACAAAATCGAGTCAGACCGGGTCAGAAGCTCCGAGTTTCCCAGGAAGACGGACTGTAAACAGATAACAGAGCCCTGAGAGATTTATAGAAGGGACTGCAGCGCTCCGAGCCCAGCGGGACCCCTCGGGGAGGGCCCGGGGGCACTCGGTGCGTCCTGTCAGCCCCCCAGGCACAAATCCCAGCACAGCTCCAATGTTTATATGCGCTCTTTGAAGGCAGTGCCTGGGATATGGAGCTGCTTAAACGATTCTCTAAAGCTATTTGGCTGGAATAACTTGTAGAACTGGGGGATGAACTCAAAAGGATGCGTGTGGCACCCGCCAGGGCTCCAGGCTGCAGCTCTAACAGGAGGGAACAGAGAAGCTAAGCGCCGTGCTCAGGGGAAACCGCCCGTGTGGGGTAGGAGGGCGGGGGCGGCTTCCGAGGCCCCGTCAGTGGAAACAGAAGGGAGACTGCCTGGCGTCTGTTCGGTGTGTCACTTGCCCACCTTCTACCAGTTAGTTACCCCTGGCGAGAGGACCCCCGCCGAGGGAGGAGTCGCGACCACACGCTCACAGACGGAGGGACGTCTGTCTCCTCTTGAGAGGTGTAGGCATCGCTCCAAGAGCACACAGCTGGTGCGTGCAGCTGGAATTGGTACCCAGGCCCATGTCATTTTTCGCAAAGCCCTCGCTCTCTGTGGGAACCCATGTGTTCACCGTCCCGGACAGGGGCGCACATCCTGTGTTCATTGTTCTAAGCAGCCAAGGCTGAGATGAGGACGGTTCTGCCCTTTTCGTACACCTTCATTCCTTCGTCCCTACAGCCTGTTGAATGTGTGACTTCGATCCTCTGAGGACAGTCCGTTCGTCTAGGGGAAGGTACCAGGACTTCCCTTCAAAACTGTGTTCGGTTTTCTGTACTGAGCTAAAGAAATCATGAACCTAACCTCACCAACGCTCTTGCTCACTGGCGCGGCGCTCTGCAGTTTTCCGGTGTAAAGATGTCCAGCATCACGGGCTCACGGGACAGTTTCTGATACCACTGACAAAACAGGAGCACGTGGTGAGACAGACGGAGGCGCAGAGATGCCTGAGGGAGGACTCGGAAGTCGTGCTGGAGTCAGATTCTGAATGCCACATTTAACGGCGATACTCTTGGGCAAATCGCGCAGCCTGTCAGAGGTGACCTCCGGGGACACCTCCGGTTCCTTTCAGGTAAACTGAGGCAGGCGCTGCTAAGCCAGCAGTATTGTTGCGAGACCTAGTGACAACATTTGTCTGGAGGGAGCTCAGAGTGAGCCTGCAGCAAATCACGGCTGTTATTTTGATATTGTTGATGGAAATGTACAAAGAAGCACTCCGAGCTCAGGCTGACAAGCAGCATATTAACGTTGGGCCGTATTGATGTATCTTTTCTTAGTAAGAGTGTTCATAAAAGAAAAATAAATTTTGATGTCATCTGGTTTCCTTAGAAACTCATTCAAAGGTAATGACCAGGAAAGAATGAGAAGAAAAAGGCAACCCCATTACATTTTTCATTTTCTACTTCTTCCTTTCATACATAACATTTTTTAATTTACTGGAAAAATCTCTTTTTAAGTCACGGAAACGTTCCCCAGTTCCTTGGTTCTAGTTTGCAGGGTTCAGAGTTGTTGATCAGAGCGCTTCTGCGTCCGTGGGAATTTTATTGTTATTATCCGCCCCCTGGCTCTCTCTAGAATACCTCCTCTCCTTCTCCTTTTCTCAGCTGCTTCTCTTGTTTCCCTGCCTCGATTGTCTGCAGCCTCTGAGGGGGTCTGGGTGGGAGACACTAGAAATTCAAGTGCTCTATTTTCCCTTTAACACGCTAATTCCCCGTGAGGGTCAGCCACACCTTGAACACCTCCGGCGGGCTGCTGACATGGACGAATCCAAGTTAAGACTCGGCCTCCGGGGACAGCAGCGAGGGCTTATGATTTGCCAGCCCTCATGTTCCACCCCCTCCCACGTGCTCATTCATTCTTCACGGCGGCCCAAAGGGGACAAGGAAGCTCTGACGGGCTCCAGAATGGGGCTGTGAGGACACAGCCAGTAGGGAGATGCAGGCATTCATTTGAAAAGTATGCATTGAGAGTCTGCCGTGTGTCAGAGTCCTGGGCTCTGGGGGTGTTCCTGCCCTCTTGTAGCTTCTATTCTAACAGGGAATGAGCAGGCGATCACAAATGAAGATGCATGTCGACGGGTGATAAGTGCTGAGGGGAAATAGACCCTCGTACGGTAGGTACTGAGCTCCAGGAGGGTGAAGGCGGAAGGTCAGCACTGTGTTGGGAGTGTTTGTGGAGGACCGCTCCAATAGAATGAACTTGGAACAGAGTCCTGAGGCACTGAACAAGAGAGAGAGCCCCACAGACCTCTGGGGCAAGAGCATGCCATGCAGAGAGAACAGCAAGTGCCCAGACCCCGAGGCCAGAGGATTCAAGCATAGAACCTGCAGCAATGAGCTGGTTATTGAAAAAAATGGAATTTTATCATGTTGAGAAAGGAAAGTCTTTGGAGGATTTTGCATGGAGGAATGACTTGATCTCACGTAAATTTTAAACAATTTGCTCTGATTTCAACTGTACGTGCATAAGGTGGGAATCAGAGAAGTTAGGGGGTCCTTGGGTGAGGCCACAAGAGAGACAGGGTGCCCCCCCAAAGGGATAACATGGAGGTGGTAGCTGGAGGTGGTTGAATTCTCAGTATGATTGGAAGGCAAAGCTGGACAAGTGTCTGATGGGTTGGATGCGGTGTGTCCTGTGAGAGTCAGATCAGAATCAAGAATGACTCCAAGGTTTCAGCCTGAGCAAAATGCAGTTCTGTTTATGGCCACAAGGGAGGTCGCAGGACCAGCCGGTTGGATGTCAGGACAAGAAGCTTCATCTGGAGCGCGTTAAACCCATATTCCTCTCGCACTCGGACACGTGAGTCTGGAGTTCTGGGGACACATGTGGGCCCAGGAGGTAACTTGGAGAGAGAATATCAGCAGGTCGATGGTGTTTAAAGCCAAGCAGCAGGAGGAGACCCCCCCAGGGAATGAGTAGAGGCAGGCTGAGCCCAGGCACCCCCATGGGGTGGTCGGGAGACGAGGAGAAGCCGGCCCTGGAGTCTGACAAGCAGCAGCCTGCGGGCAGGAGGAAAACCAGCAGACAGCGTGTCCCAGGAGCCGAGTGAAGACAATGTCAAGGAAAAGAAAGTGACGGGTCGCGTGCCTTCCTACACGGCTCTCCGTCGGGTGGAGTCAGATGGGGACTGAGGACCCATCCGTAGATGTGGTGGCACAGGGCTCGCTGGCAAGAGCAGTTTCAGGAAGTGCTGAGCTCAAAACGCCGACTGGGAAGAGAAGGTTCGAGGACTTTTCCTGTAGAAGATTGAAAAGCTGAGCAACAGCTAGAAGGAAACACGGAAGTCGGGGAAGGTATTTTTAAAGGAAGGGCCGGTTACAGCACTTTGTGCGCTGAGAGTGGTGAGCCGGCAGGGCCAGAGGAAAGGACCCTCCGGGTGGAAGGGAATGATCCTCCTTATCAGGCTCTGGAGGAGGGGGAGGGGACGTGGATGCGAGCAGGGACAGGCCACAGTAGCAAGTGGGAGCAGAAGAGGTGACATCCTTCAGCGGGGAGGGAGAGGGAGATGTGAGAACCCCCTTTGGTCTCATCTCTGGCTCAGTGAAATGAGAACCAAGGTCAAGGGTAGAAAGGAGGAGAGGGAAGGTGGAGGTCTGAGGCTGGGAAGTATCTTTCCGGAGCTGGGTCCTCTGACTGCAAGGGCAGGGCCACTTCCTGCCTCCCCCCATGATGCTCAGGAGGGCTCCGTGGCAGGCGGATGGGAACAGAAGGCCTGGCAGCCCCCCTGCTCCCCAAGGGGTCATCCCCACCAGCCCTGGGTCTGTGAGGACATGTTCCTGGTGAATGGGGCGTCTACTCAAGTCAAGCACTTCGCTGCCCATGGAGGTCAGCTTCGCATCTGTCAACAGTAAGAAAGACATTCCACGGACGCAAAGGCGTGACTTCTTTGTTCTTTGTCTGTCAGGGAGGAGCCATCACAGCCAGAATGGATCCCAAGGAAGAAAAAATGAAAATAATCACAGAGGTACGTGGTTCGTTAGACACCCTCTCGGGCTGTGCTTGTGTGGGCTGTGCACTCACATCACACGTGTTTGTGAGGGAGGAAACTCGGCCAGCAACCAGCGCGAATCGCCCGGCCACGGCACTGCACTCAGAGGGGGCTGTGTCGGGCACGTGGTGGGGAAGAGGGGGGTGGATGGTGCAGGAAAGGCAGCTGGCAGGCACTACAGGGGTTTTAACTCTGACACACAGCAGTTTTGAGGCACCACCTGCTATAGCAGCCAGCTCTGCTGAAGCCCACAGGTTCCCAAAGAAATTCAGAGTGAAGGTAGCAAGCATAGCGTAGAACCACCGATCAAATCCTCCGTCTTGTGGAGTCCCTGCCATTTCTGACTCATTGTGCACAAGCATCATTAAACACTGTCTAGGACAGAGAAAGAGGGCTGTCTCCAGTTTGGAGACCGTAGACCCCCAAAACAGGGGGACTTACTCCCCTCAATCCTTGCTTCTGTCTTGGCTCCGGGGCTCCCTGACTGGAGACCACGGAGACAGACGGGGAGACACTACGCTCTCTTCAACAGTGTTTCAAAAAGGCTACAGGAATACATTTCCCAGATACAACCTCATCACTCCACATCTGCTCATTCATTCACGCAGCAGATGTCTGCTGTGCCTCCAGGCCCTGGGGGTACAGCGGGGAACACACCCCTGTGCCCTCGTGGAGTTTACGTTCTATGTAATTTGAAGTCCCACCGGACTGCTTCTCATTGATGAAGGATCGAACCATTATTGGAAAGTGAAAAAAGAACCTAGATTTCTCATAAGGCCACTCTAAGCCAGCAAGAACTTAGACTTGACTGAGGAACCATACTTGCGTACCCCAGTGCTATCAGCGTCGTGCGTGTAATCTCAGGTGGCGAGTTTCTGAGCTCAGAGCACTCCCTCCCTGGTGGGCACCCGAAGGGCAAGGTCTGAGTGAGCCCTGCCCCCAGAGGGCGAGTCAGAGAAGGGGGAGCAGCCCACACCGTGCCCATGCCCCGGGTCACCTCCGCTGTCACTGAAGTTCACGTCTCCCCCGATCCCGACAGCCAAGGGCATGATGTGTGATTGGAGCCTCAGCCAACGACCTACGTTACACGTCTTTGAACTCTCATATCATCAAAACCCATGCTTTCTGTTCCAAGTTTGTTTCTGTATGAAAATTTTAAAGTTCCCAATTTTAAAGAAAAACTCTAATAAAGCTGGTGTACTAGGGAGAAATTCTGGCTTTATCTTGCAATTACTCTTATGCCCAGAAGTGCTTGCTCCCCAGTTTGAAAAACTTTAGCACTAGACAAGTTGAATGCTTGACGATGTGAGTGCATTCAGCTCTGACGTTTTATGAACAGAACTTGAGAAAATGCCATATGGGAAAAGAAAAAATGAAGTTTGCACTGTTGAAGGATGTCTTGCTTTTTTGAAAGATCTGCCAAGTGTTTCTTTAAATCATAACTTCCACCGTGATTCAACCTGTATTAGCATCATTCTCCCCCTGATAGTAAGACCCGGGGTGCAGAGAGGCCTGACCCTGGAGTCCCTTCACGAGGTTCTGGGCCGCCCTGTGTGAGGGCCCTTCATCTGGGCCAGCCCGCTGGCCCCAGAAGGTTCCCTTGTTAGCTGCCCATCAGGTTGTGACTTTTGAAGGTGGGGGTATCTCTGTGCCCCCCAGTGCCAGGAACACAGTAAGCGCTCAATAAATGCCCTATGCCGAAGGAGCACCTGGGACTAGGGAAGCCCCGTCACCTCTTTCCCAGGGTTTCCATTTGGAAACAACTTTTCAAGGATGCATCTGTTCTGGGAAGGGTAGGTGGGGATGGCTGGTCCACCCACACTCAGCCTCAGTGCATGGAGGCCCCGGGGCAGGATGGCGATTTTCATTTCAGTACCTAAGAGTCACCCCCTTTCTCTCTTAACGGTTCTTTCTAAACACACACACACACACACACACACACACACACTCATCAAGTGACACACCAACTGACGACTCTGTCATTTGCACTTTGACAAAGGAGGTCATTGAAAATGATGAGGATGCAGATATGGGAAGAGAGAAGGCTGCGAAGGCTCACAGACAAAGAAGAAAGAGACAGGTAGGGTCTCGAACTGTTGGTTCACAACCCACCTGCACCCACGGGGCAGGGGTGGGGGGGCCACGCATCCTTCTCTGGGGGAGGCGGGGACCTGTGGGTGGCCCAGGGGGGGCCCTCGTGTGGCACGCAGGACACTCACGACAGGACCCCGGTCAGTACAGGGACATTTTTCCTCCAAGGTTACCCTCCCCTGGGAGAGAAGTCTGGAAATGATGGGAAGGGCCTGTTCAGGGTTGTCATCACAGGCCATTATTAGCTAAGGCCGACGATAGATGGCAGTGCAGGACTGCAAATCTTGGGAACCCCCCTACCCCACCCCTTCTTTCTCCAACTCGGAATTCCGCTTCAGTCCCAGCGGGAGGCCCACTCCCAACTCCCGGCGCCTCGGGCAGTCCCGCCCCCAGCTCTCCTCTCCGCAGCGGTCGCCCCCCCTAACTGGGAGCGTCCCCCAAGCAAGTGCAAGGTCAACTTCGCAAGGTAATAAAATCCCTTGGTACGGGGCCTTGCCTTCCTCAGACGGACGATTTGTTTGGAATACCCGGGATGCCAGCCAGGGAAGGAAGGGACGGGAGCGCCATTTTGAGCCAGCAGCCCTGAGATGGGGCCCGTGGAAGGGTGGTGGGGACAGTGGGGAGGCGGGGAGGGCACCCGAGAGCCCCCCCACAGGGAAGAAACCCTCCTCTCAGCTCCTCTTCCCCAGTGCACTGCCGTTTTAACCAGCCCGGCTTCGGGGCAGATTTCTGCTCCTGCAGCTGAGACAGAGCCACCCAGGGGAGGGCCCAGGGGATGGGAGGTGCTGCCCAGCCACGTGGCTGGTCCCTCCGGCCACTCAGAGAGCTTTAGCCTCCTGCTGCAGGATGAGCGGTGGCTCGGCAGCAAAGGGCCAGGGGACCCAAGGAGGCGGCCGTGGCCCAGAGCAGATAGGAAAAGGGCAAATGTTTAAAGCAAGGGCCGCAAGAAGGGTGAGCTGGGCGGCCAGGATTAGGGGGCATGGGGTAGAGAATGGAACCCAGGGTCAGGCATCTCAGTCCTTAGGCATCAGCTCATTAACTGAACAGGCACGAGAGCCCCGTCACTGACCGCACAGCAGCCACTGGGGCTTTGTGACAAACCTTCGGGAATGATTCTCAACCCCCTGCCACTTCACAGTCACTGGGGCACTTTTTTCCTTTAAGTAGATGCCTCAGATTCCGCCCCCCGCCCCACCCCAGCAACCCAGGCCATTCATTGAAGCCAGAATCTCTGTGCATTGCGCAATGCCCAATACGTAGCAGCATCTCAGTGGATGGGCTTTTCAATTCCCCTTCGTTTACTGAGAGGGAAGGAGGGAAGCTAGCAGTCCAACGGCCTTCCCAGACTCCCACGGTACATCTGAGTTCAAGCCTTTGGCCCATCGAAAGGACCATCATCACTCAGCCTTGGCCTCCCTGGCCACCTTCTCTCACCTGCCTGCCCTCCTCTGAGAGTCGGGGGAGGACACCGGGGCGACTCTTCGCCCTGGGTCACCCGGGGACACCGAACAGCTGTTCCCAAACGAGTTGGAGTTGGGATCAAATAGTCTGGCCGTGCCTTCCCTACTTCCCCGTCTCTCCCAATGCCTGCAGCGCTCTGGACATTATACGCAGAAGACGTGGAAATGTTCACTTTATCTGGGGATGCCCTTAGAGAAACGCAGGGTTGGCCCCGCCTCCCTGCGGAGTGGCCGCTGAGATGCAGGTAGCGGGGACCGCGGTTATCCGGGTCTGAACAGTGCGCGGGTCTGTTCCCTGTTTGAGGGGCCCACCCCATCCCGAGACAGGCCCCGAGTCCCCCGAAGCCCTGAGAGTCACAGCCTCCGCCCCTCTGCCCGCAGCTGCGCACCGCCGGCCCCGCGGAGATGGTGTCTGGCAGAGATGATCTTGGAGGCCCACGGGAGGCGGCAGCGGAGGATCCCGACCCCAACACCCAGCTCCTGGGCGTGACGGCCCGCCGAGGCCCGCGAAGTGAGTGTCTCTTGGTTCCGGTCTCTGCCGACCAGCAATGCTGAGCATCTTTCCCTGTGCCCATTGACCATGTGTATGTGATGTTTGGGGAAAGGTGCATTCGTTGCCCACTTTCCCATCGAGTTCTTTGCTTTGCTGTTAATGTCACTGAGTTGTAGGAGTTCTTTATATGATCTGGAGAATGGCCCCTTGTCGGGCAGAGGGTTTGCCTTGTTTTCTCCCATTTCATCGTCACCTTTTCGCTCTGTGGGGCGTGTCCTCGGACGCACCAGACGTCTACGTTTGAGGTGGTCCCTTTGGTCCGTTTTCGCTTCTGTTGCCTGTGTTTTGTGTCGTGTTCAAGAAATCTTCGCCAAACTCAGTGTGGTGAAGGTCTCCTCTGTGCTTCTTCTAGGAGTGGTATAATTTCAGGTCTTGCATTTAGGTCTGTAGTCCATTTTGGGTTTATTTTCCTGTGTGGTGTCAGGTAAGGGGCCGGCTTTATTCTTTCGCGGGTGGATAACGAGCTTCCCAACACCATGTGTCAAAGAGGCCGTCCTTCTCCCACTGAGAGGTCTCGGGGTCTTTGTTGGAGGTCATTTAATACAAGGGTTTACTTCATGACCCTTGCTCATGGGGGCTGGAGCAATAACCAAAGCTACCTAAGCCACGGGAGCCTCAGTGATAAAACGGGGATAATAAAAGCCTGGCTTCGTGTAGCTGTTACGGCAATGAAATCCGCTGATGTGCCGAAAGCATCCCTCAGAGGGTCTGGCACATACCCAGCAGTGGCCTCCTCCAACTGGAAGAAAAGCTCTATGCTAAGTCACTAACAGAAATAATTGCCTTTCTTGAGGCTAAGACGTGACAGGCACCATGCTAAGGGCTTTACATGCGTCACATTAGTCTAGTCCCAGAACAGCCCCACCACTAGGCATCGCTCTACAAACGAGGGAACCGTGTTCAGAGAGGACCAGCAGCTAGGGGCGGTGGAGCAGAACGCCAGCTCCAGTCGGGGGACCTCCGGGAGCCGCACTACAGATAGCATTGCTCTGCACCCACAAACCTCCACCCTGGCTGGTCTTTGAAGGTGGTATGGTTCATGGCTGCCCCCGGAGGGAACAGTGGCAGTGCTACAACTGGCACTGTCCACAGCAGTGTCAGGGCCCCCCAGGGACTCCGTATACGGGCAGGGGAGCCAGCTCAGAGTCTTCTCAAGATTGTCGACCTCACTGTGCCTTGTTTTTCCCCCAAAGTGTGTCACTCAGGTAAATCGCACACCTGGTTCTCCCCACCTAGGCCAACCCCTTCTCTATTTGGGGTTTTGTTCGTTTGTCTTTGCCTAGCTCCTTACCTTTCAAAAACCAGTATATACGTCGCCTCCTTTGGGAAGTTTCCCCATTGCCCACCCCCGCCCCGTGTGGCTGAGCAGACGTGCTCCGTGTTTTGTGGGCTGGGCCCTGGCCCATGTGAGTGCCTGAAGTCTTTCTCGTTGGCACACGGCCTCCCCTCCCCGCTGGACTAGGACTCGTTGAGGACAGACTCTGACTGTCCGCTCCGCTCAGCACGGCGCTGGTACACACACGGCACTCTGCAGTGCTGACTGGGTGACCCGTGTCTCAAGCTGGCCTTCCTGCGTTTGACTGGGGCTGTGCTCTGGCCTAGGTGTGCTCCCTCACCACCCCCACCTCCATGCCCGCCATGCTCTTGCAGCTGTGTCTGTTCCCCTGAGGCCAGAATTTCGACTTCCCAGACCTCTCGTGGCTCTGGCGTGCCCCTCGGAGCTACCACACAGCTCCTCACCTTGAACCTGCAACCCTCTCCACGTTGTCGCATTCCCTCGGGGCCCCGAGCGTTGTCAAGGTCAGACAGTATCCAGACACTCAGACGCCGGCACCCCTGGTTGTGTGGCCTCCTCCACCGCACCGGCCTCATGCCCAGAGGTACCACTGCCCTGGTTAACGGCAGCACAGGTCTACACAGGGAACACTTTGTCTTCTAATTTGCTGTTCAAACGCGTACACAGTCCGGACATTCCACACAAAGCAAGCACTGCGCTGAGCAGGCCCAAGTTCCAAACCAAACAAACATCTAGAACAAAAGTGCACACATTCCCCCATGACTCCAGCTCGCAGCCCCGCTTTAGGGAGTGACAATCAAATGTTAAGTGGTTTCTTATGAACAGAAATTTCTTCGTTACAGACATCTGTTTTCCGTTCATTCGTGTTGGCTTCTCTGATTAAAGCACTTCAGAGCCAACTTCTCAGTATTGATTGAAAAGGGAGTTCAGAACCTGGTGAAATTTGATGCCAAAGAAAGGAAATAATAGACCATTTCGTTTGGGCATACTTTCTAAATCCCACAGGGAGGTGCAAAGACTGACCCAGGAAACACCTGTCCAAGGGACGGGGTGAGGCAGGAGAGCCACCCAGGGGAGCAGGGTCCGGGGTGTTCTCGGAGCCCCGCGGCTGCAGAAGGGAAAGAACGTTCTAGTTAGAGGACGCATCTTGGGGGAGGCAGGGATGCCGGAAAGTTCCCCTCCAGTGGAGACACTACTCGCTCACACAGTGCTGAGAGACAAGTATAAATAAATAGTACACTCTATACCATAGAATTTTTTATTTTCTGAATATTATGATGTCTGACATCTTAAGAAAAAATAAACCGTTCTAGCTGGGGAGAGACCAGCTCATTCTTGGAGAGGACAAAGGGCCCGGACCGGAGCTTGCTGGATGCAGGATGCACAGACTCCCCAGCCCGGGGCCCAGCCCCCTCTGCCCGGCCCTCGCTCCCCAGCAGGCCATAGTCCTCCATCTGAACCAGCCCAGGGCCCAGCACCAGGAGACCGGAGACCACCCCGTAGACCAGAGCCCGCCCGGCTCCCCAGACTGGCCAGTGCTGGGCTGTTCTCCCTGCCCTGCCCTGTCTTTCCCTCGGCAACCCCGACAGAGGCCGGGGCCTGAGCTCTCCCTGCTCCTGCCCTCTGCTCCCTGACCACCTGGTGTCTTCCCGTGCAGCCCCGTGGGGTCCGCCCTGCGGGCGGCTCTAGGACCTGGGAGGACAGTGCACCTCGTGTCCCAGGCCTCTCCTCTGTCTCCTCCGTGGCTGCACCTGAATGACCATCATACAGGAACACAAAGAATGCAAAACATACACATTGTTATGATTAGTTATAAGGGAAAGCTTTTTCCAAAAAAAACTTCCTTTACAGCAAAATCCCCCCCAAAGTCACGTGGCCCCATTTTTGTATACAACCTGGAACCTACTGCACTCTAACTCACGCCCCCACTCCCCGTCAGAGCTGTTCCCGTCGCGGTTGCCCAGGAAGGCACGTCGCTCAGCGCGGCAGTCAGCTCTCAGTCTGTACCTGCCTGTCGGCAGCGCGGCTGAGCTCTCCGCTCCCACCTTCCTCTGCGCCTTCTTCCCTCTGGACTCCGCTCTCCTGGCTGGGCGTCCCCCTCGCTGCTGCACCCCAAGTCCTTGCCAGCCTGTGATCAATTGTGAGACACAGTTTCCTCAACTGAAACTGAGCTGACCTCCTTCTCCCCATCGCAACGCGTTCCTCCTGCAGTTTCCCCATCTCATTCCATGGGCATTTTATCTCTGCTGCTGCTCCGAGGTCAAAACCTCGGAGTCCTTCGTCGTTCCCGTCTTTCTGTCCGCCTGCCCGAGTCTAATCTATCAGCAGGTGCTGTTTGCTCTGCCTGTAGGACAGATCTAAATCAGGACCGCTCTCACGCCCCCACCACCACCACCAGCCGGCCCCAAGCGAACTCTCACCCAGAGTACCGCAGTTCTCTGGGTCCCCTCGCCCCTGTTCACAGCCCAGCGGCCAGAGTGGACTTCTGGGAACAAAGTCACGTCACTCCGTTCCAATCCTCCGGCGGCTCTCCATTGACTGAGAGTTAAAGCCACACCCTGTTGGGTGATCTGTACCCACACAGTTCGTCTCCGCCTTGTCTTCATGACCCAGAAACCTCTCACTGCCTCTCCCCTCCCCTGGGGTCCCCCTTTCTGCTCTGGCCCCATAGGCAGTGTGGCCCTGTCTCAGCCATGGCGCCTGTAGCTAAAATGCTTGTCCCCCACTGTCCCCCTCCTTCGCCTGTTCCAACGTCACCCTGAAGGCCCTGCTTGGCCACTCGACTTCAGACTACAACTTGCCCCTCCCTCCTGGCCCTCCTCGTCCTCGATCCTGCTTTGTCGGCCTTCCTACGACCTCTGTACCCCCGTCATACTACATATACTCCTTGTTAACGGTCCCCTCCGGCCCACCGGCAGATGTCCTCCATGATGGTGGGACATTTGTTTGCTTGTTCACTGTTCCAGCCCTCATGCCTTGCACACCTAACAGGTGCTTAATAAATATCTGTTGGTTGGATCCTTGAAAAGTGGAGAAGAGACTCTCTAGTCTAGCACTTCCAAAGCCGGGTTGTATCAAAGACTGGTATTCTGTCAGAGACGAACTCTCACTAGCATATTCCAGCTTTAGAAGCTTTGCATAGCATTTCCCCTCTCCGAAATTCTCAGTTTGTTTGGAGATCACTCCCTCCTACCCGGCTGTCTCTCCTGCAGTTCCGCGCCCTCCTCCTGTTTTTTCTGTTCTGCCCGAGGCCTTGCGCAAGGCCCAGCTCCGGCGGCAGGACCCAGGCTGCCTGTCGCCCTGGGTCTCAAAGGAGCCGAGGCCCGTGCTGATGGGGTCCAATGGGTCGCTGTCACCATTATTTCTCGTTTGCGCGTGCAGAGTCCTAAATTTGCAAAAATAAATTTGCATTCTCTTGTTTCGTTTTTAATCTAATCTTCCCTTTGGGAAAACAAAATGTTGGTTTACAGTCATGTTATTCTATGTTCTAGGCTTACCTCCGATCCCGTCGGCCTCCAGAACGGGCTTTGCGGAGTTCTCCATGAGGGAGCGCATGCGCGAGAAGCTGCAGGCCGCCAGGGTGAGCGGGCCCCGCGGCTGCGCCGTTCCGTGCAGTGGGGACAGCCGCCCTTCGGGGCGCGTCTTCAGCTGCCTTTGTGTGTTCCCGGCGGCGGCGTGGGTCGGAGCGCTGCGGAATGTCCCTTCACATTTTTTAATGGGAATGTAGTCATTTCACATTGGTGCAGATAAAAATTATGCTGGAGGGGACTTTGAGGTCATTTTTCTCAACCACCTCACTTGCCCTCCTGCCTTGAGGGAGTAAAGATGTGTCCCTAAAGGGACAGCACTCCGCCGAGAGGGCGAGCGTGGTTTTCACTGCGTCGCCGACCCGACACAGCAGTAACGTTCTGCGTGGTTTTTCAGTCCAAAGCAGAGAGTGCGTTGCTCCAGGAAATGCCCACCCCTCGGCCCAGGCGCTTACGAGGCCCCGGTGAGAAGGACCTGGAGACTGAGTTCGGCACGGAGGTGAGAAACGGCCGCCATCTCGGCTTTAGGACCAAAGACGGTGAGAGGGAAGGCATCACTTCCAGCTGGAGCGCTGGAACAGGGCTGTGCCCAGCGGGGGGGTTCGCCACTTGTGGATCATTATAATAGTCACCGTGGATGGAACACTGCCCAGTGCCAGACGCTTGGCCCGGTCTCGTTCCCACGTAATCACGTATCATCGCCCCAGCCCCCCTGGGGACAGGGGCTGCTTCTCTCATTTGCATTTGACAGATGGGCACACTGAGGTCCAGAGCAGCTGCAAAGCTGTCCCCGGGCCACAGAGCATGTGGGGGGAAGCGCCAGGATTCGATCCCAGCTCTGTCTCATTCCCAGTCTGGCTCATGGGTCAGAGTTGCTGGGTCCATGGATCTTGCTGGGAAACAGAGAGAGGGAGGAGAGCAGGGTCAGAGGGTGGAAGGGCCTGGATTGTCGCTCTAAGGAGACTCGGTGCTTTTTTACATTTCGGTGCTTTTTTACATGCCATGGGAAGCTATTGGTGATGGGATAGGGACGTGGGGTGAACACACTGGGGTGACCGTTATTCGAATCCGAGGTGCTGGTGGGGCATCTCAATGTGTGTGTTCTTCTAGAGAGGTCGGTAGAGGGAGGGGCCAGGCCTGGACACACGGATTTAGGAAGAAGCATTTCCACTGCGGTGAGTGCCAAAGGTTCGAGAACACCTTTGTTTCCTGGGGGAGAGAACACTGCATGGAGGGGCAGGTCTTGACACTTGGAGAAAAACTTACTGTCGAGGCCTCCGGGGCAGAGAGGGAGCCAGGCAAAGTCAGAGAGACGTGTCCGGAATATGGAGGGGGGGCAAGCATGCGAAGGGGTGGAAGAAGGAACTGAAGGGACCACCGCAAACGGCTCAGTGAAGTGTCTATGAGTCTGTCCAGCTGTTCCTTGTTGGTGGTGACGGTGGTGTTGGTGGCTTTTTGCCACCAAAATGAAGAAGCACAGGATTTGGGAGTATTTCTGTGGCTTCACCGCTGGCCTCTTCGATGATGCTTTTTCTTTCTCTGTGATGAGATGCTGGAGAGATCTGATCTTTGTCCATCCCAAACAAGCCATGATTGTGTGGTCATAGGAAAGTTGCGACCGTGCTTGTCGGCCGTGGTCCACGGTCCTCGAGTAGGACGCTCAGTGGGGCCAAGGAAATGATTTGGTGACAGTTTGCTGCACTCCACTGAGCTGACTTTCCTTCTTCTCTGATTCCAATTTATTTTTCCTTGTGAGAGCCACAATGTTAAGATATTAGTAAATTTAGAAAAACTACCTAAAATCCCATCAGCTCCGGACTAGGTACTCATTTTGGCAGGTGTGTGAGTTTCAGCGTCTGGTCAAGCAGGTTGAGTGATAGGAGGGCACGACCCCTCATATCTGGTCTTGTCTATGCCTGTTGATTGGCAATCACCTCTCACTTGTCCGTGTGTCATGAATATGAACCCCCAAATAAAGCTGGAAGTGTTAGAAGTAAAAATAGACTCCCTTGGCTTACAAGGTCTTTATTTCTCCTTGTGAACAAGACCTTGACTCGCGTGGCCACTATATTCCCTGTCCCCTCAGAGTCATTGCATGGATTTGCGACAAACATCAGCCGCCTTGTCTTTAGACCCGATCTCAGGTTCCCCATGGAACATCTCACTCACAAACATATTTCTCAGTATACACACCTCAGCCAGAAGGAGTGTCTAAAGAGTGGCCCACGTCCATCCTGTTTTGCCAAGAGTATAGCACACAGAGAACCCAGATGCTGAACCTGAGCTGCCCAGCGTTAAATGCTGACAGGCTCACTCACTAGCAGTGTGACCTTGGACATGTAACCTACCGACTCTGTGGACCCCACTTTCCACCTCCATAAAATAGGGATACTAGCCCTGGCTGGCGTAGCTCAGTGGATTGAGCGCGGGCTGCAAACCAAAGTGTCGCAGGTTCGATTCCCAGTCAGGGCACATGCCTGGGTTGCAGGCCACAGCCCCCAGCAACCGCACATTGATGTTTCTCTCTCTCTCTCTCTCCTTCCTTTCCCTCTCTAAAAATAAATAAATAAAATCTTTTTAAAAATTAAAAAAATATATATAAAAATAAAATAAAATGAACAAATAACATAGTACAAATATGAAAAATAATTTAAAAAAATAAATAGGGATACTACCAGAACCTAATTCTTGGTATTGTATCGAGGATTCAGTGAGTTCACACATGGTATAGCATTTCAGAGAGTGCCTGGCACACAGGAAGCCCTCTCGATTGGAGTATTAGCTAATGTTAGAGGCTGCAGAGTCAGAGAGAAACTCAGAGACCACTTGGGAGTACTTTGGTCAGTAGCCCAAGTTCACCAACACAGACCTGTGCTTGCTCTCTTTTGCGTTTCTTTTCACTTTGTTCTCAGCAACTTCTGATAAAAGAACAAAGCCAAACACAAACCCCCAAGAACACATAGACATCAAGGTGGAAATAACACGGAACGCTCGAACACTGGGCTCCACTAGACAGAGCCAAAATTTCTCTCTCTGTGGGCCTGGCTCCATGTCCCAGGCTCCCCAAGGTCCGATCCTCTGACACACTCTACCTGTCGTCCCGCCAGCATCTATGGGAGATTTCTTCCACCAGGTGTCCGATGGGCTCTGAACTCACAGTGGTGACAGCAACAGCCCACCCTTGAGGACCCCAGGGGGTGACAGACATGCCAACAGACAATGGAGGTACAGGGTGGTTGAGTCCCATGGTGGCTGCTACGTGGAGGAGCCAGGTCCTAGGAGGGGTGGGTTTGAGGAGAGATGAAGACAAGGTGGACACAGCCGCTGGTGGGTTATCTGAGGGGAGAAAGAACACCCATAATGATTATTAGCCCAGCAAGCCATGATAGACAGGAGGCTCCGCTTCCGGTGGGGACAGCAGGTCCCAAGGCCCACGAGAAGGACAGGCCATGTGCCCTGAAGGCTGCATGTTGGACTTATTTACAATCAGACACTGCTGACACTTCTCTTCGTTGACTATTTGGAAAGGATTATCCTCTGTGAAGGATAATCTACTGATCTATAGGAGAAGTAATACTTGTCATGTTAGGATTCATTGAGTATAAAATCTTATATTCGTTTTGTCCTGAGAGAGACAGAGCTGAGTAATATTCAACACTCTTGACCTTCAGATACATTCGACGTTTGTCAGCGCTTCATTCCTCAGGAGCGGCGATCCGCGTTAGTTCTCACAGAATCAGCCTTTTGAGGGTTAACGCTTGCTTCACAGCATCCTCAGCTTCGTCACTGAATGGCGTATGTATCGTTTTCCACTCCTCTAGCCAGGCAGAGGGGCACAGAGGACCCCACAGGAAGACGACTCCCAAGCGCACGCAAGAGTCAAGTTCCGTGATTCTGCGCGAAAAATCAAGTCTAAACCCCCGGTGAGAAATCTAAGATTTTATTCATTTATTTTTAGGGGGGGAAAGGAGGGGGATAGAGAGAGAGAGAGAGACATCAATGTGCGGTTGCTGGGAGTTATGGCCTGCAACCCAGGAATGTACCCTAGCTGGGAATCGAACCTGGGACACTTTGGTTCCCAGCCCGCGCCCAATCCACTGAGCTATGCCAGCCAGGGCTGAGAAATCTTGTCTTTTCAGATCACACGTGTTTTAAATCATGCATGCTTGAAATCATGCTTTTTGTTAGTTTGTTTTTCAAAAAAACTCCAATGAGAGATAATGATGATGTATGTGACCTAGCTGTTCTTGTCATGGAGTAGGCAGGGAAAACGTATGAGAAATAATTCCTACATTCCAAACCCTAGACTGATGCTCTGGAGAGAGGAGAAGAATGCCCAGCTGGGGGCAGGGAAATGCAGGGAAGGGCAGGAAATGCTAGTGGTAAGGCGATGTTCAGTTCTGAAGTCGCCTGCACCGGCTTTCAATATGGATAAAAGGGGGATACTAACTCAGGAGGAACAAAACCCCCAAAAAAGGTCTTTAAAAAGAAGGCTACAAATCTTGCATTGATCATAACTAAAACCATTTCAGTTTTAGTTGGCCTATAAAACAATGAATCCACTTTTTGGCATTTTAACCATCCTTGCTAAAGCTTTTACTGCTCTAAGTGCTTGTGGGAGTGTAAATAATGGCTGGTTTATAAAAGGTAACTCACTCAAGATAACTTATTAAATGAGACCACCGACTGCCTGTTGGATTGTCACAGCTCCCTGCCTGTAGTCTTGCACCTTCAGCGAAGGTAATACACGTCCCAGGCCCGGGATGCGCCTGGTGCCGTCAGCCCCGGCCAGCGGTCGGCGAACTGTGCAGCAGCGCCCACTTCAGCTCGTGAAATCTAAAATCCTATTGCTCTCCACTCTCCTTAGGTTCCGCCTGGCTTCCCTTCTGCTGAAGAAGCCTATAACTTCTTTACCTTCAGCTTTGACCCCGAACCAGAGGAATCAGAAGAAAAAACAAAAGTAAGAAGCAGAGATGGAGCTAACCAAGAGGAGGAGGAAGGAGAGGGAGAAGAGCCACCCGTGCGAGGAGCAAACCAAATGGTATTTAATATTGTGATGGGAACGCAGAGAGGGGTGCTGTTGATGATGGTGACGATGATGATGATGAGGGTGGTGGTGGTGGTGGTAATGATGATGACATCCTAGCCAGGAAGAAAGTGGCTAAAGACAGACCTGCCACCTCCACACAGAACAGCTCATTCATGTCTTAATTGAAAGTAAAAGGGGTACTAGGTTCACATTATTTTCTGTGGCCTTGGATTTCACCCCACAATTTGAGTAGTGAGGGCCTTGAATTAAACCTTCCCTTCTTTCTTCGGTGGAGAAAAAAAAATCGGAACAATGTGGTTTGCAGGCTTTTCTTGCGAGACTCCACACGATGATTAGTATTCGTTTCACATGCAGAACGTTGACCTTCCCCCGGCCAATGAGAGCTCAGTCTTTCCTCCCACGACCTCACAGGCAAGTGGCATTTTGTGTCCCGTGCCACACCCACGCTACAGCTCAGGACACATAATCGTGAGTGGTATGTGTGAAAAAACAAGCCAGTAAAAATGTTGCAAAGGACCTGAATAGGCATGTTTCCAGAGAAGATATACAAATGGCTAAAAAAAAAAAAACCCAGAAAATAACAAGTGTTGGCAAGAATGTAGAGAGGTTGGACCCTTGTTCATTGCTGATAGGGTTGTAAACTGGTGTAACTGCAGTGAAAAATGGTCTGATAGTTCCTCAAAAATTTAAGCACAGAACCACCATATGACCCAGCAATCCCACTTCTGGATATCTCCCCAAAAGTGTTGAAAGCAGGTACTTAGACAGAATGTGTACACCCATGTTCATGGGAGCATGATTCACACTAGCCAAAAGGTAGAAACAACCCAAGTGTCCATCAACAGATGAACGGGTCAGCGAAATATGATATAGACATACAATGGAATATTATATGTACCATGAATAAGGAAGGAAATCATGAGTCATGCTACGACACAGATGAAATTGGAAGACATCATGCTAAGTGGAATAAGCCAGTTATGAAAGAACAAATATTGTGTGATTCGATCACATGCGGTCCCTACAGTTATCAAATTCATAGACAGAAAGTAGAAGGGTGGGTGCCAGAGACCAGGAGGGGGTGGGGATAAGGGGGTATTATTTTATGGGACAGAGTTCCAGTTGGAGAAGATAAAAAAGTTCTGGAGATGGTGCTGATGATTGTACAACAATGTGAATGTACTTAATGCCACAGGTGCTACGCTTCAAGATGATTAAAATAGTAAATTTTGTTACTTATATTTTACCGCACTAAAAAATAAAAAGGAACACATACCAGAACGCTTCAAAATGTGCACAGTTCCCCTATTTCTGTGCTTAACCTTGAATCACTTCCCTTGAAAAATGCCTCCCAGAAATGTCATGTCTTACCCAGGTCTACAAAAGCCTGGGGACACTTCACCTTGTGGTGCGATCGTTGTTTTACAAAGCAGCACTGAGGTTGTTCTGGCTCTGCGTCTCTTATGAGGTTTCCCACAAGGTGGCCCCAACTGCTGTCACCTATCTAAAGGCTGGGCTGAGTCGGGGAGCCTGGCTCACAAGTGACCCAGTCACCTGCCCAGCAAGTGCTGGCTGCTGGTGGGGGGCTTCTGTCCAGACCTCCCGTAAAGATGCTTGAGCGTCCCCATGACAGGACGGCTGGTTGCCCCCAAAGCAAGTGATCTGATGATGAAGCAAAGAGGAAGCCGCGGTGCCTTGTACCACGTGGCGTCAGAAGGTACATATTGTCACCTTCCGACAATGTAGTGACTCATTAGCAGCAGGTCACTAAGTACAGCCCCCACGGAAAAAAGGAAGAGAATCCATGACTTCGGAAGGCAGGACTGTCAACAAATTCGTGGGCTTCTTCCAAATCATGGCATTTCTGTCCAGAAGCACTTCTCTTTCCTTTTCCATTTTCTCCCGTGAAATCTGTGTTTGGGGAACCGCCCTTTGAAATCAGTGGTCCTTTGAAGCCCCTCCCCCATGGCCACCAGACCCTTCTTGACTGTTTCCATACTCAAAGAGGAGCTAGTCTTTCTGGGGGAAGTTTCAGAGCGTGCACAGCTCCTGCCACCAGCTTCCTTTTCCTGTCTTCCCTGCAGATCCGCCTCCGTGCCTTTGCTTGTCCCAGAGCAGAGATGGGGCAGGGGAAGGAAAACCACAGGCTGATATTGGGGGGGTTCCTCTTTTTCCCTTTTTGAGGTGTTTGGCTTTCTCGACCTTCAGATTACGCGGACAGCTTAGCTACCCTGTAGATTGACTTTTCCGTTTTTATTGTTTTGTACGTTGGGGAGGAAAAGTGGGGAGGTGAGTAGCTAGGCCACCACCAGTATCTCAGCCACCTGCCAGTCTCCGCGGGATTTTAAAGGGTGTCACTCACAAAGAACACCAGGCTTAAGTTTTAAAAAGAAGCAGAGGAAGTAAGAGGGTAAAGAAGAAGAGGGGGAAAGAGAAAGAGAAGAAACAAAAGGAGAAAACGCTCAGAATAATCCGCAATGAAACAAAACTGACATGCTTCTGCTAATATTTATAGTCACGGGTCTGTGCTTACAATGTTTACACGTGTCATTTAATTCTATCTTCACAAAACCCTACGAGGTCCTCTTTGTTAATGTCCCCATTGCACGGCCGAGAAAGCCGAGGATCGGAAAAGTAGGATGAGCCCCCTGCCGTCACCAGGCCACGTGGGTGAAGCTGGGGTCCCAGCCCAGGCAGTCCCAGGGGCGTGGGCCCTGCGCCTGTTGCGTTTGCCGGGGGTGGGTGTCGTGTGGAGGCGTAAACTGCTGCCTAACTTATGAACCCACGACCTTTGAATAAATGTCAATAAGTAAACACCCTCCAAGGAGGCCAGAGTTGGTGAGGTTTCAGTCGCTTAGCCCGTCTCTTCCGATTTCAGTCTCTTCCGATTTCAGCCCTTTCTGACTGTGACATTTTCCGAGTACGGGGAATCGTGAAAAGCAAAGAAAATCCCCTTGGCAAATATGAAAGGCCATGTGATCTTATGCTTTAGTAATTACAGAGTAGCCATGGGGATATAAAGTACAGTGTAGGAAATGGAGCAGCCAAAGAACTTACATGCATGACCCCTGGACATGAACAATGGTGGGGGATTGCCTGAGGGAGTGGGGGTGCTGGGTGGAGGGAGGCACAGGGGAAAAATCAGGATGGCCATAATAATTTAATCAAGCCCTGGCTGGCGTAGCTCAGTGGATTGAGCGCGGGCTGCGAACCAAAGCATCTCAGGTTTGATTCCCAGTCAGGGCACATGCCTGGGTTTCAGGGCACATGCCTGGGTTGCAGGCCACAGCCCTCAGCAACCGCATATTGATGTTTCTCTCTCTCTCTCTTTCTCCTTCCCTTCCCTCTCTGAAAGTAAATAAATAAAAATCTTTAAAAAAAACTATAGAAACCATACACTATTAAAAAATAGTTTAATCAATAAAATATAACTAAAAAAAGATCAGTGGAAAGAAAAGGTAATTTTATTGTAAGGTATGTTGTTTGATGAGTTTAATACTAATGGTTATTTTTTTCTGTGTAAGCTAGTCATCCAAGCATGATTTTTTCATTGTTATTTCTTAACATTATGCAGGATGAGGAAGAGCTGCTTCGTGGCAAAGATGCTGAGGACTTCCTGTTGGGCTTGGATCCCGCGGCTGAAGACCTCGTGGCCGTCCGACCCGCCGACTATGACGGCGCCCGTGTTCGGCTGCAGAAGGAGAAAGAGCTCCTGTTCACACCCAGCAGGCTGACAGGTACCGGCCCCTGCCACTTCCCACTCACCTGCACGTGCCCCCCCAGGGAAACAGGGCTGGCGTCTACAGATGCCCAGTGTCCACCACGGATCCCGATTCCTCATCTGATTTCATAACCAAGAAATATCCTCAGCCCTGGCTGGTGTGGCTCAGTGGACTGAGCGCCAGCCTGCGAGCCATAGGGTTGCCGGTTCAGTTCCTAGTCAGGGCACATGCCTGGGTTGCAGGCCAGGTCCTCAGTAGGGGGCGCACAAGAAGCAACCACACATTGACGTTTCTCTCCCTCTCTTTCTCCTTCCCTTCCTCTTCTATCTAAAAATAAATACAATCTTTTTTAAAAAAGGAAAGAAATATCTTCACACACACACACAAACATGTAGCACATGGAAAAATACCCACTGAACGACCACTTAGTGACAGAAGAGCACAAGGAATGGCAGGGTGCCGTGGGAGCCCCCTCCCATCACATCACTGAGCACCCCTGGGCGCTCTGAGATGCAGGCTGTGAAAAGGAACAACTGTTCCATCCTCTACTCACAGTCCCTGCTTCTAGAACACAGCCCACATGGACCAGACATGTGGGCTTTTACCTGCACCAGCCAACCCCCAGCACCAGCCAGGTGTGCCACAGTCAGATCCTGATCTACCCGCCAGGAGTCAGCGCAGCCCCCGCACGGCAGGGGCCCGGTCCCACAGGACTGCCCGCTGCTTTCAGCCGTAGCTGCCAAGTAGCCCGCCCCCGAGTCAACACACTTACACTCAACTCTGCTACAAATCGGGTTCCCACGACTCCATCCTTCTTCAAGTTCCATACTTTGATATAGCAGCACATAGAACTCAGAGAAACACTTACATTTCCTGGTTTATTATGTAGTGAAGGATGTGATAGAGCATACAGGCGAAGAGATGCCTGGGGCAAGGTGTGTGGGAAGCCTCACGGAGCTCCCACGCCCTCTCCGGCAGCCCACCCTCCCAGCAGCCCCCCTTCCTGTTCACCAACCTGGAAGCTCTCCACACCCCTGCAGTTAGGACTTTAGTGAAGGTGTGTACACAGGACTGATTAAATCACTGCCATGAGAGACTCATTCATTCACTCTCCAGTCCCTCTGTCCCTCTTTGTTCCCAGAGGTGGGAGTGGAGGGGCAGGGCGGAACACGTCCCAGCCGTCTCCTCCCAGGGCTGGTTCCCCTGCACCTGTCCTGAGGCTACTGTGGAGGAGCCATCTCATTAGCATACGGAAGGAGGGACAGTTATCAGTCTGGAGATTCCAAGGGTTTGAGCTGCTGTGTGCTGGGAAGCAGGCTGCTGGGGGTTCCCGGAGGTGGGGGAACGGCCAGGATACTGGAGCAGACGGTTTGATGAACTCCTCGTCACTGCTCCTTGCTTCCTTTCTGCCCCGGGTCTCCCCTTGCTCTTTTCTGCCCTGGAATTCCCTTTCCTGCTGACGCCCCTGGGGGGGCTCTGCCATTCTAGTAGCCCACTCTCCAAATGGCAGGGCCTGAGTCCCACCAGAGAGTCCCTGCCGGGCGGGGAAGGGGTCTGCCCTTACCTGCACTTGGAAGTTGGATTTCTCTCCATTTGTCACGTTCTCTCTGAATTCCAGTTAAATGCTGAGCCAGTGCTGAACGCATTGATGGCATTGCATTTCATGGCGTTAAATGCAACGCCATCAATTATGGTGGCGTTTCGATAGGTTGTTTTGGATCACCTATATTCAAAGTGTTGGAATTTGTTGGACATCTCAAATTTCCTTTTAAAGTAGTAGTTGGCAAAAGTTTCCAAAGATTACAACTTTGTAATAATAATAATAATAGTGAATGTGTTCTGTGCACCTACTCCACCAGGTACTTTTCTAAGCATTTCATGTGTATCAACTACCATGGCCCTGCCCCAGGGCTGGAGAGATGTTGCTTTTCAGGCGCATTTACAGACGAGACAGCCCGTCTCAGAAGCCACACACCTAGCACCACACACCCTGCTGCTTCCCCGGGGGAGGGGGACATGCACGGGCAGCAGCCTCGGCCAACGAGGAGCTTTGTCTCCTGTGTGTTTGCTCAGAGGACTCGCAGTTTGGCCTCTCTCCCCAGGGACCCCAGCACCACTCGGGTTGGGATGGAGGCTAGCCCCCAGACTGGCTCCCACACGGCCTGCAACTCGGAGGTGGTGGGGGCCCGGGAAGAGGTTTTGGGGTTGGGGGCGCTGGCTGCACGGCAGCTGCTCTGAGCAGGAGACAGAGCAGGGATCCGTCTTCTGCTTTGCTCTGATCTACAGGGAGCGCCCTGGGGCCTCACGGCCAAACGAGCAGGACTTGGGGGCACGCATAGACCCAGCTCCTCCTTCATGAGCTGTGCCCTTAAGCGAGTTCCTCTGTTTTCGGGTGCCTCCCTGAAGACGGGAGGAAACGCAGCAGTCCGATAGATGACCCCGGGCATGTGTGCACCAAGGAGATCACACCAGGCCGGGGCCCAGGATGCTGCTAGCACACAGCAGTGGGTCCACAGCAGCTACTTCTGTGACCGTGGCTGTTGTTTGCGTCACTGTTTGAAGAGCGGTTTCCAAAGCAGAGTGTGTTCACCCCAGCGAGCGAATGGAGGGGTGGGAAACAGAAGGAGGCTAAAACTGTGTTTGCCCCCCACTTCCCACGGCGGGGAGATAGGTTTCCCCAGGGGTACTGGCGTGAGGGGTTTTCTGTGGGTGGGTTTGGGGTACACCGTGTCCAGCCACCACGCGAGGGAAAATTTGCAGATTCAGGCATGTCACGTGGCTAAGAGTGAAGTCATTATGGGAGAAAAACAAGCCTCAACTTGTAATAATTCATTCCCAAAGTACGCCCCGACCCTTTCCCACAGGCCAGTGTCTGCAGGCTCCTCCCCCCATCTCTCCCCCCGCCCCGGCCCCCTCTGCCACAGCTGCAGGCCCGGTGGTCTTCCTATTTTACGTTTTCCGTGTCCTTGAGGGTCAGATTTCTTCCACTTGGAAAAGAGCTCCTTTTGTTGAACACACCCTTTGACCCTTTGGGGTCACTGCTGGCCCTTTGGGGTCACTGCCGGCCTGGAGATGTATTGTAATAAGATTTCGTTGCCCTTTGTTTAGGCTAAAACCTTCCTTCTGTTCTTTTAACATCAGTCATGAAGCCCATTTGTTAAATTTGTTAATTTTTTTTTACTTTTTAATTACAGTTGACATTCACTCTTCTATTAGTTCCAGATGTCTTGTTAGAATGAAAAATCTGCTGGGGACACCCCCGGCCCCCGTGATGAGACCTCAGTGACCCCTCTCCGTGAACATACCCCAGCTCCTCTGGGGCCAGCAAGGCTCTGTGGCTCCCTCCCACCCACCTCGAACCGGCTCTCAAGCCCCCGCCCCCGCTCACCACACCCGGCGTGCTGGGCATTTCTGTTTCCAAAGGCGCCCTTCCCTGGTGCAGACACACTGACTTGTCCCAGCGCCGCCCCCTCCCTGCCCAGCTTCAGGTGGCTTTCTTCACCGCTCTTTCTGGATTTATCCCCTCCCAGCCGGAACTGCCCCCCAACCCCCGCCCCCGCCCCACCAACATGTGCATTTTCTTCACAACACTTCCCGCTCTCTGGAACAATCTCCCTCTTGGTTTCCTGGTGCTGCCTGATGCTCCCGCCGACCCCGAAATGCCCCCGAGCACCGGGCACAGGGAGGCTGTCAGCAAAGATCTGTTCTGGGTGAACGAACCAAGGACTGGGTTGGGGGGGATGAATGAGGTAATGGTCACTTGCTGGAATACCAAGCATTTCAACATACCAAGCATTGCCTCGTACTTTCCCTCACCGAATCCTCCCAAGCACCCGGTGAAATAGATACTGTCATCCCTTCGGTGAGAAGGAAGGAGCTCCCGGGGCGCCTGCCCAGATTCCCTCTGCCGACAGGCGGAGGGGCTGTGCTCTGGTTTGAATGCCAGGCTCCCCGGTCTGCACACTGGTGGTCACTTAGGCATCGAATTATTCCATCACTCGACAACACGATGCTGCAGGTAAACGCACTCATCTCCTCCTTAGCTCTGCCTCTAGAAATTAATTTGGGAAAATGTGCATTTTCCAAGAACAGAAACGGAAACCCCAGGGGTTGCTTGAAGTCACCCAGGACAGTGTGACACGCCAGGCCGGCACTCACGAGGACTGTGTTTGTGTGTGAACCTCCTAGTGCCCACGTACAAAAAGCTTCCCGAGAACGTGCAGCCCCGGTTCCTGGAAGACGAAGGCCTGTACGTCGGCACCAGGCCGGCCGTGCCGCGCACCACGCAGAACATCGTGGAGAACAGACTGCTCACGCAGGACCCTGTAAGCACGCAGCCCTGCCCCCGATGTCAGCCGCTGCCCGAGTGACCCAGAGCTCCTGGCTCCCGATGGGCGCGGTCATTGCGCCATCGAACTCACTTCCCCTTGAGGGTGTCCAACGTGCAGCCCCACTCTGTGTACCTTTGTCTCCCGCGTGTTTAATGACCCTAAAGCAGCAAAAGCTCTCACTGCCCAACCCCTGCCAGCGGATTTGGACTTCCGCTAAATCAGATGCCGGCGACCTTTTCCCAGTTCACAGAGATGTTTAATGGCCCCAAGACAGAACGTTCTCAATTGTTTTTCTCCCATGCTCTTTTCTCCTTCAATTTTTAATGAATAGAATATGAAGTTTACCATAACAATCATTTAAGCTTTTTCTTAAGCTTTCTTTTTCTGCCAGTGCCAGGGAGGGAGGTGAGGACTGTATCTTAAGTTAATCATGGGGGGGCATTAGTGCTGATTTCCAGTGGAAGCAGAGACTGTAGAAAACCTTGTGGGGAAAGGGGGAGGTGCATGAGATGCCTGTGCTGACGCAGAATTTCCCTGCAACAAGTCGTTTACGTGGTAAACCATCTCTGTCCAGTTAGAAGACAATGCTCTTCCCTCTGCTCGGTCCCCAGGACAGAAAGTGGTTCGGAGATGATGGCAGAATCCTAGCCCTGCCAAACCCCATCAAGCCATTCCCTGCAAGGCCGCCAGTGCTGACCCAAGGGCAAGGCGTGAACGCAGAGCTTGAAACGCTGTATAAAAAGGTAAACTCCCCACCCCTTTGTCATACTTTGCTGGAAAGTGCTCTGCTTCTTGAATAGCTTGGAGGGCTGAATCTGTAACTTTCGACTTCGATTTACTTTTCAAATAGTTCACTGTCTGGCACATAAAGAACAAACAGCAATGTGTTTACCAGTGAGTCTGATGTGGTCACCTAATCCCTTCTCAAACAAGGAGAGAGTTTACCCGGTAGGGAAGGCTGCGTCAGTGTCTCTATTTGCATATCCAGGTCAGCTGACCTTATTTTTCTTCTTTTCTTTCTGTCATCTTCCATACGCTGCAGGATTCCTTCCCATGCATTGTCTCTTCGTTGTATAACTGGAGGCTTTCTGTCCTTGCAAATCTTTTTTATTGTCTTCCCCTAAGCTGTGGTACCTCGCCATCTGATCTGGGTGCTGGCACTAAACTCCTCCGGAGGGAAAACTTGGCCCTGGAACTCTCTGCCACAATTTCTGCATCTGTGAAGCGAGCACAGGAATAGCATCTCTCTCCTAGAATTGCTGTGCAGATTGGTTGAGATGACTGAGGGCTAAGAACAGAGCTCAGAAAGCACTGCCTAGTGTTATTTTGACCGAGTTTCCTGTCTTGGTGTGCAATGGCATTGCCCTTGCGTTCCTGAAGTGCTGAGCCAGTATTACCTCCTTCGGAAGCCCGTGTAGTTATAAATCCACAGCATCTCAACACTGGTAAAGTAAAGCAGAAGGAGGGGCCATAATGATCGGTCTATAAAGCGGGTGATGAACAGAGAAGACACAGGCTCAAGTCAGAGAACCCACGTGGGGTCAGTTGTTCTGTTACCGAGCCTGTGGCTTTGGGCGGGTGGTCCCTGGACCTCCCTGGACCTGTTTCCCCCATTGAAAAACGATAATCTTGCCTAACCCATAGGATCAAAGTGAGTATTGACATAATGTATTCTATACACCCATTTTTTAAATTGTGAATTTTTATAAACTATTGTTAATTATAGACAAGTGTTGATGAGTGGCTACTTTGTGCAGAAATGAGATCCTAGGAGTAGATTATAAAACAAGCATACACCTAAGTGCCAGTCCATGAGGGATTTATCCTTGATTAGCTCGCATGACAAAGACACATGATATAATTAATGATCCAGACACTATCGACTTATACATCTGTCTAATAATCCACTGGGTGCTGCTTCATCTATCCATCCATCCAACATACAACACAGATACAATGAAGCACTAAATTATGAGTTCGAATCGGAAAATAAAAGACTAATTACTGTGGAGAATGGAGCCAATTAATCTTCTATGTCTCCTCGAGAAGTTCTGAACTAACTGGAAATGCACAGGATTCGGAGAGAGATGCAGGTATCAAGTGCGCCAAGGGTGATGCTGGATGGCAGACTGCCACCCAGAACCAAGACCAGATAGTCTTCCTGCTCCATCTGCCATGGGCTCTGTTCCCCATCTGACACGGCCTGAGCAGCTGGAGGGGTGTCCCGTGAGCTCAGACGTGGCCAGAGAGCAGGCTCCCAGGGGAGAGCTGAGAGGGGCCAGCCAGAGGCTGCTGGCTACTCTGCCCAGCAGAGGACCTGGACCAATGGCTCTTGGGATCCCGTTGACTTGCCAACAGACGCATTCTTCTTTCTCTGTGCCATGGGGATGGCAGAGGGGGAGAGAAGCACACAGGGTTCCCTCCCAGTGCTTTTGAGAGGGAAGATCTTCCTATCTTGTGGGCAGAAAGAGGAAAGTACACAAAGAGAACAGTCCCAGTCGGAGGGCTGCTTGCCCAGCATCACAGAACAAAGGAAGTTAGGGAAACGAGAAATTCAAAGGGGCTGATGTCCTCCAAGGCCATTCCTTAGAGGGTAGGCTTTGAAGAGGGCAAAGAATGTGTTGGAGTGTGTAACAGACAAGCAGAGGGGTTTAAATTCGAGGGAGGCGGTATAACACCTATCTCTGTTTCTCCAATACAAGTCGCCTATTAAGTTTACTCTTGACTTATGTATCTCAGTTGTTTTTTCTAATGTGCTTATGGTGTATTCCAGTGATTGAAAATACAATTCATGTCTTCCAGAATTAATATTTTTTACGATTTTATTTATTTACTCAATTTTACCTTTTGCTACATTTATTCAGAGCTGTCTGATGTCAAAACCCATGGGGTTTTCTTTTTTGAGCTTTGATATGAAAACACAGAAGCAGAAACAGAATAAGCAGAGACTGTTCCATTCACAAGTGTTAATCCATCTTCTCTCTCCCTCCCTTAAACCCCTGAGAGTGACTCAAGGTCAAAGACTGGGTCTTATTGTTCTTCTAACCCTCACACTCAGCAGGAAGCCTGACGTTGCAATCCAAGTATGCATCGAATACCAGGAAATAGACTTCACTGAGCTGACCATATCCAGAAGAAATTCCTTCTTTTCTGTTCTTCTTCTCAGCTATCTCTCCTGCAGAACAGAAGCTTCTGTCCAAACAGCTCCTTCCTTCCTTCCTTTCCCTCCTTCCCGTTGTATTCTTTCCACCCTTACCTGAGGTCTACTCAGCACAACTATGCCCTTAGATGCGCCAAACCCTGGAAATACAGGGGCAGGAACACAGACATGGCCACAGAGAGGTTTTGTCCATGGTGTAGGAGACGGAAACGTCGGGTGTTACAGGTGCTGCGGTTAGGGGTCAGCACGGCATTTCTGGGGGTGCATGTGTAGGAGCCTCCTCTTTTCAAATCTGCTTACAAATGTAGGGGTCTGGGGGTGAATCACTGAATCGAAGGAGGGCCTGTAGGAGCCAGAGACTACTCAGGTCCTAGGACCAGGGACTCAGTGTTCCAGGTCTCCATCCATGTCTCTTTTCTCTGGGTCTCCTTGAAGTCAGCTGGTTTCGTTCTCTCCTACTGCAGGGAGGCCAGAATCCCCCATGTGTTAGGAACCATGACCCTTCATAACCTAGGCTTAGCAACCCCAGAGGAAAAGCATCCTATTTCCCTCCCAGGTTCACGTTACTAACACCAAGGACCGACTGGCCAGCTGTAAGTCGGACATACGCCCACCTCTCCTTCATGCCCCGGAGACATGGCCAGGAGATGGAGAATGGGAAAGGTCCCCAGGAAAAAAACAAAACAAAACAGAACAATGGCTGTAGAATCCACCGCAAGCTCTGGGCTGGATTCAGACGCTGTTGCTACTGTTTTCCCGGGAAAATATGAAAACTTGTAGTATTCGAATCCCACCAGTGATTATTCTTTTTCTGCACACCTTTAAGTTTTTTCCTCCATTGGCACGCATCTCTGCACATGCTGAGAACGTCGGCAGGTGATTCATGTGCACCGTCTCTGACGGTTTTGGTTTCCAGTTTCCACTGAAAGACTGAAAAGTTAGATTGATTTCAAAATTAAAATTATATGCCCTATAAATGATATCTACTCTCGGGAGAAATTGCAGCTACTGTTTTCATGATACGTCTCAATCCGCATGTAGAAACAGGTGTAACAAGAATGCCGGGGGTCTCTCTCCCCAATGGGAAGACTCGGGTCTTTTGAGCAGTCTTCCCCAATGACGGCCAAGAGTCCTGGAAGCCGTTTTTACTTGGTTGAGCTGAGTTTAAGGCAGAGGCCGCCAAAAGTTGTCTGAACCCGGGCTAGTGCCAATTTGGGGAGGGAGACACAAAATAAAGGTGGCCAGGTAACATTTCAAGCAATCACCGTGATGCTGCCAGCGGTACTCACTCACCAGGAAGAGCACCAGATGGGAGCTGGGAGCCGCACCCCGAGTGATTGCGTTCCCCAGGGAGAAAGGAGAGTCAGGGCGAGACCCAGCAAGCGCGAAGCAATGCGGGAGGGTGCTGTTTGGTTTTGTCTCCGTGAGGTGGGAATGTTTTAAGCAATCCCAGGAGTCTGCGTGATCGTAAGATACATGGTGACCACAGGCAGATTAAAAACTTCTAACATGAATGCAGTTATAATTGAATACGCTTACTGGAGTGAACGAGAAAAAACGGGCCTTCCTCTTGCCATCTGAAGTGTAAGGACTTGAATGACCAGAACCACGGCTTTTGTAAGGTACAAGATGAGGGTAGAATGTTACCCACATCGGGTGGTCTTTCTGCCCCGTAGATCCAAATGGAGACTCAATCCGGCGTCTCTCGGAGGGGACCGAGACAAGGTCGGCCCTTTCCTGTTCGAGCCTGACGTGTTTGTACACACACCCCAGTTCACAGGACTTTTTTTAAAACAAAAAATCTGCCGGTTTTCTCATGAAAGGCAGACTCAGTGCTATTTTATAGGAGAAAACTTGCCACTTAATTAAAATTAATGCAAGATACACTCTATTGAAGTCTTGCAGAAAATCATAAGTCCTAATTGTACATTAATAGTCTACTAGTCTAGGGGGAAGACAGAGTATGAAATTAAAGAGCTAAAAAATAAATAAACTCATATGTTCTTACCAGTACAAATCAGCCAACAACACAAGTCATGACACATTTACTGGTAAAGAAAGACCCACGTGTATATGCTTTGCTGTAAAGGCAAATACCAGTGCTATTTCGAAGACTGCTAGTAACTGCAAAGCAGATCACACTGTATAACCAGTGTGAGTACATTTCTGTGCATATGTACATGTATGTACATACAGACACACACACACACAATCTGGACCTCTCTTTTCTGGTCTTACTCTGATAGGGGACAATGTGAGAATCTTACGATCATAGGATTCTGGGGTCCCCTCTTCCGAGATCCCAGGCCCCCTCTGCAGACCCCAGGCCTCACCCTTCCCGCCTCCTGTGACAAGGACCAGATCTCAGTCCTGTCTGACTCGATGGCTGCTTGAAGACAAGCCCGCTGCGCTGCAGACAGCCATCTGGCCCTGTGGGACAAATGAGATGGTCCATGTGAGTGAGGAGATGATGCCTCGTGGTCTATGAAGTGCTAACAGGAAACTGGTCCTCAGCCGCCCGTTTCTGCTGAGGAAGAAGCAGAGGCTCAGGGCCGTGTGGAGACCTGACAAGGCTCCAGAGCAAGTTCAAGTTGGAGCCAGAGCTGCAATCCAAGGCTTCTGGCCCCGTTCAGCATCTTCCCAAGATGCCACGAAGAGGGATTAAACGAAGAGATTAGGTGAACATTACCCATAATTCTGAAGGCTAGATGCTTCAGTTCTCACTAGAGTTTGTACAACTTCCATTTACCCTCGTAACTTATAAATAATACATTTATGTCACGTAAGCCTATAATATCATTTTCCGGATAACATAAGTAGCTTCCAAAAGCTCCATTCTGCAAGAAGGGAGGATTGCGTGATGTGCCTCAAAGCCCACAGTCCCAATCACAGTGCACATCCACCTACAAACAAACACACAAAATCAGAAAGGTCTCTCCACCTCGGACCTCCTAACTCAAACCCTAGATTCCCACAGAAGCCAAAGTGATCGATGGGGCATATCTTGAAGGGTTTCTGAAATAAAAACAGAGAGATTTGTCTGGCATGCTCTACTCCGAGCCATCCAGGAAAGCCCCAGTGGAAACTTCCATTCCTGTTTTCCGCACACTGAGCTGCTCCATCTCCCCCTTCTGCTGTCACTTTGTACCTGAAGAGCATAACTACGACCCCAGTAATGAACAGTTTGGGCCAGAATCAATGCTTCTCTCGTTAGTTAAAAGAATGTCAAGCTGACCAGCCACAAAAACCAAGAAATAGTCTAGTCAAGTCTGCCGGACAAAGATTAGGACTGAGCTGGGAGAGAAAGAAATCTAAAAGACCCTGGAAACAAGATGGCAAGAGTTTCCTTTCTCTTGTCTTTCGTGTTACCTTTCAAGTAGTCAGAAAAGAGTAGGCCCCTAAAACCCCCAGGAAGGAGGAGATGGAGCATTATTCTCCTGGCTTGACCTTTAGGAGGTATTTTGCCTCCGACCGTCTTCCCATTGCTTGGTAGTGCATCATTACCTAGTAGGTGCTGTAACTGTGTTCCCATGCGCTCTGCTTTCTTTGCCAGGCGGTCCGATATGTGCACAGAAGTCAACATATGATTGGATCTGGAGACCCTCCTGGGAATTTCCAACTGGACATTGATATTTCAGGGTTAATCTTCACTCACCATCCCTGTTTTAGCCGAGAGCATGTTTTGGCAGCCAAGCTGGCCCAGTTATATGACCAGTACCTTGCAAGATGCCAGCGGAACAAGGCAAAATTTCTTTCTGATAAGGTACACTCTTCCGTGTTTCTTATTGGTGGGGCTGGTTTTTCTGAACCCAAACAACAGAAATACTTCCAGAGCCTCTTTCACATGGTCCCTCCTTCTAGGGCGTGAGATGTGCTGTCATACCTAGAGGCAAAGGAAGGATGTAATGATCACTTGAACATGTGCAAATTCAGTGGCGCACAGTGGGCTTAAAGAAAAAGATTTGTGCACACAGTGGAAGTAGTCCCACCTGTCAGAAATGGGTATTAGATGGAGGATTCTTGCTGTGTCTTGCTTGTGTGATCTCCCAGGCTGAGACTGTTCAAGGCTTAAGAATCTCTCTGTCCTTAGAGACATTCTCGTTTTTGTATGTAATCTCCCATAAGGTGGTACCTCAACACAAGTCAGTTGTTTGAACTGGTGCTCAAAGAAATTGCTGTCTGTTTTGGATTGGTTTCCAAAGTATATTACCCCGTGAAATTTTCATGGATAATTTTGATGCTAGGCGATTTTAGTCTTATACCCTGACTTTCAACTTACTGCCCCCAAAAGGAGATAACTCCGTGATACTTCCTTTTATGAGTCTATTATTTCATGATCTCTTCACATCACAAGAATATCACTGTATGTCCAGCACCCGGGAAGATCCACTTTTAGCCTTGAAAGAAACCTTGTCCCTGAGACACGCACATAAAAGTGACGTTTCTCATGACCAGCTTGATTACCTGAGCCACAGAACAAGGACAGACATGCAATGTTCTTTAGTATTCCTCTTTTTTTCTTTAAAAATAGAAGGAATAGCTCTTCATCAAAGATCATTTTAGTGAAAGCCTGGGGATAGGTGGACGCTTGGACATCCACTCACAGGATGGGTCCTCTGGGTCCTTCTGCGGGTGGGTCATTTTATTGGCGGCCACTTAACTTGCGGGAGGGAGGAGAGTGACTAACGGAAAACTTGTGTCTATATCCTTTCAAGCTCCAAGCTCTGAGAAATGCTGTTCAGACAGGCCTTGATCCAGCAAAAACTCAAAAGTCTGTTGATATAACCCAAAAAGCCATCAATGAGTATAAATCTGAAATTCGGTGAGTCAAGTCTGTAATCATAACTTCTGCTTTTTTTTTCTCCTGTTTGATGTGTACTTGCTGAGAGCTTTTCTTCTTCAGAGTTTTTCTGAATGCACTGAATACATGTGAAATTAAGCCAAAAGAAGCGATGAGCTGTACCCATCATGTTAACCCCAAATCTGAAAGCCAGCAAAAGAATGGGGGTGTAGGGTGTTGTAAGTCACACACTCTGCTGGTGTAAACAAATGTTGCTATGGCCACCACTGCAGGGAGTAGCCTGGCCATAGACAAGAAGAGTGTTGAAATGCCCTTCAGCTAGGGCCCAGCACTTCCGCTCCAGACACATGCAACCCAAGGAGCCCTGTGCACCATTTACAAAATCAGAAAGTAGAAATAACCCCATAGCGATGAACACATCTGCCGGAGTCTCACACTGAACGTCTATACTACGGTTGAAATGACTGGATCAGATCTGCCTGGATCGATACGGATGAAACAAGGTTGGATTTAAAACTCCAGGTGCAGGAGGATGCTTGCTGTGTGGCACAGAAACCTCCAGTACACCTGAGACGGTGCGCAGCTGTCCTGGGTACACATGTGCAGCCCACGTGGACAGGAGAGGCACATCCCGGCTAGTGAACGATAGAACCGGGATTTAAACCTGGGCAGTCTGGTTCCAACATCTGTGCCCCTAACCACATGCTTTGCTGCTCATCAAGGGGAATGCTTCTTACTCTGGTTCACTGCTTTCCTGCTCTTCTAAGGTCTCCAGAGAGTCCCGAATCTTGGCCACATGCCCACTGATAGGCTGTCATCTTCTGTCCTCTTCCTTTTCCACAGCCACCAGTCCAATGATTAGACACCGAGCCCTCTGTGCTTCTCTGTGCCATCCCCAGACTCAGTCATCACAAGCCCAACCCCCAGACTCAGACCATCCCCCTGGCGTTTAGGAGGGGCTCATCCATGAAACACTCGCTCCAGTTGCCTAGGACACTCTCTCAGGCCAATCTCACATTGTATGTAGTAGTTGCTTGTCTGCCTCCTGAGTTAAGTCCCTGAGGACAGAGGCACGTCCTGTCTCCAAGACGCTTTCAAATCCCCTGGCTTGACACCTGGTCCTTGCCCAAGAAAAAGTAAATTGTCTAATGAATGAATGAATGACATAATAGAGCACGGTTGGGTTCTGGATTGGGCCATCATTCATAGAGAGGGCTTAAAGTAGGGCATTAGATCACTGTCAAACACTTTAAATAATGGGAACAAAAATGGAAGCATTTTCCGACAATGCCTCTTCCAACGAGGCCAAAAATACTGTTATTCCAGTTAGCTCTGAAAACTCGCCAAGGCACGCGGTAGGCACCGTGCTTCGTCTCCTGAAGGGAAAGCCTGTGGTCTGTGCTAACACAGACTTGCGTGTACGTGTTGTTAACTGGGACAGCAACGTGCCCTGCTATGTTTACAATAATTTAGTCCGTGAGAACTGCGCTTACTGGCCCTTTATTTTTATAGCGTTGATGGTGGCGATTTAAGGGTACTTCGTATTAACAATGATTCTTAAAGGTAATTTAGCTAAGTCGAAGTCATATTCACCTAACAAAAACAAAGTCAAATAACCTCTCACAATAGGTCAGCATCCCATTGTCTTCAAATTTGTATTCATATTTCTGGTTTCCTAGTGCTTAAGAAATATTATAGTTCTTAAATTAAATATACAATCACTATAGCATTATTCATTTTTTCAAATTTGCAAACACACCTAAATGACTTTTTAATATTTATGTATACCCACGTACTTTATCTTCTAGGCAAACAAGAAAACTCCGTGACGCCGAACAAGAAAAAGATCGAACATTGCTTAAGACCATCATCAAAGTTTGGAAGGAAATGAAGTCCCTGAGAGAGTTCCAGAGGTTTACAAATACACCCCTGAAACTTGTTTTGAGAAAGTAGGTTTTTTTCAAACACTGTTTTATTGGGTTGTATCGTGCCTAGAGAAAAATGCATAAAACATAGATACAGTTTAAAAAATAATTACAAAAAAATACTTACAAATGAATGACCATGAAACCCCTTCCGAGGTTGAGAAGCAGAGCAGACCAGTACCCAGCAGCCCCCGTGTTCCAACCCCAACGATGTCCCCCTCACCATGGAAGTAGCCGTTCTCTGGACTTTTATGACCAGCGTTTCCTGGCTTCTATTTACAGATTTGTCATCTGTGTATAATCCCCAGCAGCATGCATTCTTTGGCTTTCCCATAAACAAAAGTGTGTTGTGTATTCTTCAGTGAATACACACTCCTGTTTTTTTTCATTAATACTACATGAGATTCATCTACTTTATGATGCATACCTGTAGTTTATCTGTTCTATAATCCTTCCTTCTATGAATATTACAAAATGTGTCCATTTTACTGTTGGCAGACATTTGAGTTGACTCCATTTTTCAACTGTTACAAACAGCACTTCTGCAGACATGTTGGTATGCATGTCTTTTAGGGTACATGCGCCTAAGTTTTCCAAAAGTATACCTGGAAGTGAAATGGTTGTGTCCTAAGGGAGGCGCTTCGCCAGATATTTGCACGCGGCATCCTGAGGTCTTCCCAGGGTGGCTGGGCTGGTCTACACTCTGACCGGGGAGCCATGGGCCATGTCACCTGCATCACCCACACTGCCTGGCTCGTCAGACATGAACCTGGTGCCAGGCTGCGGGTGGCATCTTCTAATATTTATTTCCCCTATGTGGACTGGCCATCTTCATTTCCTCTTTTATGAAGTGTCTGTTCAAGGCTCGTGTCGATTTTTGACCTGGATTGTTTGTCTTTGTATCTTTTCCATAATTTGCTGGAGTTTGGCACATACCCTGTTCACGAGACCTAGGCAGACGGTGTGGGCTGCGTGCAGGTAGCCGCTCCCATTTGAACTTGTCTTTTTACTTTCATTTTGCTGCTTTTTGATGAATAGAAACTCTTCACTTTTTAAGACTTTTTTAAACTTTTTTTTAATTTTATTTATTTATTTTTAGAGAGGAAAGGGAGGGAGAAAGAGAGAGAGAGAGAAACATCAATGTGCGGTTGCTGGGGGCTGTGGCCTGCAACCCAGGCATGTGCCCCGACTGGGAATCGAACCTGCGATGCTTTGGTTCACAGCCTGTGTGCTCAGTCCACTGAGCTACGCCAGCCAGGGCTAAAACTCTTCATTTTAAAAAGAATATAGTACTCCTTTCTTTTATGATTGGTGATTTTGAACCGCTGTGGAAACTCCCCCCGAGTCATGTAGGTAGTCTGTATGGGCTCTGTATTGTCTCCTATAGTCTTTACATCTTTACCTTTTGCATCTGTCTCTGAGCCACTTGGAATAGCCTGGGCACGGTGTGGGGAAAGGGCGCTTTCATAGCGCTTGTGCTAATGACGCCTCAGTCACTGGGCATGGATACGTGATTAATAAGAGCATAGTGATCACAGCAAAACTGTGTTCTGGTGTCAACTCAGGTGTGTTTCTGTTGGTGTTGGTCCCTTCCTGGTTGTTTCTTCTGAATAAGTGTTGTGCCGTGCACCAACACGAAAAACAAAAAGTGTGGGTGGGCAATTAGCTGATGCTTTGCTTTGAAAACGGCCATGCTTTAGCCAAAGAGAGCTGCAGATTGTGATTTTGGGGGGTTGTAATCATCGTAAGGCTGAGAAAACATCCCACAGTGTCCAGGACAAATGTCAGTCTGGGCGCTATGAGGTCGGGGGCCTTGTCGCCATTAGATATCTGGTCGCCAACAGAGCACCTGCTGCTTCCTGTCTGCTTGTTTAATGTCAGTTGATGGAAAACAAATTCAAATACTTTCTGCCACAGAAACCGTGGATGTTGCCCAGAAATTCCAGGGTTTCTACTCGTAAATTCCATGTCCCAGGCTACCTCCAACTTTGAACCAAAATATAAATATTTACAAGATTGCTTTTCTTTCCTTCCTTCCTTTCTTCCTTCCTTCCTTCCGTCCAAGCTTAGGATAAACCAAACTGTATAGGGAATTTACTCTTAGGTCACTTCCTGGTTGCAGCCTTCCCTTCTGTCACACTTGAGACCCTTGCCCCTAGTGAGCGCTGTTCCCTAAAACCGCCTGGAGGGCCCTTGGTTCACATTCTCGGTTCATCAGCCACCTCAAGATACAGTCTAATTTTTTTTCCTGGACAACTATCCCAATTCCCGCCAGCTTATTCATGTTTCTGAATAACAGGGGGCAAAGTGAATCCTTTCTTGTGTATCGGAGATGGAACTAAACTTTTGAGCCTGATTTCCCCACTGTTTATAAATGTCAGGCACCATGTGCTTCCGAAGTGATTTCCGAGAGAGACTCCTAGACATCTGTAAGGCTCTGTGCTTTGGGGGACTGCTAATTGTTAAACCACCAGGCCACATGTGTACATAGCAAACATTTGTCAGCTCTGGGCACTTGATTAAGTTTGTCTAAAAGGTATGAGGGGCTGGTAGAGGCCAGACCACACCGACCTGACCTGACCACATTAGGAGATAAGCACAGGCGATGAGTGAGTGGCCGCAGCTCCCAGTGCTGGGAGGATGCGCCGGCTGTGCTGTGCTGGGAGGCATGCCGGCCCTCCCCCGCCCAGAGAGCCACACCGCCGTGAACATATAAAGGGCTCTGCAAAGATGAGCAAGGGACCTCTCACGCTTGTTTAACCTCAGGTTGATTTAGCCCCAGCGCCTTTTTTGTAGGTCATCTTCCAGAACTATCATTGTTCTACAGAGCACATCTCGGGAAACACGACTTTGAGTTGAGTCAAACTCCCGAGGAAGCGTCAGCAGGTTCATCAAAGAAAAACTCAAATGGTCAGTCCAAAGTCAAAAAGTGGTTTTAGGGACTCGGTAGCAACATGAGGGGAGTGGGTCCGCAGAGACCTGAAGAGTGAAACAACCACAGTGAAATTCCTGCCGCTGTGGAAGTAGAATTTACGGGCACTGTGTCAGTATGCCACTTGTGTCGTTTAACTCAGAGTGGCATTGTCGCTTAGTGGTAGAGTTCTCAGGCAAGTGACATAGCTTCTCTGTGCCTCGGTCTCCTCATGTACAAAATGCAGGTAAGTCTCTGCATCGTGGGTTGTGAGCTAACACGTACAGAGCTTTTAGGAGAGGACCCGCCACAAAGCAAGGCCAGGATAGGCGTTGGCTGTTGGTATTACTATTATCACTTAATTTCAAGAAGTAACCGGGGCACTGTACATTATTTTAAAGGGAAAAAGTGGACCAGAAGGCTGACGAAGAAGCATATGAAGCAGAAATTCAAGCTGAAGTAGGTGAATTGCTGGAAGAACTCTCGGAGGAGCACGAGCAGAAGATGGAGGAGTACAGAGCCGCCCACCAGCAGTGGAAAGCCTGGAAGAAAGCCCAGGTTTGCACACAGTGGCGCGGCCCTGCACGGGGCTGACCTTGGGGAGGGGGAGCGTCTGCAGGGCTCGCAGTGGGACAGAGGGAGGGAAACGGGGCAAGCAGATGGGGTCCCCTGCTGGCTCTGCTCTGTCTCCCTCCTTGCCCCCTTGCTAAGGGACACAAGAATGAGTGGGCAAACTGGCTAAGGAATGTGCTTCTGTAAAAAGCCATGGAGCTAGCTGAAACAGAGCCAGTTTCCTTCCACAGATAGCTCTGTGGTATCACCTTGTGGCTATCCGAGTGAAGAAACAAGTAATTGCTCGAGGGTTTCACATGCATTATCCGTAGGGCACTGACGCTTCCTGGTCTCCCTGAGAAACTTACAGCACTTTGAACACACGGCCTGCAAAACGGCATCCAGGGCCAATGAGGAACAGACGAGGGGGACCTGCAGTGCCCATTGTGCCCACAGCCCACCTTTGGCTTTAAGACGTGTCCTTGGCTCGAGAACCTACATTCATGATCAAATGAAGAGCTCGTGTTTTTAAGGGCCGGGCGCCCGCCGTGATAAGTGCTTTGCGGGCATTACCCCATTGCATCAGCCCTGGAAGGAGTTTCCCAGGAGTTACAAAAGGAGTTCCCTCATTTGGTAGCTGAGAAAACAAGAGGCACGGAGGGGTCAGGTGGCTCAGTAAGCTGCCTGAGTGCGCACAGCGGGCTGGGGTGGAGCTGCGTTTGCATCCAGGTCTGTCTGATTCTGAAGACTGTGCTCTTAAATAATGAGGTGACGACATTTCTGTTTGACACAAGCAACTTTCTCTGACCCAACAGAGGGCCAAGAAAAAGAAAAAGAAACACGCAGCGGAAGAACACCCTGAGGAGGAGGGGGAGGAGCCGTTTCCTGGCGAGGGTCCGGTGAAACCCGTCCCTCCGGAGCCGCCCAGTGGGGTGGTGCTGGAGCAGCAGGTGCGGGAGAGAGCAGCCCGGAGCAGGAGGAGGCCTGGGGAGCCCACGCTGGTCCCAGAGCTGACCCTGGCGGGGAGCGTGACGCCCAACGACCAGTGTCCCAGGTGAGGTTGACAGGTGACACCCAGCCTTACACATGCCCATGCGCACACACCCCCACACGCTGTGTGGAGTGCGTATCTCCTGCCCAACATCATACAATCAGGAGCTTCATTTACTCTCCGTAAATGTATATTTGCTTGAACCACGTGAAATTGCTGCTATTTGTCCATATTTTGGTGATTCCACGTACTTCACCTACCTAATTAATGAATGCATCCCTGCTGGCTTCCCAGGAGCCCGTTACATGAAGCTGACTGTAGGGGGCGCACTTTCACAGTTGCTGTGCACATGGCTTTTGATTTGGAGCCTTTATCTCGAACCTCAGTGCGTGTTTTCTGTCCACTGTTAGTACCTCCCCACCCTCCCTGGCACAGACACCCAGGTCTCTCCTCAGCCCCTGATTTCAGCTTGTAGAGCTTCCCAGAGGAACTGTGGGTATTCAAGACAAGCCATCTGGAGCCTACCCTCCAGAGCTGATAGAAACACATTTCTAGTCGTTAGTATGTGGCGCCAGGCACAGAAACAATCAGAAGCTTCACTTTATGTATATAAATCTACCCATGTAATAAACTCCTGGACACACAGGTCCTATATTCATCCTCTCTTGAAAGTTCCATTTAATTGAAACTTTTTAAGTTTCCTACGTACTTCTTTGCTGCTTCGTGGAGAGACGGTTCTCTGAGTGTCGCCCCAGAACCAGCAGCATCAACATCACTGAAGAACTTGCTAGAAGCGCAAATTTGGGGGTCCCACTGAGGCCAGCTAAAGCAGAAACTCCAAATCAGGGCCCAGAGACCTGTGTTTTCACAGGCTTCCTGGTGACTCTGATGCATGTTAGAGTGTGTTGTAATCTGAGAAAGGGAATCCACTAAAATCTTCGACACCACCAGATCTGAGCTGAATTCTCCAGTCAGCAGAGACCTATCAGGACCAGAAGGAATTGTCAGTATTCCACCGTAGGAAGTGAGAATTCAGTCAAGTCAGCCATCTTCAGAGGGAATTAGGAGATAGTGGTTAATTAGGATGTCATTATCTGGTTTCCTACAGCCTGCTTGCTTTCAAACTTCTGTTACTATAGTAATAGTTTATTTTTACATTGCAGCTTCTCATGCATTTTCATGTACTGTCTCAACTTCATAGCATTCAAACATACGTGAACTATTCCCCAACACTAAATTAGCCATTTTGAAGCCATAAATAGTGGGCCTCGTAATTTTGTCATGAATATTTAAACCGTATGATGACACGACATGTTTTTTCCCAGTTTCATTGAGAAATAATTGGCATGCATCACTGTGTGAGTGTCAGGCTCGCAGTGCAATGGTTTCATTTACATATGTGGTGACATGATGACCGCGAGAGGTGCAGCTAACACCCATCATCTCATACAGACACAGTAAAAAGGAAAGAAAGAAGAAAAAGGAAAATCATTCTCCTTGTGATAAAACCTCTTAGAACTGAGCCTCTTACCGACACCCCTATATCTTAGACAGCCATACACCACACATTTTATAACGGGGAAATTTGGGGTTGATCTGACCATCTTTCATGCTGAGTCTCATTTTTTTAAACTTTGCATTTTTTTAAAGATTTTATTTATTTATTTTTAGAGAAGGGAAGGGAGGGAGAAAGAGAGAGAGAATCAATGTGTGGTTGCCTCTCACATAGCCCCCACTGGGGACCTAGCCTGCAACCCAGGCATGTGCCATGACTGGGAATCGAACCTGCGATGCTTTGGTCGCAGCCCACGCTCAATCCACTGAGCTACACCAGCAAGGGCCCTGAGTTTCATTTTTAATGAGAACGTCTCGCTCCGCAGGGTGGAGGTCTTACGCAGGGAAGACGTCAAGAGGCGCTCGGTGTACTTGAAGGTGATCTTCAACAACAAGGAGGTGTCCAGGACCGAAGTTCGGCCACTCGGAGCAGACTTCCGAGTCCACTTTGGACAGATTTTCAACCTGCAGATAGTCAACTGGCCAGAGAGTTTAACACTGCAGGTACGCGATTTAATCAGAGTCTCCGTCCCTAGAATATTTTGGCCATCGCCAGTGGGAGACGGTTTGAAATCTCCCGTGGGCTCGGCCGGCGTCCTGACAGACTCTCAAGGGCAACACAAGGTCAGCCGGCTCCCAGACTGACCTGTTCGTAAGGTCTTGGCAGAAGGAGGTCCGCTCCTGAATCCGCCTCCTCACAGTGTTGACCGAGGGACCGCCGCCGTGCTCCAGGGTGTGCCTCAAGAGGAGTGGGGGCTGAGGGAGGTGGGGGTGGGGAGGATCTCGGCCCATTCATCAGGGGAGGACCTCGGTCTCACCCTGTGCCAGGACCCTGGCATGATGTACCAGGGAAGTCCATTATGCTGTCACCACAGGTGCTTAAGAGGCAGGTAGGAAGGAGTTACAGGTGTTAGGATTCCCCCCCAAATAACAAATCTCCCTACTAGCTTGAATTGCACCCTTAGCAATATATTTCTTTCTGTTTTAGTTTCCCAGGGCTGCCATGCTAAGCAACACCAATTTGGTGGCTCAAAACAGCCGATATTTACTGGGGCAGCCCTGCAGGCCCTGCACTCTGAAACCCAGGTGCCGGCCAGGCCAGGCTTCCTCCGGAAGCTCTCGAGCAGAATCCTTCCCGCCTCCTCCACTTCCAGTGGCTCTTGGAGCTCCTTGGCTTATGATGAAGTAGCTCCAGTCTCTGCCTCTGTTTCCACATGACCTTCTCTGTATCTCAGTGTGTCCTTTCTGTGTCTTATGGAGATGCTTTTGTTGGACTTCAGGTGTGCCTTATTCTAATAGGAGTTCCTGCTGATCCTTAGTTAATCCCATCCGTAGTAAGGCTATTGCCAAATGAGGCCACAGTCTGAGGTTCCAGGTGGAGAGCCATTTTCAGAGGGCACTGCTCAACCCACAGCAGTGTCTGGACTTTCCCGGTGAATCCTCTCTCACAGCGCTATAGGAATTCTTTCTGTTGATCCTAACAGGGCTGTTGCTAGGGCTGCACATAGGCAGCGGGCGTGCCTTTGTTTGCCATCCGCCACCCATGCAGGCTCACTCATCTTCAGCTACCACTAACGGAGAAACTTCTCATTCCCACCCACCACCCTTGCCAGAAACGACTACTGGACGGTGTCCTGGGTATAACTTCAGAATCCTTCTCAACACCATAGTCCTGGCAGACGTGACCCGTTGATTGCAATTAACATTAAGTCTGGAGGTACAATCGCAGCTGTATACTTATTGAAATATTTAAATATTTCTGTACCAAATGGTAGATGGCTCCTGACCTTATCCCCCCAAATGCCATCCTGGTCACATAGACCTTCCTCTCAAGACCCCCGGGTCTCCCCACTATGGACCAGTTCAAATCTTGTCTGAATAAGGCTAATGCCCCAGGATCCTGTTCCTATGTGTGACTGAAATTTCTTCTGATTGGTTAGCTCTTGGCCATGGGTGTTGTTCAGCATTTTGAATATCAACCCCTGCCTAGACCCCTTGATAGTTAAAAACCTTCTAAAACCCATAGAAGTTTCAGACAACTAAGATAGGGAGTCTTGTTAACAGTGGGAAGGAAGCGTAATAGACATACTCAGGATGCAGTAGGGTGCCGTCGGGTCAGTGCTGGACACCCAATGTCCATCACCGCGCATTGGGACTCTCCCAGAGACTGGGGAGATTTTGTCCCACGCTTGGCATTCGTGACCTGGGGCCGGCAAGGGGTAGGGTGGGAATCCTCATTTACAGAGCTCCAAGCATCAAGACTCAAACCAGATGCCTTGGTCATACGGGTAACCGCATTGATATCTACACAACTGAAAAATCTTTGTGAATTCTTTGAAATTTTAGACCTGGGCTCAGTCCAGTCACTCATATAATTCCTTAAAACCCCATCTGATTTTTAAGGAAATGTCTGTGTATTCTGGAACTTGAAATATAGAACTTCACTTGCTGCTAAACTGAAACTTAACAATATGCATAAGAGGAGAAAGGAAGAACATTCTGTTAAAGTAAAGGATGGTATTAGAGAGGAGATTGAATTTGGACGTTTGGTGAAACTGACTTTTCCTGAGGACTGAAAATTCCCTTTCCGAATATCACTTGTCAGAAAATCCTTGTACATCTCCACCTGTTCCCCCCGGGTTTACCACTCTGCATGGAGGCAGAGAGTGAAATGGGGTGATTGCACCTGAAGGGGAGAGTGAGAAGCCACCTGATTCTGCACCGGGAAGGCAAGCTGGGCCGCCTCCGGCAGATGACGGTGGGCATCCACAATGCCAGCGCCCCCGCCCTCAGCTCTCAGGTCCAGCGGGGCTCCTCCTCCTCCGTCCTCCTCGCAAAGCCGCGTCTGAGCGGCTCTGGGTCCTACTGACTAGCTTCGACCTCATCGCCACTCCTTCAGAGATGTATCATTACTTGAGCCACTTAAACTGTGACACGCTGTGGGTCAAAAGGCACGACCCCGTTTCAGATAGGTGGACATGAGAACAATCTAGTGTTCTCTGTACCATTAATGAAGAGTGTACCCCTGATGAAGAGTGCCCCTTCTTGGCCAGGGGTTCCCTGCAGCGAGGAGCTGGGGGCAGTGTCTGGATGGTGAGGGGCCTGGAACCTCTCTGTTCCCAAAGCTCTGGGGGGACGGTTGTACTCTGCTGGCTCTGAAGCCCCTCACCTTGGTGCTCCCACATGGCCTCTCCTGCCCTGGCCCTGAATACATGCATTTAACCTTCAGTTTCAAGTAAGATGGATACTGCACATGGAAAAATTGTCTGTGTGAGGAATGAAACTTGACAAAGAAAGCAAATAAACACAATCTCCAGGTGACACCTCGCTGTCACCTGCCTTTAATAAAGAGGGGTCTCTGGGGGCCCCTATATGAGTCTCTCCCACTCTTCATCCACGGCAGGGCAAAGATCTGTCATTCAGAGTTTGCCCCCTGATTGGAGATGCGTCCTTAACGCCTCCTCCCCATTGCTCCCTGCAGAGGAAAAGCTGGTGTGAGAAGAGCAAGATTAACGTGAGAAGACCAGACAGACAGCTAGTGGGAGGTGACAGAGAGCCGCAGATAAGATAGCAAGAGAGAAGGAGGCGTCCCACTGAACAGAGGACAAGAGGCAGGAGAGAAGACCCCCCTCTGCCGGCAGGTACCCGCCCAGCCTTGCCCGTGTGGACCGGTCCACCTGGCCAGTCATCCTGGGCAGCTCTGAATTTTCTGGAAGGGGAGACCTCCTCCACCTTCCACTAGTGCACCAATATTTTATTGCAGGTGTTATTTTAAATAACATAGTCTAGGAGAAGCCTCCTAGACTATGTCCTGTGTACTGTCTTGAATATTAATTTGTGAACGTTACAGTCAAAAGAATTTATTCAAGTCATGTGAAAGAGTAATTCACTAAAATATAATGAAGTGAATTTTTTAAATAAACAAGGAAAACTTTATTTTATAATACCAAGAATATACTTGGAGGTAATTAACTTAGCCCTACCCGAAGAGCTGAATTATGTAAACTTCTTTTCAAAATTACAATTGAAAGGAGTCTTGGTTAAGTTCTTAAGCTATCTATAGATATGTAGAAACTGATCAAATCCCACGGCAGGATGGTTCATGGCAAAATTTCTCATGATTACATCACAGTTACAGGTGAAATTAATTTAGGGGATATTACATGTCACCTCTCTAGGAATAGTACTAGGCCATTTGAAAAATTTACCTATAATTGCAAGTTTTTAATTAGGGAAGGTTCCAGAATTATTCGCAATTTTAAGAGGGTAAGAAAAGTCACCTTAAATGCATCTGTTTATGCCAATATTATCAAATCCCTAACTTTAGAGCCTAATTATTTCAGAAAAAAAAGGTCCGAGATTCCCAAAACTTTAACACATCAATTGGCAAGTCAACAGGCCTGAACACTTGCTCTTGGCTTGCTAAGAGCCAGCTGAGTGTCCCACGCTGTGCCAGGTGCGTGGGGGAGAGCTGGAAGCCATCATGTGTAGAAAGGCGGCCACAGAGCCCTCTCTCCAGTGCCTTTAGCCCCAGCGAGGGGTAAGAGAGGGAGAACTACAAAATCATAACACTCGGCTGTGTGTGGGAGTCCAGGACCCTGGAAGGGGCTGTGGGGACCGCAATGTTTGGTTTTCTGTGTGTTCGGAACCGCGCGGCTCAGTGCGTCCTAGCCAGGCCGAAGACAACAGTGCCAAAGCGGTCCTTCAGTCCACAGGTTAGTCCGGCACGAAAAGCCGGGAGTGAAGGGACGGACCGGGCCTGGCGGTGGAGACGGGAGGGAAGAATTGACTAGAGCAATACTGTAGCCTGGAAGGGAGGACGTGACAGGACTCGATGACCGTTTGACTTAAGAGGGTAACAAGCAGGAGCGTCCAAAGTTGGCCCCAAGGGGAAGGTGAGATTGGACTTTGGGGAGCAGGGGACTTGGACCTCGACCTTCCAGAGAGGCCGTGACAGCTCAGCTTTGAGGTCTTTGCCAAGTAAATGCGAGGCCTTTTACAAAAATGCAATTTGATTTAGAGATAAGAGCTCGTGATGATTACCTCCATGTCTTCGTCTATCACTCACGTCTGTAACACCGCCGTCCAGCATCCGTCTCCCTGCCTCCCACACTGCATGACACGGCTGGGCGGCTCTCACAGCTCTTCACATTATTGCTCCTCCTGAGGAATCAGTCCCATTGAACCTTCGTTTTCCTGGCATGTGGGTTCAAGCAGGGAAAGTGTTTTCCCTGGGATCTTCCTTGAGTTTCCCTCCCCAGGGCCTCCCCTGGTTTCTCGGGCTCGAGGGTGGAATTGCACTGTTGGAACAGGAAAAACCAATCCTGCCTGGAGCAGCGTCCTGGTTCCCTCAGGCCAGCTCCCTTTTGTGGTTGCTGCTGGTCCTTTGTGGACATAAAGCCAGGATACATTCCCCCCCCCCCTGCCCTGCATCCACCTTATCTGTGCACTTAATTGGATGAGTCAGACTGTGGAGAGCTGTCCCTCAGAGCCAAGGGGATCAGGCATCAGGAACCCCAGAGTGTGTAGGGCAGAGGACGCAGGTGGCCGAGAGCGGGCGTGGGGCTGTGGCTGCTGTCGGGGAATGGCTGGTCCAGGGCGAGGTGGAGACAGGTGCAGTCATCTAAATGGGAGGAGTGAGGGCTTGGCATGGACAGGGGCCCGTGACAACAGGAAAACTCTTCAGGAAATAACATTTCCCAAATGTCTACTTCAGAACCACCTTCTTCACATGTGCTATCTCATGCTATCCTGCAGAAAACCACGGGTACTTTTATTCTCCCAATTTTAAAGACAGGAAAATTGAGCTTCTGAGATACCGAGTAACTTAACCATGAAGCAAGTCAATGGCAGAGAGGAGAATTCCAACCCTGTGCTGTTGGACTCTGAATTTCAGGCTCGTTTCTCCACGGTGACTGGACATAATGGTAAAGAGGAGCAAAGTCCAAACTTTGACATAGCTCTGCCCTCAGAGGACTAATTACTGAGGGGAAAGTCCTGGAAAAACAAGCGTGGGCATCACTATGCATTGAGCGGGGCTGGTATTTAGCAACGTCAGGTGTAAGGTAATAGTTACTGGACAATTACAATATGCCAGGCACCGTTTTTCGTATGGGAACTCATTGAATCTTCACTGAGTCCCTGTAGCGGCATCATTGCCCCCGGTACACTGCACGGTGGAGAAGTTAAGTAACTCGCTGAGGTCACACAGCCACAAAGTGGCAGAGCCAGTGCCCAGACCCCAGAACCTGTTCTCTCATCCACCTCACCAGGCCGCAACCACCTGCACTTTGTACATCCAGCCCAAAAAGTGTTTTCTGTTGAGCAAATGCACCATGCAAAGCACCGTGGGAAACAGGAAGACGAACTGGACGTTCAATGTGGTCCCTGACATGGCCAGTAGACTACAGTGGGGAGCTGACCGGGGGACCTGGGAATGTCTGTCCAGGTCCTCTGCCCATTTTTTAATTGGGTTGTTTCTATGGTGTTCAGTTGCATGAGTTTCTTATACATTTTGGATTTCAACCCCTTATAGGGTATAATGTTTGCGAGTATCTTCCCATTCACGAGGCGTTCTATTGCTGTCTTTATGTGACTGCTACTCTCCCTCAATTTCAGGTCTATGAGACAGTTGGACACAGCGGGACCACCTTGCTAGCAGAAGTGTTCCTGCCCATTCCTGAAAGCACTGTGGTCAGTGGGAGGGCTCCCACCGAAGAAGTGGAGTTTAGCAGTAACCAGCACGTGACCCTGGACCACGAGGGGGTCGGAAGTGGTATGTATGGGCACCCGATTATCCTTGATGGCTCACAGTTTCACTGTCAGAATGTATCTGTTTTTTCACTTCTCAGTCAACCAGATAATTCTAAAATCGCTGTCAGAAATCCAAATAGAAACCATAATTTTGCAAACTTAATTTTTATACAATACTGATGGCCAGTACAGTCATATGATTTTGCAAGTATAAAGTAGTTTGGCAGCATGAATTAAGAACAGCTAGAATGCCTTTGATACCTTAATTCTACTTCCAAGAATCTTTCCTCAGAAAATAATCTGAAATGAGGACAAAGTTTTGTACATAAAAAGTATATATCGTGGTATTATCTTAAAGCTGAAAAGTTTGAAATAACTTGAACAATTGTGATAGGGAGATCATTAATTAATATTCTCTCTTATCTTTCTCTGCAATTCTGGTTAGATAAGTGATGGATCATCTCATTCTTCCCACTACGTTTCTTGTACTTGATGTCTTTTTATTTCGCTGCTACATTCTGTGATTTCTTTGCATCTCCCTCCCAGGTGATGAATTCATTCTTTGGATGGGCCTGAGCAATGCAATTCATCATTGTGTTTCTTGTTTCAATTACTGTATTTTTTCACCTCTAGACATTCTGTTTAGTTCTTTTCCAATCAGTCTGGTCAGCTGTGATAATTTTTTGTCTTTTGCTCAGACTCAGTCATTTTTTATTCATTCATTACCCTATTTTTAAAACATAGTAAAGACTTTTTGAAATATTCTGTATGTGATCATCTCAATACCTACCTGCTCATTGGTCTGATCTGTCACCTTTTGTTCATGGTGGCCTGTCTCCTTGTGGGTCTGGTGATTTTTTACGGTGAGGTCACACCGGGAGATCTGCAAGGATCTTCTGAGACCCTAATTCAATCACTAAAAGTCTGCAGACCGAGGCTTTCGTCCCAGCTGTGATGCTGACAAGCTGTGTGCCCCGAGTAGTCGTGTGACCTCTTTGACTCTCGTCTTCTTCATTCATAAAATAGACCTAATACTACCCTGTTTAGAGCCCTGTCGGGTTGTTCTGAAGATCAAGGTGGGATGTTTAATAAGTAGGAAAAATCTTTGAAAAACACAAAGATGCCATTACAGTGTAACAATGGTATGGTTTTGTGTGAATAATATCAACTGGAAATGCAGAGTGTGAAGTCGCTATATGTAGTGCTTGAAAACCTTTTCTTTTTTAGTTAATCAAACATACTGCCGAAAGGGTTTTTATCATTCGTTTTCATTCCGTGGGGGCCAGATCAGTGAGGCTTTGCTGCTGCCCCATAGCCCAGCCGTAGCGAACATTTCCTGAGTGGTCCCTGTTTGCCGGGCGCTAAGTGCTGGGCCAGCAGGGCCTCACTTAACCCGCCGTCCTTCCCTCCAGGGACACATCCACCTCGGGGCCCTTGCCCTGTTCCTTCCACCAAGCAATGCTCTTTCCCAAGATTTCACCATCTCACGTGCTCCCTGTCTTCACGCCTTTATTTAAAAGTCCTGCCCTGACTGGTGTGGCTCAGTGGGCTGGGCACTGTCCCACAAAGCGAAGGGTCCCAGTTCAGTATCCAGTCCGGGCACACGACTGGGTTGCAGGTTCAGTCCCGGTAGGGACGCGGTAGGGATGCATACGGGAGGGACCCTATCGATGTTTCTCTCTCACATCGATCTTTCCCTCCCTCTCTTTGTCCCTCCATTCCCCTCTCTCTAAAAAATAAAGAAAATCTTTTAAAAAAGAATAAAGTCCCATCTCTGAAGTCTCCCCTGGCTACTCCCTCTGAAAGTTCAACCCCTCCCCACACCCCAAAACACATATTTTCTGTATACTTTCCCTAATTTATGTTTCTCTTTTATACCTATCATTCTGTAACTTGCTACACATTGCATTTCACTTACTAATCTTATGTATTGCCCATCTTTCCTACTGACATATAAACTCCACGATATCAGGGATTCTTACCAGTTGGGCTTCTTTCCTGGTCCTCAGTGCCTGGAGTGGCGCCTGGCACGATGCAGGAGCAGATACTCATCTACTGAGTGAATGAATAAAGGAAGGTCTCCACAACAGTCTCCTCCTTTGCAGGCGATGCCGTTATTATCCTTATTTTATACATTAAGGAACTAGGGCGCAGAGCGGCTGAGGACTGTGTCTGTGGCCACAGCGCTGCAGAGTGTCAAAGCCACCATATTTTGCACAGATGGTCCCGCTCCATGCGCGTCATCCATCCTAATGGCCACAGTGTTGGCGGAGACAGAGCCAACCAGCGATGCTGAACGTCCTCACCCCCAGAGCTCAGTGATGCTGAATTATGTGTTCCTGCCCCACCCCACCCCCGTCCACGTGGCCCATTGTCTACCGTCTGCTGTCTTACCAGGACTGGGCTCACTCCCTCTGTCCAAGCAACACCCTGTTTGACGTGCTGTTTCCCTAGGTGTGCCCTTCTCATTTGAAGCCGATGGTAGTAACCAGCTGATTCTGATGACCTCGGGGAAAGTGTCCAACAGCGTGGCATGGGCCGTTGGAGAAAATGGGATACCTTTAATTCCTCCACTGTCACAGCAGAACATTGGATTTAGGAGGTAATGCGTGGCTGGAAGAAACTGATGAGCAGCGTCGACCTTAGCGTTAATAATATCCACTGGGGGGAAACGGCTTGCAAATCACAAGCATCCCTCTGATTGTCCTGTGCCAGCATATTCAGGGAGTTTTATTGTTCTTAAGGTAAAAATTAAGATATGAATGGCCTATCAAATATTTGCTGTTTACCAGGGTCAGAAACAGCAAAAAGTGCTTTCTCTTGTTTAATCTTGACAAAAATTCTGAGAAGTACTCTCCCTGCTTTACAGATCGGGGAGTAAGCAGCACATAATTGTAAAGGTTCATTGCTACTGATGATGAGTGTTGAACCTTCTGGTTCTGTGAAGGGCCCTATGCTCAGTCCCCTTCTATGGCGGCTAGAGTCTTAGCTTTCTATTCATAACAGAAGACAGAGACCCCTAGGCTAGCCCCCTCTCCTTGTGGGTGATGCCTATCCAAGCAGCGTGGATGGTGGGAGCCACGTGTCCTGGGTTCGAGTTTTGTCTCTGTCACCCTTCAATAGATTTGTCTCAAATGCATCATTTTACCATCCTAGGCCGCAGCTGCCTCACCTATAAAATAAAAGGGCGTGTTCTGATCATCGAGAACACACTTTCCCAGTTACAGACTGTCATTGGCAACATGCAGAAAAGTAGAACAGGCTTGTTCTGTTTCCCTCGTAGGCCCCCTCCGTCCCCATACCAACCTGTGTTCACGTGATAAAAAACAAGGACATTCTCCACTGGCCACCACGTCCGGTGGAGGCTTGCTCCTGCCTCCAGGATGAGCACGTAGCATACATTTCACTGCGTTTCACCCCAGGGAGACTCTTGGGGCATAAAGCTCCCACTCAGCGGAGTCAACGGGAACTGCAGCACTGCTGATAACGCCACGGTTCCACGGTGCTGACAGCCCCAGCCTCCCCGGAACTCAGCGCGCCCAGAGTCGGTGCTTACGCTGGTTGTGTGTTTATTTTTCTGTCTCTCACCTTTTTTTTTTTTGCCTCAGTTACCAGTGGTTCCTCAGTTGCCTGAATGTGAGCCTTCGGGGCACCCTGTACCAGGTTCAGAGGCCCCTTTTCACCGGCCTGGGTCCTGGGACTCTGGGTCACTTGCATGCCCTGGGCAGGTGTGGGAGCAGTCACGTTTCCAGTCCCTCCCCTTCTTTTATTCTCTTTATTTTATTGAGATATAATTGACACATGACATTGTGTGACCTTAAGCTGTATCCTTGTTGGTTATCATCGTGGTCTGACCTATGTAAATACTGTCAGATGATCACCACATGAACTCTAGTTAACAGCCACCACCACCCGCGGTTATACATGTTTTTCCTTGTGATGAGAACTTGTAAGATTTACTCTCCAAGCAGCTTGCAAGTATTCAATAGAGCATTGTTAGCTGTAGTCACTGTTGTTGCTGATCACATCCCCAGGACTTACCTATAACTGGAAGTTTGTCATTTTTGACCACCTTCACCCCACCCGCTGCATCTGGCAACCACCACTTTGGTCTCTGTTCCTATACATTTGTGGGTTTTTTTAAATATTCCACAGTATTTATCTTTCTTTGTCTGCCTGACTTATTTCACTTAGCTTAATGCCCTCCAGTTTCATCCACGCTGTCACAAATGGCAGGATTTCATTTCTGTGGCTGAATAGTGTTCCTTTGATGTATATACCACATTTTCTTTATCCATTCATCTGCCAATGGACACTTAGATTGTTTCCAAACTTTGGCCATTGTAAATAACACTGCAATGGCAACGGGGGTGCAGACACCTCTTTGGGGCAGTAATCTTGTTTTCTGCGTGTATATACCCAGAAGTGGGATTGCTGGATCACATGGAAATTCCACTTGTCATTCCTTCAAGAACCTCCGCCCTGTTCCCTGCAGTGGTGCACCAGTGTCCGCTCCCACCGAGAGAGCATGAGGAGTCTTCTTTCTCAGCATTCTTGCCAACACTCATTCTCCGTTCTCTTCTCAATAATAAGCATCCTAACAGCTGTGAGATGATATCTCTTTGTGGCTTTGATTTGCATTTCCCTGATAATGAGTTCTGTTGTGCATTTTTTCATGTAGCTGTCAGCTGTTTGAATACCTTCTTTGGAAAAAATGTCTCCTAAGTTCCTTTGTCCATTTTTTATTTTTTCAGATTTTTCTTTTTTTTTTCCTTTTTTTTTGCTATTGAGTTGTATAAGTTGCTTATATATTTTGGATATTAACCCCTTATCAGATGCGTGGTTTGCAAATACTTCCGGCCACCATTCTTACTTGTTTACTGTCCCTATAACATACGAAATAGCAATCTTCAAATAAAGAAAAACGGCAGAAGTCCATCCTTATCATCAGATGTTCTGTTGTGGAGATTAATAGCTTCATTGAACAAGTAGCCTCTGGGATTCAGTGGTCGCGTCCATCTCCCGGAATGATTTTTTTCCAGTGCTTTGAAAAGAGCAGATGCCATCTCATCCATTGGCGCCTCGGGACTGACAGACATGAAAAAGTTGGCCAAGTGGGCGGCAGAATCCAAGCTCGATCCCAACGATCCCAGCAACGCTCCTCTGATGCAGCTGATCTCGGTAATGTGGCAGAACTGCGCTCTTTCTCTATGCGGCGTGATGACAATGATAAAAATGGCTCCGCCCTTCGCACACATTGTCTTTCCTCCTGTGCTCTGTGCCGCGGTGCTGAATAGCGTGAGTGCTGAGTGAATGGCTGGTTTAAATGGCAGCTCGGCACCTACCTGGCTGTGTGAGCAAGGTGGTCCCTCGTGTGTCTAAGCCCCGAGACGCCCGCACAGTGCTGCTGTTGCCAGTGAAAATGGGTTCTTGGGGTGTTGCAAGAAAGGAATTGCAAAAGGCATGTGTGTGGGAGAAGTTTTAGCAGAGTGGAAAGACTTATTGGGATGAAAGGCAGTAAGACACCCCCTGGGATGTAGGGGGTGGGCAGGCTCTAGCAACCATGGTTCCGAGATCCTTGAAAACCCTCCATGTGTTCTCTTGGCCTTCAGGAAGGAGCAGGCTTTCTTTCAAACTATCTAACCTACTTCCTGGGTTTTCCCGGACCTTCCACATTTCCAAGCCCTTATCCAATCTGAGTCCTTTCCCAGACTAGGCTCTGCCCTTTATGTCACTATTTTGCACACGGGCTTATCTCCCCTGGTGCCGTCTTGCCTTCTACTGCGCATGCCTTGGCAGAGGAAATTTCCTACCTTGGTAATCTCTGCTAATAACGGGTAACTGATTTTTTCTGCCCACTTTGAGGATTGGGCAGAAAAAGTCCTCAGGGTCTGAGGAGGGTCAGGTTTCCCAGGGGGGATTCCCAGTGAATCAGGCTTCATGTCTGATTCAGCTCCCTAGTTTGTTAGGCTTAATGTCTGATTCCCGTTGCTCCCTTCCTTAACTAGCTTCCTGTGCTAATACTGTCACAATAAATAAACTGCTGCATATCCATACTTTGCTGGGCACATAATTGGTGTGCAATAAATACTAGCTGTTGTCATTGTAACTGTCACCTCAAACTTCTGTAAAACCCTAAAGAAAGGTTTAATTTTCCCCTTTAATAGAGAGAAAACTCCTCAAGTTTCCTTCTACAGAGAGTTACCTCCTCAAAGTCACATAGCTAGTAAAGGACTCAGATCCAAGTTCATCTGACTTCAGAGTCTGTGCCCTCTCCATCACACCCTGAAGGGCTGATGGGGCATTTTAAGAAGTGGTGGTTTTGTTTGTATTCTTGTTTAATGATTAAGTTGATTATTATTTAGGTTTCATTTAAGTATTTATGAGATAAGTTGCTTGTATCTATCATAACATCTTAAAATTTTCAGTCAATTTATAAATAAAATAGGCCATTAGTAAATTATCTTTTGGCATCAAATACAACTGTTTTTACTCCTGAGATCATGATTCCCACAAAAACATCATAAACAAGTAGATGATACAGAAAGTGACCATAGCAACACATCCTGTGACCATGTTTATTAGTATAAGTTCATCAGCAGGATAATTGTAACCGGCATGAAAATTTTCATTTCTCTCCCAGTATTTCTAAGATAAGTCCCCAGACGAGCCTCTGACTTTTGCCTCTATACACTCTCCTTGCAACGTGGTGCTTTTAGTGTGGGTAAGAAAAATGTCAGAAGGAACAGATCATATCACCTACCTGAAGGGAGTCTCTTCCACGTAAAGTTTTCGAATCATGATTTCATTACTGTCTTTCCATCAGAAGTAATACAGTGCGCGTGTCACCTTTGTAACCATGTGCCTTCCCACAGAAGCATAAAAGCACGGGGATGCCTTCCTGACTGGGCTCCTTTTGTGAACCAGGGTTTGCACAGCAGGATCACCTCGCCCATCACAAAGCCCAGCAAACCTCTGCTCCCTGGCTTTCCTTCCGCCCCGGAGGAGGTCGTGGCTGGCAGAGCACCCAGCAGAGGGCTGGCAGACTCGTGGGCAGAGTCACCCCCGCACCTGCTCAGCCTCCAGTAGGACTGAAGCCGTCCCTCCCATGCAACTGCACAGACGCACTGGAGGTCGGCACCCAGATCCATCTCAGGCTCACTGTTCTCAGGGACCAAGGCCGGGAGGGGCCGTTCAGAGATGGGAGGGCATGGCCGTGGAGCTGAGTGAAGGTGATCAGCTTGACTCTGGTGCCTTTAAGCCACACATGTGCCGAAGAATAGTAAAAAGTTATATTGTAAAATAAACGTAAAACATGAAGAGGATAAAGGGGGTCAAATATATGGTGAGGGAGGAAGACTAGACTGTGGGTAGTGAGCACACGACGCAACATACGGATGATGTGTTATGGAATTGTACACTTGAAATGTGTATGTTATTAACCAGCGCCACCCCAATACATTTAATTTAAAAATATAAATTTAAAACACACATATTAGATTCTATATACACCATGCACGTGCATAATCTTATTTGCAGTAGGCATCTAGTAATACATTACTATAAATCTCTCATTCTTCATTCTGTCTATTTTCATCATACCTAGTAGGGGAACGTACATACCAAAGATGAACCTTCTAATTTTTATTGCTTTGAAAAAACGATTTATGGTACTTTTTTAAATCATTTTTTTATTGTTGTTCCAACACAGTTATCTCCATTTTCCCACCACCACCACTTTCCCCTGCCCCACCCATCCTCCCTCCCATCCCCCATTGGCTTTGTCCATGGGTCCTTTATACAAGTTCCTTGATGACTTTTCCTTCTTTCCCCCATTATTCCCCTCCCACCTCCCCTCTGGTCACTGTCAGTTTATTCTTCATTTCCATGTCTCTGGTTACATTTTGCTTGCTTGCTTGTTTTGTTGATTAGGTTCCACTTACAGGTGAGATCAGATGTGGTACTGTTTATAGCTACTGAATCGACATATTAACATCGTCCTTGTTACTATTACACTTTAATGTACTTTGTCTTTAAATGAAATGCAGGACATTTCAAGTCTCTCAGTCTAAAGCAGTTAAGCTTCCACTCCCAAAAGCCTGGTGCTGGCTTCCTTTGGATGGAATCTGCCCATTGTCTAGAGTTTTGTATTCTCTGGTTTTTATAGGTCGCCACCAGCGGCGAGTCCTACGTCCCTGGCTTCTTTCGACTGGAACAGCTGCAGCAGGAATTTAACTTCGTGTCAGATGAGGAACTAAATAGATCGAAACGATTCAGGCTTCTGCATCTTAGAAGCCAAGAGGTGCCAGAATTCCGAAATTATAAGCAAATCCCAGCATATGACCGAGAAATCATGGAAAGGGTATTCCAGGTGAGAAATGGCTGTGGTGAAACACCACTGTGCCACTTGGTCAGCTTTTTATGTGAATTCTGTTGCTGTTGATAACAGTCTCAGTGGCAATACTAGTTTCTCTTTTGCATTACTTTACATAACCTTTTCATTACTTTTCTTGCATTCAATGTTTAAATAACCTTTTATCTCAATATGGTAAAAGACATAAACTAAGAAAAATTAGGATTGTAGGGTTGAGAAATATCTTAGGGGTTAATATGGCAAATCAGGCTGCCTTAGTCAAGAGTTCAATGCCGTTTTAATCCAATAAGAGAAGCTCACAGTCAGTGGTGAGCACCGTGGGAAACTGAGGGGCAGGATTTGAGCGGCCTCGGGGTGGGAGCGCCTCGGGGTGGGAGCGGGAGAGAGGAAGTGGGGGACAGGCTGGCGTCCGGGCAAGGGCAGCGGGGTGCAGAGTCAGGTGGGCCAGGAGCCATCTGAGGGCCGTGGGGGCGGGACCTCTGAGGGCCTTCAGGTCGTAGGCCCGGGTAGGTGGGGCAGGCCAGCGAACCCAGACAGGTGAGTCTGTGTCTGATGAGGTCAGTGAGGAGCCATTAGACACTGGCACCAGTATGACTTCTCCTGCGGAAGCCATTCTGGGAGAATGCTTTTGGTTGCTTGGTTCTCGTTTGCGTGGTTCGGACCTGTGATGGTGACGAAATCCCAGTTTGAACTGGCGCAGGCACCAAGGGGGGTTTACTGAGTGATGGAACCCCAAAATGGGGTTAAGTAGCTGAAGACGTGTGAGTGTCAGGAGTTCATCTGTGCCTCAGTGACACCTGGCGGCAGGGCCCGAATGCCCCCAGGCCCTGTCCCACCCTGTCCGGGCTCCCCTTGCCTGCCGTGGTGGCTTCACTCCCCCACTATCAACAGGCTTCTCTACTTGGCCACATGGTCCCCACCACTATCCAAGTTCACATCCAGTAGTTTCAGCCAGAAGGGAGAGCTGCGTCCTTTTTTTTTTTAATTTACCTTACAGAGACGGGGGAGAGGGACTTCAGGGTGTTGTCCCACGTAGTCATCCGTTCACTGGCTGCTTCCTGTGCGGTCTCTGACTGAGGATCAACCAGTCAAGTCTGGCGTGTCACAGCGACCCTCAACCAACTGAGCTACCCGGCCAGGGCACAGAGGTGTCACCTTCTGTCCCAAGTTTAAAAATCTCGGGTCACCGTGAGCATCCAGTGTGACCAGGAAAGCACTGAAGGAGAAGAGGGTAGCTCCCCGGGGGGCCACAGGGAACTTTATCGATGGAAAAAGAGAGGAGAATGCAGCGGCCTGCGCAGACTAATCCAAAGCGCCCACGACCTCCCTCCAAGTTGGTGACTGAGTCCGCTGCACCCAGATGCCATTCTCTGCTTTGTCATTGCTTTGCTTAAGATAGGAAAAGGCAAGGGTTAAGCAGAGGCTTTGACTAAGTTGCCGGGTGAGCTCGGCATCTGGAACCACAGCGAGTGTTATCGGCGTAGCCTCTATCTCTTCCCTCATGAACGTTGCAAAGTATAATTACAGGTTTCTCGTCTACTTATAAGGCACCTGCCAACTGACTCCCCGAATCCTGGATACCGCATCAAAGGCCAACTCTGAACCAAAAGTTCACAGGAAGGGGGAAGAAGCATAATTTATGAATGTAAACCACAAGTGATAAATTCCCTAATCTCGAGAAGGGCATGAGAGAGTACTAATACTTTAAAATCATAAAATTATTCCGCTTTAATTTTTAGGACTATGAGAAGCGGCTACGAGACAGAAATGTGATTGAGACAAAGGACCCCGTCGATGGCCACAGGGCCGTAGTAGCCAAGTACCTCCAGCAGGTAAGGGAAATCGTGTTCCACAGCCCCGACGGGGGAAAACGGCCCGCCTCCTGAGGTGGGAGGTGGAAGGTAGGAGGTTGGAGGTTTCTCTTCTTTTAAGGAGCTGTGTGATCCTTAGCCCCGGAAGGCTTCTTTCCTCAAGATTGCAGATATGAAATTGATTACTGGTTCTCTTCATCTTTTGAACACACGACAGCATTAGGACGTATCTCAGCTTACTGTCAGGGGTTCTCTTAAGTGGGATAGGGTGACAAGGGACTCAGTTATTGAATGTCTGCATCATCCTTCGTAATGAAACAGAAGTTTTATAAGTGACATACTAACTGCCCTATTCACTAGAAGGTTGAAATGCCTTTTGGTCCCCTCTCTCTCTCTCCTTCCCTTCTTCCCTTCCTTTCTTTAATAAATTTAATTTATAAGAAATGCTACAGTGACTGTGGTACAGGGTCCCCATCCAGTGGTTTTGCCTTCTGGCGCACATATAAAAAAAGAACAATTTATGACATTGAAGAGGTTGTCTATTTAAAGGAGAATTAGGAGATAAACCAATCTGAGTAGAGGAAGAACTTAAGAAGCACTTCTGCGTCCTGTGTGCCTCGAGGCTGGTCCTATTTTCTGTTCATCCATTCGTTCCGCAAGCGTTTACTGTCTGTGGGTCAGGAGCTTTCCCGGGTCCTGAGAGTGGAGCAGTGAACGGAACAGAAACCCCTCCCCCTTAGGAGCGTGCACTAGTGAGCAGAGCCCGGTGGTTGGCAGTGGGCCGAGGTCAGTGCTGCGGAGAGAAGGGGAGGTGGCTGGTGGGGGCTGTGCGGACGTGGCGCTGGGGTGAGGATGTGGAGAAGTTCAGGGAATGAACGGTGAAGGCCACCAAACAGGAACGTTTGCCCTAGCCTTGCTTTCTTTCCCCAGGTTAGAGAATCCGTGTTAAATCGTTTCCTAATCGCAAAACGCCATTTTCTTCTCACGGATTTGATCGTCGAAGAAGAAGTTCCCAATATCAGGTAAAAACAAACCTTTTGTTTCATCTAAAAATGACTGTCATTGCATTATAGTAAAACCTGCGTGTGACTGCAAGATGTCTGTCACTGTACGGGGTGCACTTGGTCCACGAACACTGCTGGAAACCGGTGACACTCGGTGCGTGCCTGATGGTTGCATTAGGAGAGGGGTCTCTGTCAGAACTAGTTACCCGGGGTCCTCGCCATCTCACGCCAGCCAGCCACCTGCCTCACCCCCACCTACCGCCGCGCCAGCTTCGCCAGCCTTTGCCCTTTCTCGTTGCCGTCAGAGTCCCACAGCCTTTCCTTCCCTCCTGCACATGCTCCTCCTGCTTCTGTCATCTCCCGGTGCTGGCCCTTCGCCTCCTCCCCCCTCGCGGGGCAGTGCGGGTGGCTGGGAACCACGGGCCCCCAGGTGTGGGTGGCAGGGGCGGCCTGGTCCCAGAACCGCCGCTGGGAGGGCAGAGCTGCTGTGTTTGGTGCAGCCTGAGGGCAGCTGGGGAGAAACGGTTATTTACCTGGAAGTTGGGAATTGACCCGATCTGCTTGATTGTTTTCTCCTATCACTTAGAAAAATCTTCAAATTGTTTCAACTCGGGGTGGGGGGCGGGATTCAGGAAAGACGGAGGAGAACTTTCCTCATTGGTGGTCTTGTGCAGTCCATTAATCTCGGGACCCTTTCTGTGACCGAACCTCATGGCCTCCCCTAAAAAGGTCATTCCTTAGGCATGTATTTCCTCTCCACCGTCGAGTCGGGAAGGAGACAAAGCATTGCGCTGTCTTCAGCAGCCCCTGACCTTGACTCTGTCTCCATCCACCTACAGGAGAGAGAGGCCGTGCCCGTAAATTCACACGACCCCCTTCTCTCTAGTCCAGGCCCCGAGTCTGGTCAGTGAACGCTTGATTCCGTCATGGAAATTATGCGTAGACTCGATGGTGATTTTTCATGCTGTTTTCCCATTTCTTTTCTTTCTTTTTCTTTTTCTCTGCTTTACTTTCTGCATTAAGTTCTGAAGGCTCGGGGTATGTTCTTTCTTCTTTTAATTTCCATTTGTTCTTGGTTTTAAACTAATATGTTGCTGTATTTAATGGTCCCAGCTACCAAGATGTTCCCACGTGAAGTCTTTGGGGAGAGCCCCGCCCATGGGCGGGGAGGCAGTATTTTCAGGGGGGTGTACCCCATAAGGACCCCCTGGCAAAGGTGCCTCTCCCAGGTCCCAAGCTTGGGCTGGCAAGTGTGCTGGCCAGGTGCTGAAGAAGGGGGGCTGTAATTTGGGACAACAGGTTGGCGCTAGGGGCCATCACGCTAAGTGAAATAAGACAGAGGAAGATAAACGCCACAGGCTGTCACTTCCATGTGGAATCTAAAGAGCCAGACTCATGAGAGCAGAGAGCAGAATGGTGGCTAGGAGAGGCCGGGGGGCCGGAGAGCAGGGGAGGTGTGCCTTAACGGTACAGAGTTGTGACCAGCAGGTAGATAAGTCCCGGAGATCCAATGCGAGCATAGTGACTGCGGCCAACAGCACTCAAAGGCACTGAAAGCCCAGACCTTAGATACTGTGACCACATGAAAGAAATGATAATCATTTGACCTGATAGAAGCGTCAGCTAATGTCATGGCGAGAATCATAATCTATAAAGACCTCAGACCAGCATGCTGTGCACCTTAAACTGAATGTTATATTGAATGTTACAGTCAATTATATCTCCATGAAAATTAAAGTAATAAAATAATAAAACTGTAGATAATGTAGATAATTGCACACACAAACGGAGATTTGCAAAAATGTACCATAATGTCACTCTCCTCACATTTTGTGTGCGAGAGGAGAATTAGCCTTCATGGTTTTACATCATGTTAACGTGCAGTGGACTTACTCCTGTTTTGAGTGGGTTGAGAAGTGAGTATATGTAAACACTGGAAAAGGAGCAGACGGGCTGTGAAGTCAGAGTGACCTGAGACTGGACCCCAGCTCCCCCTCCCCTATTTAGGAACCTTCAGCAAATCATATCACCGCTCACGGCCTGCAGTTTCTTCATCTGGAAAAATGGGGGTAAACCTTATACCTGCGAGGATTAGAAATGGTTACGTGTGAGGCACCCAGCACTCTGCTTGATGCACGAAGGTGCTGGTGAGGGCTCACTATTCCGTGCTCTGTGGGACCGAAGTCCCCGAGAAGGAAAGGGAACAGCAGCTCCCGGGAGCCCCTGGGGAGATGCGTCTCCCTGCTGGCAGGTGCCTCTTGGACAGAGGGCTCCGGCCGAGCTCACCGGGAAGCGGAGCGGCAGAGCAGGCTGCACCGCAGCCTGCGACCAGCTCTACACCGCTGGCTTGGTTCTGTGCTGTTTGGCATAGTCGGTCATGTCAGCCTCCAGGTGCAAAGTCACATCTGTGTTTCTGCTTAGTCTCTGGGCCAGAATTTAATTATTTACTCCAAGGCCCGTTCTCCCATGAGTCACTGACTGTGTTGCTTTCACCTTCCAGGAAGTGTGTGTCTGACACGACCGGGGTGAGAGGTAGGAAGACAGGAGATCCTCCTGCTCCTCCTCCCCCGCCCTTCCTCCTGATTCCACCTCTTCCTCTTCCTCCAGCACACTCACTAACATCATCATCACTGCCATCGTCCCAACACTCACCATTCCGCATCTACTAAGCGCTACACCAGCGCCAGGTGCTCGGATGCACCTCCTCACTTAGTCCTCTCAACAGCCCAAGAGGGAGCTACGGGCCCCATTTTACAGATGACAAAACAGAGGCTTAAAAGGGTGAAATCATTTGCTCAAGGTCAGAGAGCAGCGCCAGGATGCACACCCAGTGTTGTCTAACCCCAGAGAGCGAGGTATCCCGGGAAACACCTGGAAAGGCAGTAAACATCAACTGCAGGAGAACGGAGCAGGGGAGAGAGTGCTCCAGGGGCTCAGGACAGGACATCCCTGCTAGCTGACGTGCCTGGGCCTCGGGAAGGGGGGACCCTGCCCTGAAGGCAGGAAACACTGCAACCAAATGGGCAGATGAGAAGGTGGAGGGAGGCACTCCACGTGCAGGGACGGACCAAGGCGGAGAGGAGGAGAGACAGGGCCCGTCGGAGGGGCTGCGAGGCAAGCGTGGCAGAAAGCACGGCGGGAAATGCTGGGAGGGGCGAGAGCACCCTTTTCTTTCTCTGATCAGTAGCAGCTAAAATAAATTGTAATAATCGATGCAGTAGGATGGCTCCCATCTTAGGAAAATTTCTTGACGATTTCTACCCTCTTTAAAATAAAGACAGAGTTTTTCAGGGGCCTGTGAGGGACCTTGGGGCAGAGCTTGGGAAGTTGTCTGTGACTTTCCAGATCTTCCTTTCCTTCAGAGTCCTAATCCTGTTCTGTAATCATTAGCATTCTTGGCCTAAGCCTCTTCAAGCTGGCGGAACAGAAGCGACCCCTGAGGCCAAGGAGGAAAGGCCGGAAGAAGGTGACCGCCCAGAACCTGTCGGACGGAGACATCAAGCTGCTGGTGAACATCATCCGAGCTTACGACATTCCGGTGCGGAAGCCGGCGGCAGGGTGAGAGCCCTCCCGACAGAGGGGCTGTGCGGGATCCCGGCCCAGGCAGTCTATCGCTGGTGCACTCGGGTTTCAGCGGTGTTGCTCTGGGGGGGCGGGGCGTCCTTGCCCAAGTCAAAATCCCATTGGTTATGAGTACTAGAACCAACTCAGTCAGCTTAGGCTACCAAAGGGGTCACGGGGACTGTCTCGTGGAACTCAGGCCAAGGGGCACAGCTGAGCTACATGGCAGACTGTAAAGATTAAGGTGGTTCTTCTGAGGCCGCGTCCACTCTCTCGAGTGCTTCCCTCTGTGGATTTGCTCCCTTCTTGCATGTGATGGAAGTGATTCATCCAGCCAGGGTACCACCCACCAAGCTTCGGCTTCTCGAGGGAGGACCTGAGGGTCCTAACAGGGGTCAGGTGTTAATCCACATCCTTCCCACCCACAGCCAGAGCAACAGGGTCACCAGCCCGGATAGGTGGGAAACAGTTCTCAGAGACGCAGGTGTGAGCTGAGAAGGTGCCTGCCCCGGGGTTTTAGACACACGCGCTACAGACGTAAAGCCGAGATTTCTCTCTTACCTGCTCCGAGAAGTGTTATGCTTACGACATTTATCTACACTGGGGGGCACTGGGGACCCTCAGCCATGGATGAGGGCACTGAGTTACTTATCCCCTTGGAGAACAGAGATGGAAGAACCCAGAACGAAAACAACTTTTGGCTGGTGTCCTTGCCGGTATCATGAGGGAAGCTGTCACTCGTTGTACGCTCACCATAGTCTAGGCACTGCGCTGGGCACTTTCATCCATATTATTTCATCAGCTCCTCACTGCTGCTGCCAACTCCATGTCACAAAAGGGAAGACAGAAGTAAAGGGACTATAAGTGGCTTGCCCAAGGTCACCAGCCCTGGATGAGTGCCATTCTAGCCCTGGCATCTTCTCTCCTCCCCAAGTTCTTTTCATACATTTTCTTTCCCTTCCTCCCACCCCATTATTTTTCCTTTTTTTTTAAACTAACTCTCTCACCCAGTACAGAGCACCTGATCAACACCAGCTGTTCCCCGTTTTATCGCTTGTACATGTCGGTTTAAGCTCTGGAGTCTGTGCCATAGCGTTGCTTCCTGGGGCCGTAGCCCAGGCCTCTCACCTTCATGGATTGTAGAGGGAAAGGCTGTTTGTTTGTTTGTTTGTTTGTTTGTTTTAATATATAGGTGTTTGTCTTACTTTTGGTCTCTCTTGGTTTTTTTTAAGTGTTAAACAGTTCAATCGAACTAACCACCAGGAAGCACAGTGGGTCGCATGGCACACACGTTAGTGTAGACTCACCGAGGCGGCCCATCTGCCAGCCCCCGAACTACGCCGGCCCGAGTCTCAGCCCTCTGCCCTTGCGTCCAACCAAACGGAATTTTCCCACTCCCTCTCTGCACTCCTGTGGCCCTTGCTCATCGCTGTAGTCTAGCAAGCATCCCAGGATCTTGTGACGATTGTTTACATGGCTGCCATCTGCTCCAGTCTGAGCTGAAGAGCGTCCTGCTTGTCTCTGCAGCCCCAGTGTTCAGTGTTCAGCGCGGGGCCTGAAGTGCAGAAGGCACCTACCGAATATTTGTGTGACCGTGTAATTGCTGCTGCTCCAGAGAGAAAGGGGTCTTCTCTGGTAGCTGTTACGTTAAAATACTCCATTGTTGTTGTCTCATCACTTATCTGAAACGCTTACCTGTGAAAAGGTAAGACAGTGTGATAAAAGTAGACAACTTACAGCTTGGTAATGAGTGCAGCATATTTGGTGAACCATAAAGTTCAGACAAAATACCCAGGTGAGTTGTTAGGAGGAGGGGAAGGTGCCTGGGAGAGGCTCTCTGGACATGACCTTCATTCCTCCCTCCAAGAAGCGCAGCTCTTTAAAAGGGAAAGAGGATCATATGGCATTTGTCTTTCACCATCTGGCTTATTTTGCTTAGCATAATGCTTTCCAGCTCCATCCAAGCTGTTGCAAAGGGTAGGAGTGCCTTCTTTCTGCTGCATAGAATTCCATGGTGTAAATGTACCATAGTTTTTTGATACATTCATTTACTGATGGGCAACTAGGTTGCTTCCAGCACCTTTAACAGGAACCTAAACAACAAAACAAGGAAACAAGCAAAATATAGTCAAAGACACTGAAACAGAGGACAGGCAGTGACCAGAGAGGAGAGGGGAGGGAAGTTCAGGGGAAAGGGGAAGGGTTTCAGAAACAAATATAAAGGACACATGGACAAAAACTAGGGGGGCTGGAAATGGGAGGGAGGTGGGGAGGGATGGGTGGGTGGGCTGGAATGGGAGTAAAGGACAGAAAACTGTACTTGAACAAAATGATTAAAATAGAATTTAAAAGAGAGAGAGAAAGAGGACAAGTCCCCTGGATCCTGGCTCAAGCTCAGAATCTGACCCCACCCCCCAGCCCTTTCCCAGCAAGGCCTGGGAGGCCCGAGAGAGATGTTTAGCTGGGATTTGCAGCTTAAGGTTCCTGGAGAATGCAGGTTCAGAGAAAATACAGTAGGAGAGGAATTAAACAGCGACAAAGAAGGTTGGCCAGGAAGTTCAGGATTCTGCCACCTGAGAGGGACTGCGGCTCATTTATGCCTCCCCCTCCCCTGCCAGAGGGGAGAGAGAAGGACTCTTTCCTCTGTCCCTAGCCATCTGGGGGTGACCAGAGCAACTGAAGCCTACTGAAGTGTCAACAAGCTTCGACAGAATGTCTGTCACCTTAGCCACCAGAGCCATACACCTTTGAAAAAACCCTCTTCTCAGTATATAATTAGACTTCCCTGTCATTTATGTTTTCAAACATTTTCCCTCCCAGCAAATTCCAGCAGCCAGCAAGGTCTTCCAGGACTTTCAGCGAGAAGCGGGCTGCTTCCCCAGCGGCGCACAGCAGCCCGGCCCCCAGTGCCGACTACCCGCTGGGCCAGGTGAGGCGCCTGCCCGGGTGGGTCTCCGCGCAGACTCGGCACCCCCCACCCGCCGGGCTTTCAAGAATTGCCTAGAAACTTCCTGGTCTGTTTTCTGCTTCATATCTTAAGGTTTTAGTACGGCCTTTTGTAGAAGTTTCTTTTCAACGAACAATCTGCCACACCACGACGGCTGAAGGGCCAAACCCCAGCTGGAATGAAGAACTTGAACTTCCGTTTCGGTGAGCGTAGTTCCCGGTTAATGCGCTGCAGGGTATGTTGAAGCAGTGGGGAGGCAACAGGGGCCCCCGGGGCTCCCGGGAACCAGCTAGGGTGAAGGTTCGTGCAGCTAGTGAGCTCAGATGGGGACCAGGAGCCCCGACGCCAGGTCCCACGTTCTGCCTCGTGTACCGCGCTGAGTCTGATCGAGAATACGGTGGGAAAACGTCCACCTTCTGAAGCTGGGTGCACTGTTGGGACTCTGTGCTCCTCTGCAGGCTCTGGCTGCTTACAGCCCAAGCTCCCCAGTCCCTTCACCCATGGCCCCTGCACTGCTTTCCCTTTCTTCCTGGTCTCCCCCAACTCTGGAAGCGTTAAGTAAATTTGAAACTCCCTTGTTCTCGTAAATGATGCTTTCCCCTTACCGAAGATACAGAAGCGTTTAGAAAAGAAGGAAATCTTACTCTCTGTGACAGCATGGCTAGACCTGGGGAGTATTATGCTAAGGGAAACCAGCCAGTCATTTGTGATTTCAATTATATGTGGGAGCTTATGGACACAATAAACTCACAAACCAAAACAGAAACAGACTCACGGATACAGGGAACAGACTGACAGCTGGCAGAGGGGAGAGGGGCTGGGGAGCTGGGTGAAAAGGATGAAGGGAATAAGTGTAGAAAAAAGCATACAGATAACAGTACAAGAGAGAAAGGGGGTGGGGTGGGGGAGGAGGAAGTGGGCAACAGGGGCAATAAATGGGGCAGAAAGAGACTTGACTTTGAGTGGGGAGCGCGGGATGCAGCCTCAGATGATGTGTTACGGAGCTGTACACTTGAAACCTGTATGGTTTTATTAACCAATGCCACCTCAGCAAATTCAATAAAATACAAACAAATAAAACACACATAGATATATAAAACACTTTGATATGACGTTAGATATTTAAGCCTCATTTTCTCAGACCTTGAAGCAACCTTAGAAATTATCTAGTCCAATGCTCTACCTTTGTAAAAATGCAAAAACAAAACCACACTAAAACCCAAACACAGAAGGTGACTTTTTAAGCGTTAATAGTAAACTAGAGACGGTAACCATCAGAACTAGCTGAGTCGGGAGAAAGGGGCAGATACCACTATTACACATGGTGCAGGCCAGGAGAATGAGAAAGCAAACGTAAAGGCAGGTGCTCGACAAACGCCTGCAGCAGCCCGGTCCCTCGCTCTCCCATGGAGCAGCCTGCTTCGCCCGGGCCCCGCTGGACTGCGAGCAGCTCCTGTTCCAGGGGATGAACCTCTTCCCTGCGGTGCTCACTTATCTGTGGGGAAAGTGGGTGGGACCAGGGGCATTCCACCAGCTGCGAAGCAGTGGGTTTATGGCCGGAGAAGGGCCTGCTGGAGGGGCACGTGCTGGAGCCCAGCTGCTTGCAGGGTCCACACACCAACACCAGGGGCCGCTGGAGAGCCTGTGTGCAGCCCGTCCGCCCGGCCAGCTCAGCCCTGGCCAGCTGCCTCCTTGCAAAGCTCCCCATGGGACTGACGGTGGGAAGTGGACGTGAGACTCATGAGGACAAGCCAGAGGACAGAGGTTTAGTGCCCTTTCCACTTGGGTGTAGACACTGTTATGAGGGGGACCCCCCAAAACTGGAATTTATTTATAAAAAATTATGTATTTATTCTTACATGTTTAAACTTGAGTCACCTCCCAAAGTCTGTCCACCTGATGCAATACACCTGTCGAGACTTTTTTCCCACTGCTCAAAACAGTGTTTGAACTTGTCAATTTTGATGTCTTTTGGTGCTTCTGCCATTTTTTGTTTCACCTCTTCCTCATAGGCAGAACATTTCCCTTTGTGGACTTTTCTCATCCAGGGAAATAAAAGGGTCAGTCGGGCGGGATCGGGTGAATAGGAAGGTTGGAGCACAGGGGTCATGGCGTTTTTGGTCAAAAACCGCTGAACACTCAGCACCATGGCGCAGTGGGGGCAAGTATGCTCGTAACTCACCCACCATGAAGTGGGCAGGCGCGTTGAAAGAGTTTCAAAAAAAATTCACTGAAGCCGGCTGCAGCCTCTCACAACAACGCCAGCTGGTGCACTGATACAGATGGGTTCCTAGAACACTCACCTAGGGGGCAGCCTGTCTGACAAGGGGCCCGCCCTCCAGAAGGTAACTCTGGTTTTTTGGGGTCCCCCCTCAAAAAAAAAATGCCCATCCCGGTGTAAGATAGATCCCTGAACTGAAGCACTGCCTTAACCTGCGTCTGTGTTCCCGCTGGAGTGTTTTGTTCAAACTTGGTACATTTGAATGCTCATTATGTCTCGTTTCCCGCCCTCCCGGTGCCTGGGTCGCGCGTGCCCACTCGCAGGGCCCCGAACGGGGACTACAGCATGACGAGTTTGCAGTCGGTGAAAGACGACGTGTTCATTAACATTTTCGACGAAGTCCTATACGACATCTCGGAGGTGAGTTCGCGGCTTGAGGAGGGAGTCCGCCCTCATTTTCGCAGCCTCTCTCCGCGCTAGAAGACCTGAACCCACTCCCCGCCCCTCTTGTGTTTTAGACGTCTGAGACCCGACATGTATCAGTGGGGAAGGGGAGGGGGGAGGATGGAAAAAGCAAAGTAGTGTTTTTATTTTCAGCTGAGTGTCGCTGTGTTCCAGGAATTGTACCTGGTGTTTTCTTTTTTTTTAAGATTTTATTTATTCATTTTAGAGAGATGGGGAAGGAAGGGAGAAAGAGAGGGAGAGAAACATCAATGTGTGGTTGTCTCTAGCACACCCCCTACTGGGAATACGGCCCACAACCCAGGCATGTGCCCTGACTGGGAATCAAACCAGTGACGCTTTGGTTCACAGGCCTGCGCTCCATCCACTGAGCTACACCAGCCAGGGCTGTACCTGGTGCTTTCATACACCTTTTCTTATTTACTTCTAAAATAATGCTATGAGGCAGATTGTTAAATATCCAATGTATTGATGAGGAAACTGAGGTTCAGGCTTTCCCGGGGCCCCAAAACCATGAAGCATCTGAGCCAGAAAGTGACTTCGGCCTCTCGAACCTAAGCCCCCATCCCTGCCGCTTTCTGCCGCAGAATCCGTTCAGTGAGTGTCTGGAGCGCTGTAACAGCCATTACTACCCCCTCTCCTTTAGGATGACCGGGACAGAGGGAGCGGAACCCACACCCGGATCGAGAGACACTGGTTGGGATGTGTGAAGATTCCATTCAGCACCATCTATGTCCAGGCAAGGGTAAGCACCTGGCTGGGAGCTCCACGGGAACAGGGCACGCTCCATCCGTTGGCCCGGCGAAGCTCTCCGTGGGGGCATCTGCCGCCGGCGCCGGGCCGCCGGTTTTCTGTCGTAGTCGCACCACCTAGTAAACATCCATCTTCCCCAGAGTTAGTTGCCAATGTGTGACTGGTCCAATCTGAGGATTTCTTAAACGTTTAAACAGAAGTGAAGGAGAAGGTGGAACGAAGTGGAAACTTGTCAAAGTGACAAAGTGGAATGCACAGGTGCCCCAGAGTGACTTGAACAAAATGGGACAGTGGACGGCCCATTTAGTCCAGTGCATTTCGTGAATGTTCCTGCGGTCCTTGCTATTTCAAAGGTGGCCAGTGGTCAGTAGAGACCCGCTCACCTAAGACAACCTTTTTCAGAATTGAGCAATTTTTCTAAAGGGGTCCATTAGCCTAACAACTCCTGAATGACGTATTGCCTCCAAGCCGGGACGGTTGAAGATTCGGAAACGGCTTCCACACCCCAGGATTCAGTCCCTGGCCACGGGAGGCCCTGAGCCACAGGGGCGGGGCTGCCCTCACGCAGCTGGGGAGGATCGGTGTAACTGCACACGCGGCACACACCTGAGCGCGCAGAGCAGCGCTGCCTGGGTCACAGCGTCCCCAGCAAGGCCAAGGCCAAAGGCAACTCTGAGAGGATGGACTGGTTGGAATCTCAAAGCCCGTTGGGTACCGCCATCCTCCCTAGACAAAAGGGACAGTCTGCAGGTGTCGCTATAGGATGTGCTTGCCAAAAGAACTCACATTTCCCTCTTTGAATACATTTTAAATAACAATTTTAAGCACATCATTTTGCAACTGCAATGGCCCATGTTGTTGGCCATTGCCGAATCTCACCTGTGGGAGAGCACTCAGGAGAAATGACTCCTGATGCCTTCGTGATAAACGCATCACCTTGACTATACCCAGGAAATGCCCCTTCCGCCCTAGAAGGCATATTCACTTACAATTCGAGCTCTTTCCCTATTTCTCCTGATACACAAATGCCACTAAAAAGTGAAGCAAAAATCTGAATTCTGTAACTTCCAATTCCAGGTTGCAGCCCTGAGTAGCTGTGTAGCACCGGACAGTCTTTGATAAACACCGCGTTGCTAGGATCATGCAAGAGCTAAGGTCGCTGCCTTTCCGAGCCTCTGCATACATTAGGTCACTTGTAACCCATCCAGCCCGCATTCACTGAGTCCCCGCTGGGTCCACAAAGCCCAGCTGTGCGCTAGAGGAGGGCGCTACCAAAGGCAGTGGGATACGGGCTCTGTCCGCTGAGCGATCCTCTGGGAGCAAATGGGGGAATGTGCACACAACTGCAGTGTCCGACAGACCGGGTCGGGGCGACAGATGAAAGAAACGGACTGCATGTGAGGCTGGTGCCGATGACAGAATAATTCACGAAGGCGGTAACCACTGACCAGAGCCCCGAGAAATCATTAAAATTCTGAAAGGTGGGGATGGGAGGCCATGGGACACTCCAGAAAAGGGGGGTGGCTGCTAGCCCACACCTTAACTGTGCAGAGCAGTTAACCACACTCCAGGCATTGCTCTTCGTGTTTTTACATCTATTAATGCACTCAGCACACACGACTGCCCTGCAGAGTAGGCACTATTTCTGTCTCCTTTTTACAAATGCGTACACTGAGACACTTTCGGAGTTTCCTTCGGGAAGTGAACCCAGGCTATCTGGTGTTGGCATAACTAGCCCACACTCTGCCGGCCCAAGGAAAGAGGGCGGCCGAAAAGACAGCCCTTTCTTGAGTGCTTCAGGAGTCCGGGCTAGGAAGAGGGGCCAGGCCTCGAATGCCAGGCTGGGCAGTCTACTGAATTCATCAGCAATGAGGAGCTGCCTTCGAACTTCTGTTGGAAAATGACGGGGATGTTGACCAAGTCGTCTTCCCTCCACAGATTGATGGCACATTTAAAATAGACATCCCCCCGGTTCTCCTGGGCTACAGTAAGGAGCGAAGCGTGGCTCTTGAGCGGGGTTTTGACCCCGTCCGGAGCCTCAGCGAGGGCTCCTACATCACCCTGTTCATCACCATCGAGCCTCAGCTGGTTCCCGGGGAGCCGGTTCGAGAAAAGGTAGGTCTGTCTGCACTCTGCAGTCCTGTCTGTTGCTACCACAACGTGACAAACGCTGCCAGGCCACGCCGTTGTGACCCGGAGCTCACGGCACGAGCAGAGGTCTCCTTGCTCCGGGGGCCACTGGGCACTCGTCCGGTCCGGACGGACTGCAGGGAGAGAGCAGTGGTGTGGGTTTGCCTGTCCACGGCGCCGGTGACCACGTCAATCAGCAACCCCAACTTTTAGGCAAAGCAAGGCGAATATAAATACGCTCCCCTTTCAGGAGAATTTTCTCTGGGGGGAGACGAGAAATATGGCCGACTAGAGAAGCAGGTCACTCTTACTCTGGACATTCGTTGGCCAGCACGCCGACGTACGTTTGCAGGGCGGACCGCACACCCCTGGCGGTACGGTGCACTGAATCGATGCAAGAGGATTCCAAGGCCAGGTGACCTTCAGGGGTCACCTCAGTTCGTCTCAGTGCCTTCGGACAGAAACAAATATGTGCACAAGTATTCTACTTTTGAATGGCTCTAGAAAAAAGAGTTTTCGGAACTCCTGTTTGTTAGCAACTGTGTTCCCCCTTCATAGTCAGGGGGCACTCAGTTAACGTAACACGCTGGTGCAGCACTAGGCCGCCACCCTCACTGGGTGGGGGAGAGAATGCTGGCCAGGACCCCTTACTGTGACGAACTAATGCAGTGATCAACCTATATGAGGTCGTACTCTGCCCTGAGCACTCCCATGCCAGAGAGACACATGTTCTCTCCTTCGGTACTCCCAGCTGTCTTGTGAGAGGGTCCCCAACCCAGAGATGAGGAAGCGAAGCCCCACCTATGCTGGCTCGCCCAGGCAGGACATGGCACCGCTAGCAAATACCTGTCTCACTCTACATCTTACATACTCGACAGACACTCACTGGGCCTCTCCTGCGGCCCAGGTGCTTCTCCGGCCCTGGGCGTGCAAGAGCCTAGAAAAGCAAATAAAAATTCCTCGGTGTTTCTAGTCGCGTGTGGGCCCAAGTTGTTGACCACTCACTGAGCTGCACTGCGTAGATGACGTGCTGACTCTTCACCCACTGGAACTAGACTCGGATGGAGATACGTTTTTAATGTGCACGTTCCTCCCTTTTCGTGTTACAGTTTGGTTCAGTGTTACAACGTGGGTCCAGAGGACATAAAGCATTACTGGAAAAACAAACCTACTGAAATTCAAGTTAATCTTATATGCTGGTTTTTGTCACTAACGTTATGACGAATATGGTCTCTTAGAAAGCATGCTAGAATATATGCATTCTGAAATATTTCAGAAAAGGAAACATATTCAGAATGTTTTTCTTCCTGTGTACACTTGGGAGAAAGCCAACAGGCATGTTTACACGGAAGAATGCTCCCCGACAAAAGAGGATTTCACAATTTCTGTGTATTCTTAGCAGGAGAAAGTCGTCAGCTAGTGCGCCACCTGCAGGTGAGCCTCCAGGCCCCGGGAAAGCTGTTTGGCTGCGGCTGCGGCTGCGGCTGCAGCTGCGGCTGCACGGAGGAAACCAGACTCTCTGTGCCCTGCCCTGTTCAGGGGCACTGACCTCCTATCACAGCAAGTTCCGGAGGCCTCCAGGGCACTGAAACATAGTTCCCAGGCCTTGCAGCCTCCCTTCCTTGAAGCGGGTAGCCAGGCTCCCCGCTGCGGCCCCTGGCGGCATTGCACCGCCTGGTTGCGGCTGCGGGAAGCGTTTCTCTCAGATCAACAAGGCCTCAGACACCCCGCGGAGCCCAGGGCGGGATGCGTTTTGATGAGGGAGGCACTTTGACCACCAGCACCCTGCCGGCCTAGCACGCAGAGGCGGAAACGTTTCCCGGGGCTCCCCTGCAGACCGCTCAGGGAAGAGCAGCTCCCCTGCAGAGAATGTGGGTCCCTACCCACACCACACGTGGAGTTGTTCTGCCATTTACAGCAACCTCCAGGATTAGCAAATGAGTCTCCCTCCCGCCTGCCGTCATCCCCTGTGGCACCATTCCACGTGATTTTTTTTTAAAAGGTGTTTGCTTACTCAAGGAATTGTCTAAAAAATCCGTCGCAGAGCCTGAGCTCATTCTTATACCCCTACTTTACACTGCCTTGGTTTAAAACAAAAGGTTTTGAAAATGGATTATTTCTGTTGATAAAGTGTTTCCTCGTTTCTCTTTTTTCTTTCTTCCCTCTGAGAGATGAGTGAGATGCTTAAAAAGGCACAGGTGCCCGCACCCTTCACATGTTGACCATTTGTCCATCAGCAGTTACGAGGGCTTAAGTAGCTGCGTTTGTCCTCTGCCTCCTTTTGGAACGTGCTGGGTCCTGATGCGTGTGCGTGCGTCCCCTTGGCAGTGGACTACAGACGTCTGTGGTTCCACGAGGCACGTGCAGCGTTGTCTTTCGGCCCACTTCATGATGTCAGAAGGATTCTCACGTAGCTAGGGCTCTGGGAAGCCGTAGGCCTGAATGTCACCCGCATGCTGGGAGCTACCTCCTGTGTTTTCAAGTCCGTAACGCTCATGGGCAGCTTCTTACAGGGACAGCGTGTCTGTGACAATTATTTCTGACCAGCTGAGCTGTCGCAATGTAAGTATTCAAGGGGAGGGTAAACCCATTCAGCTTCCTGTTAAGTATTTACATTAACCTGGAGGTTAAAGAGTCAAGCCAGTTAAGAATCCTCCCAACTTCACGTTGAATCGAATGGTGAACTTGTCGGGTTTGTCTTCATTTGTTTCGTGATGAACGGCCCGAATTCATTTAGCACGGAGCTTTTGCCTGGCACTCCTTAGGCTACCCGCGTAGCGCGCTTGACTGTTTCACGCCATGAAACGGCACCCCGTGGCCTAAAGGAGGTATTACCGACCACTGGTGCTTACTGCACGCCCGGTGCAGGGAAGGGCAAAGAACGGGTCCAGCATGGGCCCTGCTCTCAAGAAGCAGTAGTTACAGAGTCAAAATACAGTACAGAGAACATCCAGGTCCAAGTGGCAGGAAAAGGCTGACACGCTTTTTTCGAGATTTTCATTGTGCTTCCTGGAGGCGGCCTAGAGCTGCCTGTCTTCACCGCACAGGGCGCTGATCCCCACGGAAGTCCCGGCCAAGCACTGGAAGCACCTGGCCGCTTACTAATGTTCTCCTCCGGACTGGAAGTTCCTCAAGGGGACTGTGTCGTACTCATTCATCCAGAGTACCTGGAACCTTGTAGACTCTCAGAAACATTTTTCAAATAATTGGATGAATGAATGAGTTTAAAGGAAACAGGGATGAAATTCCCCTGGGTGCTTTTTTTTCACACCACCCTTGTTTCATAATTCCCCATCTTTCTAAAATTATTATTTCTGGCTTGACAGTTCTACTGTAGGAGTCTGTGACACACCCACACCAAACCTTAGAAGCTCCCCTTTTTCATTTATTTATTTATTCTTTATTACACCCGGTGGGTAGCTACCACGTCTTGGCACTACGCTGAGTTGTAGGTGGTTGTGAGGATGTTGATTCCGATGTCAGGGTGACACCCCAAGAGAACAATACATTGGCTTTTGGAGATGCCTCTTCCCCGCCTCACCCCCTCATCCGCTGCCCCAGTTTCTCAGGTACAGAAATCAAGTTAGAAACAGAAGCCATGGTCCAGCTCCAATATAAGAGAAATCAAGAACAATTAGAATATTTTCAATTCTAGTTGAAGTCATAAAAAGTAATGTGATATTTTTTCATTCACTCAACGATAGTTGTTAAACGCTTACTGTGTGCTAGGTAGTATTCTTGGTACTAGAGATAAAACCAAGATCAAAACAAAACCCCTGACTTCAGGAAACTTCCTCAATGGAGAAGAGAGAGTAAATAAACATATCGTATGTCAGTGACCTTAAATGCTAAAAAATGAGAGAGATGAGGGCGGTGGCAGAGAATGGAGGGGGAAGCTGGGTGCATTTTCCCTCTCAAAGAAGAAAGCCATGAAAACGAAACAAAAATCTTTCAAACACTGCCTAGAATCTAAATTCTACTTAAAATTTAATTTTCCTAGTAAAATGTTGTTTGTTCTGAAATCCCTTGAAGTGTACGTGACAATGCATGTATTTTTATACTAAGCAACAAAAGTCTTGTGAAAGCATTTTAAAGAGCTGCTTCTTTTCATGCCATTTTTAGCAGTGGCTGGAGGGGAAACGGCAATTGAAATGTGTTCTGTCTCATCTGCTCTGAGTTATGTTTAAAAGTCTAGGAACTCGTAGCTCATCTTGGATCAGAGACCCTCTTAAAATGACTATTACACATTTGATGTTTCTAGCTCCGCTTCCTTCTTCCGTGCGAGCCATTACTATTATTTATTGCATTGATTATGGATTTGAAACGTTTTCATACACCCATGTACATCTGTAAACTTGCTGTCCATTTAAGTTGCTTAAGCTTTACATGTGAGATTTTAGACTCCTGAGTTCTTCTTCCCTCTAAAACCAACATCAAAATACCATGAAACTATTGCTTGGTTCTCATCGATCAACATTAGTACATCATAGTTTAAGTTTTATGTTATTTTATTAATCCTATATGGCTGCTTGTCTGTTGACTATTCCCTTTCAATCCTGTTTCAATATATTTTAAGTATCTAATGAATCTATCTAATTTTAAGATTGTAAGTGTAATTAAAGCTTCAGGGACTCCAGAGCATGCCCGTGTTGGAAGGGGTCATTAACCCCACTTCCTGGGGCACGTACTTATCAACAGGTCACGTGGACTAGGAGATCTGAGCAGGGTTATCGTGTCTCCTAGAATCATACGTAAGCTCCATGCAGTCTTTCTTTTTGAAGTTCGATTCCCAGGAAGATGAGAAATTACTTCAAGCCACAGAGAAGTTTCGAGCTGAATGTGCCTTAAAATTCCCAAACCGCCAGTGCCCGGCCACGGTGCTCGACCTCAGCGGGAAGACCGTTTTCATCACTCGCTATCTGAAGCCTTTAAACCCTCCCCCGGAGCTTCTCGAGGCTCATCCCAACAACCCGCAGGCCACGGCAGTAAGTATGTCTCAGCCAACCAGCGCTGGTGCGGAACGTGGGTCAAAATTGCAATCTGTTGCCATCTGAATTACCACAGTTCATAGTATATCCTTAAAAAAGTAACTACCTTGAAATCCTTGGTTCATTCTTTCCACCATGATTGAGTACTTACTGTATCCCTGACAGTATATTGGGTGCCAGAAAATTAATGTGTGGAAGATGCTGTACACTTTCACAGTGTCTTACATAAACATGTCGTTATTATTCTCCATAACTTCACTAGGATTTGAACCTAGGCCTCTGACTTGGGAGCTCACGCACTTCCTAGTAGTCCAAGATAACTATTCAGTATTATCCTTAGTGCTGTGAGCATCACTGAATTCCATTTAAGCGGCAGTGATTTCCAGTGTCGCAGCACTGCGGAGGCATGCCGTCACCGCAAAGCACGCCCACAGTGAACGGGCCGTGGCGCACACGGGCGCACCTTCCGGTGCACGCAGAGGGCCGCTCTCACGCTCATCGCGACCTGGTGTGAACGGAAGCCCCCCGAGAAGCAGGCTGTTCTTCAGTGGATACTGGAACCCCTCACTGCCTTTGCAGAGTGGAGAGATGAGGGAGTGGCTGCTGCTAGTAAGTTAGTAACACAGTGCTTTAGGAACGGGAAAGTGATATATCTATTTGCAGATAGAAGTATGTTAAAAAACCCTTGTGTTCCACATTTCATTTGCATTATTTATTAATCAATTTTTATTGAAAACCATAAAGGGACTTCTGTTGTCTCTAACATAGTAGAAAGATGTGCAGAAAACTTCTCCCAGTACAGAACCTTTAAGAGTGATGAATAAAATATTTAAAACATTTTAAAAATCATGGCTGAAATAGGAAGAGACAGTAAACAGCAAGAGAGCAAGATTCCAGGCAAGTGAGGGCTTGAAACAGTGTTTGCCCTGAGGGCACCGAATTCCTGAACTCCTGGCGCTGGGTTTCCCGGGGCTGCCAGGCTGCGGAGGCAGGAGAGAACACCCGGGGCTGGAGCAGGGGTAAAGGCCGGACTGGAGGTCCCCCTGCCGTTAGGACCCTCCCTTGCAGAGTGATACCTGAGGGTGAGCCAGGACATACCCGGCCCTGCGGGAGGTCCTGCCGGCCTCACCCGTGACTCTGGAAGGAGGCAGAGGCTCTCACGGGGATTCCTCTCATGAAGCTATATTTATTCACCTTTAGTGCTGGAATGTACACAACCACATGACCCCCAAACACTCCAACCAAAAATTTAATTGAAAGTGTTCCCTGTTGGTAATGCCCCTAGATCCCTGTCAGAAGCAAACAAATCCTTCTAGAAGAACAGCCTTTAAGCTCAGCCTCCAAAAAACTCCACAGAAAAAGTTCCAAGCAGCGTGAACACGTAAAAGCATCCGTGAAGAAATAAGTCGCCAGGAAGCAGGTGAGAGTTGGCAGGAACAGCAACTGCAGAGGGCCTGGCCACAGAGACTGCAGATGTTCGAAGGCTCAGATCCAGCGTGTAAAGCAGAGATGTGTAATGTGTTTCAGAAATGCAGGGAACTGAATAGGTAACAACAGACTACCAGAACTGGCAGGAACATGTTAAAAGCACACGTATCTAAATAAAAGATCATATACTTAATATTAAAAACTAAACAGGTTAAGCAAAACATTAAATACGGTTAGATACAGAGTTAAGTTTCATACAGTGAAATGCAGAATTACAGAACTGGAGTACACATACAAAGAAATCACTTGGTATGTAGCACAGAGAGAAAAAACACAAAGGAATGGTTAGGAGGCACAGTGGAGGAGGGAGGACCAAACTGTGTGTAAAAGGAGAGGAGTGATATTAAAAGAGAAAGCTGATGATTTTCCGGATTTGATTAAAGACAATAATCCTCCAATTCAGGAAGCCCAGTGAATCCTGAGCGAGAGGAGTAAAAAGAAATGAAAATCTAGGAATACCAGAGGGAACTACGAAGACAAGGCTGACCTGAAAAGCAGCTCAAGAGGAAACAGATCATCTACAACAGACAGTGGTTAGGCCAATAGACTTTTCAGCTGCAAAAATGAAAGTCAGAAAAGGAGTACTTCAAAAGACTGAAAGATAATAGTCATCACACTAATCATTTATAGCCACTGAAACGATCTTTCAGACAAACATTGGGAGAATTTACAGCCAAAAGATCCTCACTTGCAGAATTCCTTAAAAATATGCTTCAAAGAGAAGGAAGACTCTTAGAAAAATTCTAGATGCAACATATACTGCTAGGTTTAAAAAAAAGGAAATGTATGAGGGAATCTGAAACCGCATTGTTTTCATAGCAATGACGACAATAATGTGGGTGAAAAATCAGGATGGAGGAAAAACTCCTGGGAAAAAAATGGGTGTGTCAAGCCAGGATTGGTAAAAACTTTTTTCAACTTACTGCCTCTCCCTTACTGCCTTTCGTCCTCTCCCACCTCCCCCACCCCTTTCCCTCCGGCAGTCACCACACTGTCGTCTGTGTCTGTCTGGGGATTTCTTTGCTTCATCCCTTTACCTTTTTCACTGGGCTCCTCAAAGCCCCTCCCCTGACAGCTGCCAGTCTGTTCTCTCTGAGTTTGTTTCTATTTTGTTTGTTATTTTGTTCATTACATTCCACGTGTAAGTGAAATCTGACTGCCTTATTTCACTTAGCATAATACTCTCCAGGTCCATCCAAGCTGTCATGAAATGGAACACCCTCATGTGGGTCTTTCCCAAGATGAGGACAGAGACATTTATTAACTTCAGAATTTGAGTGAAATTTTCACATGGAAATTTGAAATTAGAAAAGTGAATACTATGATTTCCAAACTAGCAGCAAAAGAAAAAAAAGAAATGAAGTGGGGTGAAAGGAAGTGGGGAGGTGAAAATATAGAGAAAAACTGCAAGACATAAAAAAGCACAAAAAAACCCCACAAAACAAGGTACTGAAAATAGTCTAAATATTTACCAATAATCACAATCAAACCTAAGGGATTAACTTTCCAGTTAAAAGACGAAGACTGTTAAAAACAGATGTCCGGTTTTTAGTGGAACTGGACGCGCTGATTCTAATATTTATGTGGCAGTGCAAAGTGTCAGAAAGAGCTTAGACAATCCTGAAGAGTGAGAACTCGGTGGGAAGATTTGCCATGCCATGCATCCAAACTGCTGATGCGGCCACAGTAATTAAGGGAAAATGGTATTTAAACATGGGTAACTAAGAAAAAAATAAAAATAAAAACTCCAGAATAGACCCACTCAAATATGACTTTTCAAACATGATATATGACAAAGCAGGCAATAAAAATTAGTAACAAAAAGATGGAGTATTACATAAATGGTACCAGGATCAATGATTTTTCATATAAAAGAATAAAAATAGATCTCTACTTCATGTCATTCAGTTACAGATAGATGATTTACGTATGAAAAGTATTTCTACCTACAGGTATATGACCTGAGCTAAGAAGTGTTTCTTACACCAGACAATGCAGCACAAACTATAAAAAGAAGGACAAACTTGACCACATTAAAACCGAGAACTTGCCCTGGCTGGTGTGGCTCAGTGGGTTGGGCGTGGTCCTGCAAACCGAAAGGTCTCCAGTTTCGATTGCCGGTCAGGGCACATGCCTGGGTTGCGGGCCAAGTCTCCCTGTCCCCTCCCCACCCCCTACCCCTTCGTTGGGGGTATGCGAGAGGTGGCCAATCAACGTTTCCCTTGCATGTCAATGTAAAAAAATAACTTAAAAATATGCACAGTAACCAGAAACTCACAGAAGTGGAAACACAAGGGGCCACAGGAAAAGATGTTCAACCTCCTTATAAATTACATGAATCTGGGTTATACCAGCAATGGTGTCCTCATCGTGGTTTCTACGGACAACTGTCCTCTCAGAGGGAGCGGGGCTCCTTGGAGAAATGGCTGTCTTCAGGGCTGAGCTAGTGAAAACACGAGATGACCCTGGAGAGTCTCGTTTTACCAGAGTAAGGGAGCGGAGAGGGAAAGTGATAAGGACATTTCAAAGAGACACCGGATCTGCGAACCAAAGCATCGCAGATTCGATTCCCAGCCAGGGCACATGCCTGGGTGGCGGGCCAGGTCCCCAGTGGGGGCCACATGAGAGGCAACCACACACTGATGTTTCTCTCCCTCTCTTTCTCCCTCTCTTCCCATCTCAAAAAAAAAAAGAGACACCAGAGCCAGTTTCTTCATCTGTAAAAAAATGGGCAATAACAATAACTGTCTTCATAGGATGCTAGGTGAGGACTAAGTGGGCTAATATTGGTAGAACACTTAAGCACTTGGTGAGCATTCGTTTTATTTTGTACACGTTTGTGATCTGTGCAACTTGTAGGAAATGAGACCGAGAATCCGGCTTTCTATTTATTAGAAATTATTTCGTTAAAGCTCATTTCGTTTACACAGGAGCTGGTGGCGCGATACGTGTCGTTGATTCCGTTCTTGCCGGACTCCGTGTCGTTTGCCGGGATCTGTGACTTATGGAGCACGTCCGACGTGAGTAGTTCTTCCGAACAGACTGACTAGTTACAGCAGACTTCTCAGAATATTAGCTAAACAGATTGTGTACTTTTAAATTACGACATGCTTTTAGTCATTACAAAATCTACTGGTCGGTCGTTGAGTAGGATGAGCTGAAGTCTCATGTATTTTTTTCTTTCTGAGTCAATCTACCCAAAGATCAGAAGTTTACAAACATTAGTTATTTGCAGAAATAAATTAAAAAAACACTTGAGATATCAATGCTGACAGGCTCCTAGTATCACTTTATCAATATTCCAGGTTTATTCATTAAAAAACAATCAAAGCTACACCATCTGCTACATTTGGAAATCGTGTATCCCTTAGCCTGTGGGCTTCCTTCTGAAGGCATGCCATGTCCCTATGCATTCGGTATGCGCTTCTCGGCCACCTCCCACAGTGCAGACACTGCACAAAGTTCTGGCCGTTGGCCAGAGCCTGGCCTCGGCCCTTGGTGAGGGTCCAGTCTGTGTGCCACGGGCCTCCCAGCCAACTCTCTGGCAGGACGAAGCAAACCCACGTCTCTGTATTCCTTCTGTTTCTGGGTCTCGTGATACACTGTGTTTGCATAAAGTTAAAATACAGAACTCCCTTTGAAGGATAGCTCTAAACCAAAAAAAAACACTGAAGGGCACTTTAAATTTTCTGTTCCCCAACATATTTATTTTGGCAACATAACGTTGACAAAATTTTAGAGATAAAAGTTTCCACCATCTGGAGACACCTGTAGGAAGATAATATGGGAAAGACAGTCTATGTGCTCCAGAGCCCGGCTGGCTTTCCCACCGCCCAGGCATTACCCCACCCTGCTGGGCCGCCACTTCCCCACTCTGCATGACACTGTGAGGATGGATGCATGTCATTATACATTTGTCCAAACCCACAGGCTGTCCAACACCGAGAGAGAACTACAACGTGAACCTCGGACTCTGGGTGATTATGATGTGCCAGTGTAGGTTCAGCAATCGTAACAAAGGTGCCCACCTGTCCGGTGCGGGACGTTGAGGGCTCAGCTGTGCGCACGTGGGGGCAGGGCTTATATGGGAAATCTCTGTACCGTCTTCCCAGTTGTGCTGTGAACCTACCTGCTCTAAAGTGTAGGCTTTAGCCCTGCCTGGGTAACTCAGTTGGTTAGAGCATCTGCAATAATCCAAGGTTGCAGGTTTGAGCCCCAGTCAGGGAACATACAAGAAGCAACCAATGAATGCAGCATGAGTAAGTGGAACAAATTAATGTTCCTGTCCTCCCCTCTTCCTCTCTCTCTCAAATCAGTACGAGTTTTAGAAAAATTACTGATAACTTTAAAAAAGTATTCAGCACACAGTAAGCTGTCATACATAAACTCAGAATGAAATGTAAAATTTTGAAGTGTGTCTCCCCCACCCCACAGTATTAATCGATTCTAGAAACCTATATCTTCAATGTCTGAGAAAGCACCACGTCCACTAAAACTGCTTTTTAAAAGATGAACTAAAATATAGTACCAGCATTTGGAGATAGATTTTAAAAATGGGTCATATACTTTAAGGTACTAACTTGAACACCGACTTTTTAACACCCCGTGCCACGCACTAATCCAGAATGAAGCCATCAGTCACCGCAACGTAATTCTCTTCTTTTTGTCAGCAATTTCTGGACCTCCTGGCAGGAGACGAAGAAGAGCACGCAGTCTTACTGTGTAACTACTTCCTCTCCCTGGGGAAGAAGGCCTGGCTCGTGATGGGCAACGCCGTCCCCGAGGTGAGGCGGCGTGGGCGGGCTCTGACACGGGGGTGCAGCTGCCCCACTGGGGGGTTATGTTCCAGATCATGAAGAACTGATTTTAACAACTATGTCTGTGGCCCACTAAGACAGTGGCCCAGAGATTCCAAAACAGCAGAGAGAACCAGTGATTAAGACACAAAACGGTTTTCAGTGGTGCCCGAGTACTGAGCCCTGCACTTTTCAGATTTTTTTTTGCAAATCTAAAGCCTTTCCCACAGCTCTGCCTGTTTACTATGAGCCTTCTCCTGCCCCCGTTACTAAGATTCTGATTCCCTCAGTGACCTAGTGTCATCCAGCGAAGGAGGGCAGGGGATCAGAGGTGTGGAAAGGTTAGCAATATCTCCCTCCTCTCCAACCCACAAAGGGAACAAGGCAGGTAACCACAGGGGCAAAGAAAGTTAGCAGCCATCTTTTGATATTATCATTGTTTTGTTAGACTGGAGACTTAGTGACTGCTAGAATGTGTTTCCACAGCTCTCTGCAAACATCCCTACGTTTGGGCACCTTGGTGTAACTCTGGGTACAAGTTTAGAAAATCCAGGTGGACTGAAACAGCTGGTCCAAAAAGTGTTTCAAAAAGAGGCTGCGGGGCTCTAGGAATCCTGCAGGAATGAAACAGCAGAGGCTGCTGCCAGGCAGGCGGCACCCTGTCTGGATCCTAATGCATTCCCCATCAGGACCTTCCAGACAGCCTGGTGTGAGGGCGGGAACCCTGGGCTAGGAAGCCACGGGGCCTGGGTTCCAGGCTCTGCCCGCTCCTCCTGAGCTGTGGGACTCTAAGCACGTCATTTCAGAACTCCAAGCTCGCAGTGAAACCACGGGGGGGCAAAAATGAGTGAGTGCTCATTGCTGAGAGAATCCGACAGTGCAGACTGTTCCAGGCAGAAAGTGGAGTCCCTCTGCAGGCTCCAACCCCACTCCCAGGGGTAGTCACTCTAACAACTGGATATATATCTTGCCAAATTACCTTCTCTGCATTTACATAATTATAAATGTTCATCAAATATCACTCACTGTATTAGAAATACAAGCGGTGGGAGGGGCGCAGGGTGGAGGGGAAGCAAGGGGAGAGAAAAATGGGACAACCGTAATAGCATAATCAATAAGATATACTTTTAAAAAGTAGTATTCAGATATAATCAGACTTCTAAGTACTTGACAGGCAGCGTTGCTCTTTTTTAAAAAAATGCAATGCTTATTTCCATTAGTAATAGTTCTCCAGCTAATCTTAAACTACTGTCTATTGGTTGAGCAACACAACCACTACCCTATTTGTTTACTAAACTGCACTATGAGCAGATGCAAGAATTCTGCAAAAATAAACACTGATTTTATTTCTTAAATCCAGCACAACCTAGAACTTCAAACTCATCTTTACCATTAGCCATGGATTTTAGATATCAGGAGTCCAGCTAAAATGATAAATTATTTGTACAAAGTACTCTTGACCTTAATTGCATAATCAGTTGGAAACTCTTTTAACGGCTGTGTTCCTTCAGGGCCCGACTGCCTACGTGCTAACTCGAGAGCAAAGTCACTACTTAATATGGAATCCCTGCAGTGGACATTTTTATGCACAGTTTGATACATTCTGTCCCTTAAAAAGTGTGGGCTGTTTAATAGGTCCTGATAACGTAAGTATTGACATCTCCTCTTGAACATGGTTGGCTGTGGCTTTTTTTTTAATTGACCTACTTAAACATATATATCCAAAACTTTTATACAAATATATACCATTTAAAGAAATGTGGTGTCAAACACAGTTGCACAATTATCCTAAATAATAAAGTTTTGGTTGAATTTGTCACATTACAAAGAAGCAGAATGAAGTTAAAGACTCCTGAGGACCTGAATTTGTGTCCTGGCTCTGCCCTCAGTTCTCTCTTCCAAAAGCGAGTTTACAATGTCTACCTCACAGCGCTCTGAGTTATCACCTGAGAAAACTGCGTTTGTTCTCTCTTTAAGAGAGATTTCCAGGTGCCAGCGGGTGATTCTGGCTGCACCCAGTCTGGGGAGCCATTTAACCACACAGGGGTCTGTATAGAGCAGGGATCCCCCTCTCCACATGCATGCACACACACACACACACACACACACACGCTAATTGAGTCTTGTCTTTTTTAGATTTGGTTTAACATTCAACGATATGATTCACCACTAAGAATAAATTTTGACGTCACCAAACCCAAGCTATGGAAATCTTTCTTTTCAAGAAGCCTTCCATACCCTGGCCTTTCCAGTGTCCAGGTATAATTCTTTTAATAACAACTAAATGTAGACAAAGCAAGGAAAGAATCTGAAGTTACTGTTCTGGGTAGCCAGATATTTTTTGACCTTTAATTTTACTAAATGTTTTGTCTAAAATACTATTTGTTTTTCAAACTTAGCTGTGCCCAACTCATAGTAAGAACTAACCATCGTGTCAAGAACCAGTACACACATATACATGATAAAGCATTCTGACAGTCTGGTGACAAAAATTATCACAAAGTACATTCTATATAATTTTTTAAATTATGGTGTCAACTCACTACATTCATTTCATAGCATGATTTATCCATAAAATTAATATAACAGGGTCCTGGTAGTAGATTTCAAGTAGTAAGCATAAGAATTGTTCACTACCACTTTTGTATGAGAGCCAGATATATATGTGTATGCTGGGTGTGTAATATAAAATGTATTTTTCATTGTGATCAAACCTTTTTTAAAAAAGGGGCACAAAACACTCTCCTAGGATTTTTCATAGGAACAATGTCTGCAATAGCCTAAGGACTGGAACAGACTGGGGATAAATTACAGTACATACAGAGTATTTTATAATTGTTACACAAAGGAATCAATATTAATTTTAGTAAACACTCTAAAAATGTGTTTGCTACTATTTCTAAATATAATGTTGAGAGGAAAAAGCAATGTTCACCATATAAAATTATTACACAGTTTAGAAAACATACAGCATATTGTTTAGGAACACACGTCTGCAGTAAAATCACGAACACGTTAATCGGCCTACCGCCACTGACTATCATGTAAATGCCATGGGGGCAGGGATTCTTCTTCACCGCTACATGCCCATCACCTGTGAAAGTGCCTGACACACAGTAGGTGCGTTATGCATGTTGAAGGAAAGTGCTAGAAAACAAATGCGGGCCATGGTCACTTCCGTGATGAGAGAGAAGGGACGCTGAGGAAGAGCCACACAGCACTATCATTTGTTTGTGATGTTTTCCTGAAGCTGGGTCCTAAGTACCTCAGCATCGGTTACCTCATTCCCTGCATCTGGCTGAATGTGTAAGATTTCAGAATTTAAAAAGACTTAGAAAAGGATGTGTAGCTATTCAAATTAGGTGTAAATGATTTCCAGGATTTCTGAACTACTTCCTCTTTTACAGCCCGAAGAGCTGGTGTACCAGGGCTCTGACAAAGCGGCCGCGGCCGAGCTGCAGGACAGGTCAGGTGATCCCTGAATCCACCAGTCCACTGTCACTAGGAGTGTAATTCCAAACTGGACGGTTCTCAGCCTGGGGCAGTGTGAGCATACAATGTGGGCAGTTCATTTCAATCCATGTTTGCAGACCCCCAGTACAGGTGTGTCTCTAGCTCCCCCAGCTCAAACGGAGATTTTAGCATCAGCATGGTGTTGTGGGCAAACAAGAACTCCAGCGGTGCTGGGCAGTTCACCAAAAATTCTGCCTCAGATTGGAGTTCAACATGTTTTTACAGGTCTTATTCAGACATACAATCTTCAGCTTACATATGCCTCTTTGCCCAATTAGTGGCTTACTGAGCTTTGGCTAATTTATAAACCTAAGACACAGGGAAGGTGTGTACCTATTTGAGTCCCTATAAACCTTAAAACCCTGCAAAATAGAACTTACTCTGCCAGTTTCACAAATGTGGAAACTGAGGCTCAGAGCGGGCCACACACTTAGGTATTAGGGGAGGCCCTAGGCCCCGGCAGACCTGAACCCAGAGCCAGTGCGCCCTTTCTACTGCACCAAGTTCTGTGAAGGGCATCACGCCAATGACATGAGACTAAACTAACGTGGCCCAGTTTAAGGTACTACTACTAGGAAACACCAATTTACTCTCAATGTCAACTAAAGCTTTATTTGGGATCCCCACCTAGCAAAAAAATTCTCTAATAGCTTCAGGATACTACTGATTAGACTCACATCATCTAGTTCTGCAATACTGATGAGAGGCGCCAAGGCAATTCTTGCTGAGACCACCTTGAAACCCAACACAAAGATACGTGTCATGTGCCAAAAGAGAAAGGGGTCCTAGAGCTACCGAGCAGTAGGAGGCTGGCTGCGCCCCTACACCTGTGTTTGGCTAGGGATGCACAGGATGCTTTAGAACTGGCAGGGCCTCGGTTCAAATCCCAGCTCCCCTGCCATCATCAAGCCATTTATCCTATTTCAAAATGTCCCCTTATACATAAAAATGGGACAATATTCCCCTACGTCATAGGGCTATTGTTAGGATTAAATAAAAATGTACAAAAAGCACTAGCACAGTATCTAGTGAATAAGGGGTAGTTCTTTTCTTTCATTCTGCGTTTAAACTTCACATCCTTTGGACCCAATACCCATCATATTAACTATAAAGCAGGATACCAGAACTTACGTTGCAATGATGATAGATATTTTAAAGGCAGTTTTAAGGCAATTCAGAGACATAAACCTCATGAATAGAAGGCACTGAGGAAGCAATCAATACGCGGCATTCAGAGGCTATTTGAAGCTTTCAGCTTAAATCCCACCCTTTATGCCTGGGTCTGATTTGTCTTATTTATGTTACCAGTGAACAAAATGATAAAACAGTTCCCGATAATACGTCTTATAAAAAAAAGATTTTATTTACTTTTAGAGAGATGGGAAGGGAGAAAAAGAGGGAAACATCAATGTGATGACCAGTTGCCTCTCACAAGCCCCAACCAGGGACCTGGCCGGCAACCCAGGCATGTGCCCTGACTGGGAATCGAACCAGCAACCCTTTGGTTCTGAGGCTGGTGCTCAACCCACTGAGCCACACCAGCCAGGGAGTTGACAATAGGTCTTTGGCCAATAGTCCTGAATTTAGCTATCCCAGTTGCTCAGTGCTCCCTCCTGTGTTCCACTGCAAGCATCTGTTATGGCCCTTAGGCTACCCTGTCCTTTCCCCTCACTGGCCTTCTACCCGCCATCCCAACCACATACAACCCCTAAGGGCAGAGATCTCTTGTGGTAATTTCTGAATCCCCAGGGAGTCGCCCATATTAAGTAGGAACTTTGCCTAGTAAGGGACACCACCACCAAGAAAAATGTGGTATGTAATCACCTGAATCCCCACTGCATACAGAGTGGGTTTTTGTCTATAAGGGAAAAGTCAAACAAGGAAGGAAAGGGAGGGAGGGAGGGAAGAAAAATGGAGTTTACGTTTTATAAACAGGATTGAAAAAATACTGAAAGAAAAAATCATGGACTGGAGGCCACGGCACCTGACTCGGTGGAACAGGTACTGCACCTCCACGCTGCGCCACTTCCTGCCCCTGCTGGAAACCAGCCGAGGCGAGGACGTAGAGGACGACCACCGAGCAGAGCTGCTGAGACAGCTGGGCGACTACCGGGTGAGCACACACGCCTCTCAGCGGAGACCGCGGGCTTCTTGTTTCAAGTGGGAAACTGTAGCCCCGTAGCGTGGTTTTGGCACCAAAACTCCCACACTGGCCCATCAGTAAATGAGTGGATAAAAACGCTGTGGTAACATTTACACAATGAAATACTATCGACCATAAAAAAGGAAGTCTTACTTTTGCAGCCACATGGATGGACCTACAGGATATTATGTTATGCTAAGTGAAATCAGCCAGCCAGAGAAAGACAAAACACCGTATGATTTCACTTAGAATCTAATGAACAAAAGAGACTCGTAGATACAGAGAACAGACTGACAGATGTCAGAGGGGAGGGTCGTTGGGGGCCTGGGTGAAAAAGGTAACGGGATTAAGCAGTAGAAATGGGGAGTTGCAGAACAGCCACAGACATACGGACCGCAGTGTGGGGAGTAACATCGAGACAACAGGGCATGGGGCCAGGTGGGTGCTTGGGTGGCAGGGGAACCACCCGGTGAGATGCATGGTTTCTGACCACTCTGCTGTGCATCTATCGGCAGCTGGTGCAGAAGGGTACTAAAAGTAGACTGTAATTGAAAAGTAAGTTTTAAAAAATCCTATATTGCTCTACAAAGTATATGGATGAAGCTGCACAGCCTAAGAAAGGAAATGAACTGCTCAAATCTTGCCCGGGCTGGGTGGCTCAGTTGGTGGGAACACCGTCACTGACCGAGAGGCTGCAGGAGCGACCCCAGGGCCTAGCACGTGTGGAGGACAGCCAACTGGTGCTTCTCTCTCACGTCGCTGTCTCCCTGTCCCCTCCTCCCTCTAAAAGCTGTGAAAAAGTGTCCTCAGCTGAACAGAAAAAAAAAATGTTTGAGTTCAAATCTCAGTAATTAACATATTATTAAATAGCAAAATACCTCTTTAAAATGAAAAACCATTTTTTAATAAGAGGATCCTATGGAAAAAATAACTTTTATAAACTACATTGCAAATGTTAAATAAAATGATCTAGCTGATTCATGTTAGACTCAGTTGTGCATAAAGGTGAAACCAACCATTCTCAATCAGGTTTTTTAAAAGGATACGATTTTATACTAATTATTTTCATTGCTAAGAAAAATTCTCATTACTAGACAATGTACCCTCTCTACTGACTGCTGGTAGTGCCGTGCCCACAGGTGGCTAACCTAGACAGCAGCCTCAAACTAAGACAGTACACACTGGTGGCCAGTGTGAAGCCGGACACTTGATTCTAGCCACTGACTTAAACATATCCTTTAACTTTTAAGGTCAGGTTTTCAGCCAGGATGTTCTCAAGTGACAGAACACTTAGTTCCAACAGCCTTCAGCAGTGAACATAAGTTATTATTAAGTAAAAGTTAGAGGTGAGTACCTCTAGCCCTTGTCCACGCGATGGCATCCCCCGCAAGCTGGCTTTTCCCGTGGTCCCAGAAGGCTGGAACGGTTCCAGGCAGGACTCCCAAATACTGGATGCGCACATGCACTGCCGAAGCGGGAGGCAGCTCTGAGTGCTGAGCCCTAGCCAGTTCCCTGTGACTCATGTTGAGACTTCCTTCCATCACATGCCCATCCCTGCAGATAATCACTGTGGCCGGGAGTGCAGAATGCAATGATTAGCTTAATCTAGACCCCAAACTTACATGGGTTACTGTGCAAACTAGGGGCTATCAGGAAGAGGGAAGGGAACAGCAGAAGATGACTAAGGGGTGTCACACACCAAGTCAACACACTGGCAACTAATGACAAAAAAAGACATTCGTCCTCGCTCCATTTTCTGTATTGCTAATATACAGCTGAACAGAAAAACAGAAACAACTTTGATATCCGGAAAGACTTTTTATTAAGAATTAAGAATTAAAATTTGTTTTTTTTTCTTTCCCTTCAGTTCTCTGGATTTCCCCTTCACATGCCCTATTCAGAACTGAAGCCTTTAATTGAAGCTGTGTATAGCACCGGAGTACACAACATAGACGTCCCTAGTGTCGAATTTGCTTTAGCTGTGTATATCCACCCATATCCCAAAAACGTCTTGTCTGTTTGGATCTATGTTGCCTCCCTTATACGTAACAGGTAATGTTTTCATTGTATACTTTTTCTATCAGGTAAAACTGTAATTAGGATATGAGAATATTGTTAAGTGATACTGATCAATCGCATCGCAAGAAAATATTTGCAAATAAAATTTCAAACTGTGCAAAAAAGTGTTTTTATTTAGTGATCTGCCTTGTCTCTGCCACTGTGACCTGAACATCGGGCGACTCCCCAGGTCCCCCCTACACTCTTAGCCGCACACACGCGGCCCCGGCACTTGCTCACCTCCCGCTCGAGAGCCCTTCTTCTCCACCTGCCCAGCAGAGGACCAGCCATACTTCTAAGACCCCGCACAGATACGTTTCTGAGGGAAGGAGGAACAACTCTGCAATGTAAAACTATTCATTTTTAATGTTAAATACATCATAAAACCATAGCCCACAGAAATAAATACTAAGCCTAAACTAAATGGTTTGCTAACATTAGGCGAGCACAGGACAAAGCAAAAGGGAGGCACCTCAATTACCTGGAACCCCTGGGGAAATTAGCTGCTCAAATTATTTAAAAGGATACATTTAGAGCCAAGTCCTGAAACACCATTTATTATTTTTATGTAAGTATTATCATAATTTTACACCCCAAATCTGATGCCATTTTCTGATTACATGGGAGATCAACTTCTTTAGCTCCCCTGGATGACCCGGGCATGGTTACAGATGAGTAATTTCTACCAAGGAGTCCATGCAACTACTGATGGTAAGGTGAAGTACAGGACTGGGTGGCACTCGCCGCGGAAAAATTCCTGTAGTTTGTTTTCCTGCAATAGTCCCTTATGTCAACTTTTCAAACAAACTTCACTAAACATTTAGGGAAATAAAAATACCATGACTACAATTAAGAGTCAATCTTACAAAATAAAAATTCTGACCCCGTAACTATTCAATATGCTCCGATTTCCTTTCAAGTTCTCTAAGGGAATCAAGGAACAGTTTCTCACTTTGTGCTGAGGCCGGACTTGAAAGGACAAGACAGCACACAGCGGTGCCACAAGAGACATAACTGCTCAAGTTCAGCAGCTACAAACTCAAAACGGAAGATGGTCTGCTGAGACAGCTGCCCTGCCAGGGAGTTCAGTGGCTCCATCATTTATTCTGCAAATGCTAACAGGAGCGGGATCAAGATGAGAGCCCTCAGAGAGAGGTAAATTTTCAGTCATTAGACGTCCCTGCTTTAGAGCTGATGATCTTCCCTTTAGAGTGTTTAATTCAAATGTGAGTGGAATAAGCATGCGTGAATTCTTATTTGTATGCCCATCAAATGATTCTTTTTCCATCTTTACACAGCTCCCAGATAGTTTTCTCTGAGCCTGAACTGAAACCCATCGCCCTGTAACTGGGGTCTCTCCTACCCCTCCTATGCCCAGTAGAACAAACAATACCTGGGATGACAGACAACACGACGACTCCCTCTTCCACAGCCGTGCGGGGACTTCGGCGGCACGCCGCCAGCTATACCCCCTTCTTCATCACATGGAAGCACACGCGGCGCTGTATAAAACTGACTCGGTGTGCGCCTCGCTGAGCTGGAGGTCTCCACTCCCGCTATCTCTTCGCGCGGCAATGAAGATAAGCGTGCAAATTCAAATTTGACTACTGCACAATCAATCTCAAAAAGACAATTCAGCTCATGGGAGTTGAGATATTTATTCCTATTTCACACTAAATTTAAACCTGCACTGAGATTGATAATAAAACCAAAACACAAAAGAAATTACTTGGTAAAGTCCTCAAAGTAGATTTTATTTATACATTTCTTCAAATGATTGTGGAATTTTTAAAAATCCCTCTCAAATTTGACAATTTAGGGGAAGTGGTAGAACCAGGGGTTCTTAGAAGAAGCTAATACAAATAAACTGGTGCTTTGCCAGCTCACTGAGCTACCACCAAGAAGCCAATTTGTTCTGTATTCTTAAAGAATCTTACATGTGGGTATGTTTGAATTGGCCCTCTGAGAGTTGTTCAAATAAAGGAAACAGTATGGAAAAGAGACTGGTTCCAAAACGTGCAGTCTCTGAAAATAAAACTTCAGCAGCTATGTCCGAAAAGACCTGCAAAGCCTGATGCAGTGTTTATACAGAGAGAGAACCAATAACCCCCACTGACTAAAACTCCAAATAATCTAAAAAATGCTTTAAATGGCAAGGCATTAGTGACATTATTTTCAAAGCATTCAATTTAAAAGAAAGCTGATAAAACTACCCTTATTCTTATGAAAAGACCTAATCCCTTTCTAAAACAAAAATAAGATTTGCAAGAGAAATGACACTGTACAATTCACTGGTAAATTAAGATTTCTGAGGCTGAAAGGAATGGGGCCAAAACAAGTCACACTCAAAAAAGGGATGGTTAACACAAGAAATGTGCTACAAGTAAAGTGCATGAAAGGAAGCCTGCTCAGCTAAATGAAGTAGACACAAGTCAGAAGTCAAGGGTCATTCGCCAGAGCGGCAGCAGGCCCGAAAACCACACTGCAAGTTCTGGCATCCGCTGGCGGTGTCTGCATGAGGACCTGCGTAAAAACAGACAAGTGTCAGAGGAGGAACTTCCTAGGGAACCACATAAAGTAATCTTGCTTATGAAAGAACTTAAAACATTGACTTTTTTTTTTTTTACCAGCAATGCATTTATAATATAGAGGAAAAATCTCACAGTGAGTGTATAAAAAATTATTGAGACACAAAAACTGCCAATAGCTTGACTTTAACATATCTTTCATGGTCCAAAAGCTGAATGAAAGAAAAAGGGAAATAATATTTTGGCAACATTCTTACAAAATGAAACTCTAAGAAGAAAAGGAGATAGCCCACAGACAAGATTCCCAGGGTAACTTAACACATTTCTTATACTATCAACATACTTCTGAGAAATATAATTAAGGCAAAAACAGCCTTATCTGTAATAGATCATCAGCTAAAGAACCCAATATTGAGCAATTATATACAATAAACATTATATTCAAAATTTTTAAAACTATAAAGACATAGGCTTAACATGTTTGTCATATTTTTATCTGCAGCCAAAATAAATCATATAGTAGGGTTAAGTGAAATTACCTTCCAGAACTATATACCTTCCAGTATGTAATGAGGATTAACTAAATAAACATATCTAAGGCATAATAAAAAATGTGACTCAATTACAAAGAAGAGTAATAACATTTGTGGAATAAGTGACATTTTATCCTAGTTACATTATGCTGCCCAGACACTAGATAAAAGACCATTAGGGAACACAGCTATGGATTAGAAAATGTCAAAAAAGAGATATCAGGGTCCATATTCAAATGTTAATTACTTTGAATGAATCTGTTTTCATAAAGGCAGATAAATGTAAAAAGGGATGTTTTAACAATATTGAAGCCTTTCAGTATATGTGCACCATGAACAAATAAAGAACAGCTTAATAATTCTTTACTCATCAACTGGAACAAAAATACATGCAATTGTGATATATAAGGATCATACAAAAGTACATGAAATGTAATTTTATTACAGACTATGTCAAATGGGTTATAACTGAAAAACAGCAGTACTCTGTCTGGACTGACCTCCAGCTTAACCAGAAAGATTTTTAATTAGCTTTGTTTTGTTTTTTAAAATAGCAATCCACTGTAAAAGGCCACTATGCTAATATCATCTAAACACACAGAACATACTTACTGTATTTTTCGGACCATAAGAGGCACCTAGGTTTTAGAGGAGGAAAATAGGGAAAAAACTTTTGAAGCAAAAAGTGTGGTAAAATATTTAATAACATAAATAATATTTCATCAATGTAAATGTAAACAGAATTCAACAGCAGCATTAACAACCATTATTCCTCCCAAATGGGGGGAGGGGGTGCATCTTATGGTCGGAAAAATATGGTATTCCCAGAATTTAACTTTTCCTTGCATCCCTGAAATGGCATATACAAAATATAAAGGGAAAATTTGTTAGGATACACAATGAAGAATAATGTTCATATATTTCACTGTAGAAATGATAATTTGTCCTTAAGTAGAAAGAAACTAATGAACTTCACAAATATATGTAGAGCAGGTATGGTAATGGGCAATGGGATATGAAAGGAGACTGGCCACAGGTTTGCAGCTGCTGCAGCCGATGATACACAAACATTCATTCTGTTGGCCTATGTTCATATGTTTAAATTTTTCCACAATAAAAATCCCCAAATTATTCCAAATATAAAACTGAATTGCCACAAGCCCATTTTTATTTAACCAAAATTAAATGTTCTATTTTTAAACGGATCCATTGAGTGTGTCATATATTTGCAGTTCACAAAGTAGCATTTTTGTTAAGATTATGTTCCATTAAAATGAGTCTTAATCAAAATAAAAATCAAATCCGTCAGTACATGCTATCGGGTATTTATTAGAAACGCCCGGATAGGAAACCCCACGGTTTGGAACCCTCCCCTCACTGCCGACCTCTGGCCTGGTTTTCCCTTCAAATGCACTTTCAGCTTTTAAATTTTCACCACCCCCCAACTCTCCATGCTGCCCCTTCTCGTCTCCCCTCAACACGCCCCCAACTCTGGTTACTGCGGTGCCCACCAATCAATCACCCAGTGCCTTTCTTCAAGACCCAGTCCCCTGCTTCACGTCACTGCCCTGCCCTGATACTGAGTGATGAAATGCTCCGACTGGTGGTTTTTGCAAAAATGTATCTGATTATGATTTTCTTAGTATGTAATTCTATTCCAAATTTCTAAAGAAGAAATAAGAGGAAGAAAACACGGAGGCTTTGTATAATTATTCATACTAAAACTCCCTAAAATGCTTCAGAATGTCTTTTTAGTGAATTCAACAGTGACCTAGGGAAACAATCAGGAACAATGACCGGAAGCAATAAAAAGCGAGGTGCTAGATTTGAAGGGAGAAAGTAAAAGGGAGCCTTCAACAGAGCCAGTTGGATTGAGGAGGCTCTTCTAAAGATCCCTATCTTTCCAAACACCCCACAGCTTTTGACTGTCCACCCCAAAAGACAGAGGGGCCGCCCGGCATCCTCAGTCTCCACGCTGGCCGCCTGGGTCACTGTGCTCTCAAAGCTCGGGGACTGCAGCACGAGTAATAGTGAAATAAAAAGATGTGCCCTGTATCAGGTAGACAGTTGCCCAGTCCTGCTGTCAGCTTCTTATCACAAAACAAAGTTCTAGCTCACACTGATGTAAAAATGTGTCCCCTCCCTCAAACAGTCTCTGGAATATCTGCATTTCCATGGGATTCTAAGTGACCAGAGTAAACAGAGGGAATTAATATGCCAGTGCCTTCACATGTGAAAGCAGAAAGCCTATGGGTACTTAATAACTGTAAGAGTAACTACAATCTCATCATAAGGTCAACGACAGAGCAGGTGTCTGATTCTAATAATCCATCAAAGTGATGCCACCCATGAAGGGATTGTGTGCTGCTGAAAGCCTGGGGCAAGCAAAAGTGAAGACACTGTCTTTACTTGAATTAGTCTCATGTAGAAAATGGGAGAATAACAATTTCCAAAGCCTAGAAACCTCATGCAAAGTTAGCAGTAAGACCTTTAAGCATCAAGGTAAGACTGTTCGGAAAAGGGAGTAAATGGACAACAGAAAAAGTAAGGCAGCACTGGAAAAAAATTTGACTAAGACATGTATGTCAGATGTAATTATTTACCCAAATTCTTCTATTGAAAGTTTTTCCTTGATATTAAGCATCTTACTTATGCTGTGTATCTGCACTTACCTTCACTTACCTTTAATTCCTCTTTAACTTAAATTAGAAACATGAGAGAGCAAATCATCTGAGACTGTCACCTCCAAAACTACGAGCTAATCTATCTTAATTCATAAACTATACACATATTGAAATGCAAATCAATACAAAAAGTTTATTTGCTATCATTGTTTAAATGTACTTAAGAGCTCTAAAACTATGCAATTCGATTTAACACTTCTTAAATGACATTTTTTAAATATTATGGCTAAGAAGCCTTCTTTTATAATATTTAAATCACAACTTATCAATTAAATAACAAATCTAAATATTACGAAGAATCACTCAGAAGACTCGAAATGGCATTTTATATCAATGTTTAGTAGTGTCTTCCTCACAGTAGGTATTGTCTAAATACTGTATTTGATTACTAAATCATCTGTAAAATCTCTGCTAGTGCTTAGGAAACAGATCACTCTGCTGCTTTACTTATCACTTACTGTTTACATAATGAATACTGTTCATCAGTATTTACTTCTTTTAGTTAGTAATCTGGGAGTTACCTGTATAAATTTTCTTTTGACAAAATACATTTTTAGTTAAATGTTAACTCTCAAATATTTAAGACATAATTTGTCACCTACGTATGCTCATTATTCTAAGACCTTATATAAAGCAGATTAACTACTTTCAAAAATAATAAAGATAATAATTAAAAGGGCCACCCAAGCAGTCACTAACTATCTACTGTACAAGTTGAGCTATAGTGAAAGATGCTGATCAATTGTATCATCTTGCAAAACAGAGGTAATACAACTGTATTCTAACACTTTCTAGGTTGTCCATGTCTTTTTAAGGGAGAGATTATATCAGAACAACTGGCTGGAACTCTGGAATACAAATTAACATAAGTCACCCTATAAACTTTATAGGACTTCCATTTCCCCCACATGATGCTTTAAGCAGCTGTAAAAGGAGACTTAATATTGGATTATGCAAGCACTGTCAATTTCCTTCTACACCTTTCAAAGTCAGATTAATATTTATTTATTAAAAATTACCAGTCACTTATCAAAAACCCTAAATTTCAACACAAGGAATGTAGCAGCTCCTTTGGAACACTCCAAAATTTATATATTCAGAATCAGGATGAAAGGAACTCTAAAATCCTAACAAAGTGCAAAAGATTTTAAGTATTTAACTTTATCCCATCATGTAAATTATTTCAAAAAGTTTTTAAAAGCATACAGTTAAAACAAGTAGGCAGATCATAAAAAGGAAATGAGACCAATCTCTCCCACTTCATAACATCTATACACCCAAAAATAAATATAACAAATTAGGTTGTGAG